TAGGAGCGGACTGGTGAGGTGGTCGGACGGACCAATAGTTGGGCGGAGCAACACGAGAGAAACTGAAGGAACCGAGTGGGTTGGAAAACTGGAGATGGTGGAGGGAAAAAGAGTAGGATTGGGCGGACCGATAGGGCAGAGGAGCAGAGCTACAGGTAGGGTCGGATGGTAGGGATATAGTGTCGGAGGATATAGGGGTAGTGTCGGAGGAGTGGAGCAGAGTCGGGTGGAGGTAGTAGGGCTATGCCTGCTGAGATGCACTTTGTGCATTGTTGGAGAAGGAGGGATGGAGCGGACAGGGAAACAGGGGGTTGGACCAATAGTAGGGACATCTATGAATGGTGTTGGGAGTGGCTGAATTGGGTATATGACACTAGCTCTTACCCCATTTAAGAAAGGTGTTAATACATGTTTTAGTTGAAAACCCTGCAGGTATTGCCCAAAACACTTGTTTAATCTTCTTCATAGTATTCTTAGACCTATGCTCTTAGCACTTGCCTGTGTTGATCAAAGCTCATTAATGTCTGCATTCCCAGCATTTAATCAATCACATTCATTCTCTTAAGATTAGCATAGATCATGTTCTCCCTAGTGCAAAGAACAAGCACATGGTTAGAACAAAGTCTATGCCATTTGGAGCAGAGAAAGCTCATGCCTTTTCTTTCTTCTGCCCATCACTATTCATATCTCTAATGCTATGGCTACTACTCTCTGTCCTGTTACTCTCTGTTTGAGTCTGCCTCTTTCAAGGCACCCACCCACCACTCCCTCACAGCAGCTCAAATGTTATGTCATCAGCTCATGTACCAACATCTTGGACATCAGAGAGTAATTTATGCATACATCACACTGCCAAGCTGCATTGATTGCAGATAAATTTGGAATTATGTCTTCTAGTGGCATAGCTAGAGTACCATGGATTCTGCAGTATTCCTTATGTGCTAATTGGTTTGCTTGACCCTTATAAAACAGGTCTTTTCAGCCGGGTGTCATATACCTGATCTGACTGCTCCTCAGATATTAATATCCGCTCTGCCTGACGTCATACTTCCCCCACTTTCCTACCACCTCCACTCTGTCCGCCCTCCACTCATCCCAGTCAGCTTTGGCATCTGCCCCTACAGTTCTGCTCGACCGCCTCGTCGGTTACCTTCCACATCGTTTCCATTCTACTGTAAACTCCTTCCCCATTTAGGTATATACTATTCCCCATTTGCACATAGTACTTACTTCCCGTATCACTGGTACTTCCCATAACCACTCAACTAACTAATCCAACGTGTACATATTGATATCTGCTCCAACTTATGTTTTTCACCTGTGTCTACTTACAAATTGTATACTTAGTACATAGCCTCATACCAAGGACTACTAGTCACTGCCTCCTACATAGAAGTATATAAAAACACATCCTGTATATAGCTACTCTCCAGTCTTAATATTACTTGTCTTCCCACTGTCTCTACTAGTGGGAATTCTCTGTAGGACTTTGCTCCCTCTCTGGACACAAGTTTACCTTGTCATCACCTCCGACCCTCTGCTCTGACTTAGAGCCGCGCTCTAAGTACTCACTCTTACCTCTCCAACCCCATCAATCAATCCTCTTACTCACCTCCGTCCCAATAAACTTCCTCTGCCTTCCCCACTCCGCTCCTAGTCGGATTACCACTAGTAGCACTTACCTCCCGACCCACCAAGTGGACCAAAGTGGTCTGCCCGTCCTATCGTTGGACTTCATTGGACCCGCTCCAAATTTTGGGCATGTACTTGGCTAAGGGTGCAGCGCAAGAGCTGAAGCCAAGCCCCAACCCCTTCGCTTCTCTGTCCAAGCATGGTCTCTAACACAGGGTCTGCATCATGTCAGTGGTAGAATATTATCACACTATTGTCTTTGGCACATCAGTTTTGAATGCCACCATGTTGACACTGACCCCTGATACAGGGCTGGTGGCTACTGCCCTAGCGGCCACTTTGCTTATAGGGACATCCTACACATTTGCTGGATGTAACATTTGAAGTTTTGATAATTACATGAATCCTGATCCTCATGAGTATCTTGGAACTAGAGATAAAATCATAGTTTATCACCACATTTACAACTCCTTTTGATCTCCACTACCATTGCCCATCTTCTCAGCATCATTATCCCACATTACAGCTTGAGGCAACAATCATGTGGAATTTAGCATCAGGATCTTGAACACTGGTGATCACCATCCACAGACCATTGAACTGCCTCTCAGTATTGTTTGCATCTCTATCCTCCAGCATCTGCACAAGCTCTTCTGGTCTTTCTCTCAGTCTCACACCATCCCTGCTCCTGCCACCTAGTACACCTCAGCCCCCAAAGCAGTAGGCAGGATCTAGAGTCATAGGAGATTAGGTACCCAGAGACAGCAATGACTTGCCCATTTGGAACACTCAGAGAGTACAGACCTGAATATATGTTTATTGAGTTTTGGTTATATTGTTTCAGCTCACAGCTTAACAGATAACCCATATCAGATCCTAGCAAATCTAATTGTTACTTGTTTCACAATTTTTCACCTGACCTGATGCATGTCATCCATGAACTTTCTTGAGCTGCTTAGCCCACCCACCCATCTCAGCTCACTCATATGCCAGGGTGTACTGTAAGCATGTTTTTTGCTCAACCTTGCCTGCTTTTCAATGTGGGAAACTCGGGCCATTGTGGTGGTAGTCATCACCAAAATTCCTGAAAACAGATAAGAACAGATAAGGTCAGATCAAGAGATGAAAGGTCACATAAGGTGCACCATATACATCAGCAAGCAGCAGATCAAAGGAGTAGGCCTATCAGACCAGAATTAGAAGCAGGATTTCTGCTCAGTATGCCAACTACATTTGAGACTTGGCAGATTTTTTGACCTTAGGAGTACTGATCTGTCCTGATCTGATGATAAGAACTGATAATACATTATCATTGCAGTAAGGTATTACATGTAAGGGAGTGAAACAGTGAGTGAAGTGTGAGTGATGCAGGTAGTGAAACAGCAAGTAAGAGCATGAGCATAGTAAAGAATATCATCAGAATGTGGAATACAGCTGAAGATATGCATCAGTAGGGAACTGCATGGGTATGGATATACCCATGCAGGTGCAGGGTATGGGTATGTGCAGGGTACAGGTACAGGTCTAGTGTTGCAATACCTGTACCCATACCCATACCCTCGTGCCAGGCTAGGGTTAAAACAGCAGGGTAAGTGTTGGTACTGGAATGATCAAGGAGGAGAAGATGAAATATGCACTGTGAGAGGGAGAACTGCACCAATCATGTTGAGTAAGGGCTTGAAATGATGCTGATGAATGGGGTCTTCAAAACGCTAGCAACGGCTAATTAGTCCTGCACAGTGAATCCTATGGTAGTGTACTGTTAGTCTGAAGCTCCTACCGGAATATGGGAGACTGGACTTAGAAGGTCCGGTAAGCTAGTACAATTGGTTATCTCATACTAGGTATAATTCATAGAGACCTGCAGGTATACCCTCTTGGGTCACCCAAATGTATTGCCTCAGAAAACCCTACCCCTGCAGGGTATGGTATATTTCAGGAGGTATGGGTTATACTACAACATGGGGTATACCCGTGCAGTTCCTATGATAGACCACTGAGCCAAGTGAAACTCACCAATACTCCTCCTATGCAGAAAAAATGCAAATGTTGTCAATATCCAGATCAAAAGGGCTGTATATACTTACTTGTCCTTGCTGATGTCCTTTTTTGCCTGAAAACATGCAATTAAGTCCATATATGTGCTATACAATAAGATAACTTATGATCATGGACATTTTGAAACCTTCAGTTTGTCATTGTTGCAGTCATCATCAGTATCTAATGACCTGTTGTGCTTATGTTTTCTGCCCTTGAGGGGCTCAGTACTGTGAGAAGGTTTCTCTACTGGAGGAGTGAGTGAAGTTTTATGCGACAATACTGAAGAGATGTCAGATTCAGAGTCTGAATCTGATGAACTTGAAGAATTGGATGCAACATGACAACAACTCAGACGGGCTGCATGATGATGGTGAGTATAGGGTTAAAATGATGCGACAACAGGCTGATATCAGTTGTTTGCTTGTATTTGTCAGTCAAAGTGTGAGACCATTTATTACTACAGTACATGCATACCTTTTTTGGCATGTCAAACATGTTCAACACAAATAGGCTACTGTAACTTCAAAACTCCATTGTTTTTAATGTAAAGTAGTGTAATAGACTCAGTTTCATATGCAGAACATGACCCATTGAACAAGTAGACACAATTCTGAAGTTTGAATTTTTCGTCATCAAAAATTGAAACATGCCTCCAAAAACTGTGTTTTAGCGCTGATAGAGGCCTGTAGGGCCTTCGGGTGAGTGTAAACAGTGTTTTGAGGGATGTATGAAGGCCCTATGAGGTATCTAAGACTCCATCAATGCAATTATTTCATTCGGGAGTCCTACATGGCGGTGAGACTTGTATTTGTGCACCGCGAAGGCTGTTTGACATGAATCAAGTCCTTTTCTGTGACACATAGCGTGGCAAAGAGTAAAATCAGAAAATTGAACAGGATCGGATACAGGGCAATGGAAAACTCACCAATATGCATCCATATAGTGCCACATTTTACAAAAAAACTGACGGATAGTCAAGGTCTCACACATATCAAGACACTGTGGAACCAGGACTTTCGCAGTTGTGAATTTTCCATCTGATGCTTTGCGATAACCTGAATGGTCCGTGAGTTAGTGTGATATGAATATGAAGGAAAACAACAATAAAACTCATGATATTTGGCATAACCCCACAGCAACTCAATAGGGTTCAACTCACAGTGAAACTTGGGCAAGAACATGCAAACATGCCCATGGCTCTCAATATAATGTTGTATCATTGGCTTTTCTGTGGCAAAGTCCTCTTGCAATGACAGCACACAATACATGCAGCACCATTCACTTTCTGGTGCTGTCTCGACCTCCTCGGCTTGGGAGATGTCATTATCTCACAATGTGTCTTCTTGCCCCATTGCCTCAGCTGCAGCAACTCGCCTCTCAGCATCTTTCTTTGCCTGTGATTTCTGGCAGCTCCTGCACTTTCCCACAACTTTTCTGTGACATTGCAAGCTCAACTCCTGCCAAACAGATTCACGCTCTTGAAGCACGGCCTTCATACCTTTTGGTTTTCCTTGCAATTGAAGATCAGGGTGGGTGTCAGGGTACACCAACTGCTGAGGCATCCCTCGTGTATTGAGTTGGCCTGGTTTCAGAGGTGGATTGGTAAGGGGGATGACTGTGTCTCACATCAGCCCACTGTTTTCCACTGGGGTTAACATTCATATTGTTGACATTGAGTGCATCAACCCGTGAGACCTTCGTGTACGGAGGAGCAATCGAAAAGCTAGATACCAACTTTCTCAGGATGTAGGTACTCAAAAATATCAACTGCAACTTTTGTCTGGTCCATGAGTTGGGCAAGGTCCCACCATGCATCGTGATTTTTACCAGGATAGATGATTTTGTGAGCATCCATTGCTTTGAGTCAAGCTTCTGGAAGCAATTGCAGTTGTTGTGCAATCTGTTCTTGCGAGAGCATGAGCTGACCTGTCAGTTCACAGATCCAGTCTGATATGTGAATTTGTTGGCCATTTCCTTTTGTCTTCAATGGTTGCTGGTTGTCTTTCAACCACACCCGACGGGTGTGATCATTGGTGCTGATGGTGCACTCATCATGTGTGAGAAGTATGTATTTTTCTCTCTGGCCTCAGGATTGGTGGAATCAGCTCCAGAGTTTTATCATATTTGCACATAAAACTTTACCATGGCATGAATAAGTACAATTATGTTGATGTGCGGAAACCTGCGGGAACTCACCATTCATATTCTTCCATCTGATCCAGGAACTTTTTGCATGCCTCAATGACATCAGGGCATTCATGACCATCATGGTAAACCCCCTTCTTAACATCTTTACAGGTATAACCAAGTTTCTTCAACCAATTGATAGCTGTCTGTTCACAAATACAGCTCTTTTTCTCAGATAAATCCAAGGTCGGAAGAATGACCTTGTTGACATGACAGCAGAATTCTCAAGGGGTGATGGTGCCCAGGCTCTGAGCAGCCAAGTATCTTCGAACACTATGCAGGACTGATTCATTGTCCAGAAGTGTATATTGGCCATGTTTGGCACCTTTTTTTGTGAGCGGGAGACGATGATGGCACAAGAGATAGTTTTCATGGTGGCGGATCTGGCGTGCAAAGTATGCACCATCTGCTTTTCCCATCCGATGTGCAATAGCCAGACTGGCATTAAGACAGGGCCACTTGCAATTTGGATTGCAGCAGAATCTCTCCTGGAACTGCACATATTGGGTAACTGCAGTAAGATGCATCACCATCTTGACTCTTTGTGCTGCTGGCATATCTAACTTTTTAAGATCTTCCAGACATGATTTTACAATCTGGAAGATGTCAGGAGCAGGCTCGTTTTCATTGTCATCCATAAGCTCTTGTGCAGCAGTAATTTCAGGTGCTTCAGTGACTTGTGCTTCTGAATCAATGACTGATTCGGACTTGTCATGGTCCAATTCTTCCCCTCCATTGTGAGCAAGCTGACCCAAGGTCAGTTTCAAGGTTTGTGGGTTTGTACTGCATGAAATGTGACTGCACAGGACATACCCAGAAATCATCATTTGTCTCATTGTTGGGCATTTGAAGCTGGGGCTCTTCAATGGACAATTCATTCTCAAGCTGCTCCATACAAAAGACATCAAATTTGAGACCCATCTCGATGTCAAAGGCAAGTCCAGAATCTTCCTCCAATGTTTCATCCATCATCTCACTCTTGGACATGAGTTGTAAATCTGGGGATGGTGTGCGGGTCCGTTTTTTCTGCATGTCACTTAGTTTCCTATCTATTTGGTGAGTTTTGAAGTTGATGACTCACGGAAAAGAACAAGTCCAGTTTCTGACATCCTTTTGATGCCCCTTTCCAATAGTTCTTCTTCTGCCAGTTGCTTGTATGAGAGTCCTTCTGATAAATAACACTTCGGTTGGGACCCTGTCGTTTTTTTGGCTTGTGGCAGGTTATGTTGCTTTAGACATAGTGGCAGAAAGACAGCATAAAGTTCTTGCAATGACATGATGTTTTCTGGTGATTCATCTTGTTCTTCTGCATCAGATTCTGCAGCTGACCAGACTTCTTCTTCACCTGAATCATACATTGATTCACTAGAATTGGAGACAGCCTTCACAGGTATAAACATTGACTGGCCAGCCTGTTGCTTCGCTCTGGCTCTTGTGGCAGCTTTGTTGGGGCGTGGCATAACTGTCTGTCAAGTACAGGGCAAATGGACTAACAGGCAAACAAAAAAAGAATTAAATTGGTCCACATTTTGAAACATGGGCGCCTAATTCAAAAATGTTAGACTACATGTCTTTTTAACCTAGTAAGTATTTGGGAAATATCCGACAGGGTTCTGAAGTTCAAGAAAATGTGGTGCAGAGGAGTCGAAAAAGTGTTGTGTGTACTGTAGATCATCAATAATTGCAATGTAAGTATGAGCAGTGATACTAGCAGTACAGGCAAAATCATTGTGACAGCATGACAACAAAATGAGAGCTAAGGTAACAAAACTTCAACAGCAAAATGGGAGCAAAAAAACTGCAAAAGTCATTTACATGGTCTGCCAAGTTGGATGCTTCAGCTCTTTCCTTGACATAGTGGGCCTCAGATTCTCAGGATCTGGATTGGGGTTCCCAGCGTGGCTAAAGGATATGGTGCACTTTAACTTGTTTGCTATAAATTAGGGCCTGAATACTGGAATACATACTAATTTTATACAGTTGATATGTCATATACCTGATCCGACCACTCCGATATTAATATCCGCTCCGCTTTCCAACCCCCTCCACTTCATCCATCCTCCGCTCCATCTGATCACAGTCTGCATTCCGCTCCTATGCTTCCGCTCAACCGCTCAACCGGTCCCCTTCCATAATGTCTCCATTCAACTGGACCTCTTTCCCCTTTTAGATATATACTTCCCCCTTCGGTACATAGACCCTTACTCCCGGATCACCAGTAATTCCTTTTACCGCTCGATTACTGATCCGACACGTACATATTGATATCCGCTCCGACTTATGTCTTCACCTGTGTAAGTACTTACAAATTATATCCTTGGTACATAGCTTTACAACATAGTTATCCTGATCACTGCCTCCTACTTAGAAGTATATAACATATCCTGTACTTATATATTTTCCCCAGTCTTAATATTACTTGTCTTCTCGCAGTTACTACTTGTGAGAATTTCTCAGTAGGATCTTGCCTCCTCTGGACACAAGTTTCACCTTGTTGTCACCTCCGACCCTCCTGCTCCGACTTAGAGCCGTGCTCTAAGTCTTCTCTTTACTTCTCTGCCCCTATCAAGTATTCCCCCTGCTCCTTTCCACCCTCTGCATTATCCTCCACCTCCTCCACTCCTATCAAGCATTCCCCCAGCCCCTTTCCACCCTCCCCATTATCCTCCACCCTGCTCCTAGTCGGTCCACCAGCTAGTAGCTCTTACCTCCCGACCCTCAAAGCTGGACCTAAGCAGGTCCACTTGTCCTATCAGTTGGACAATGTCGGACCCGCTCCAAATTCGGGGCACGTACTCGGCTAAGGGTGCAGCGCAAGAGCTGAAGCCAAGCCCCAACCCCTCTGCCTCTTGAGCTGGCATGGTACCTAACATGATACTTGAAAGTGCTGCTTGATCTATTAACAAAACAGATGGTATTTAGGTTGGCACTTGTAGTAGGCGAACACTGAGGTCAGAACACATCCAGGGAGACATGCAGATGGTCTGAACTTATCTGAAGTGCATCATACTGATGGCAACCTGACATGCTCGCAGATTGGCTGCTGTGCATGTCACGAACTTATTGTTGTGTTGACAATGTACTATCATTCTGGGTAATCTGCAACTAGCATGTAATATGCAAAATGTTCAAAACACCTCAACGTGCTGCTCAACTCACTTCAAAAAAATTCAGGCATATGTAGACTACTTATAGATGATGTACTGTCCAAGTAGAATGAAAATTTCTTGAGTGTTGCAGCTGTGAGAGATGAAATAGTGGTAATTTGTAACCATGCAAAAACATAAATCATCCAGATCCCATAGATCCTACAGATATATTCACAAAGTTATACCTGGAGCATAACAATCACCTCGTCAGGATTCCAGAACGCAATTTTGATAAAGGTCATACTGTTGTTTTAAGATGCTATAGAGGAAGAATTAACAACATGTATGAAAACATGACAGCAGATAGGAGAGTGAGTAAGAAATTCAATCTCCTCTATGGCACACTCAGCTAGTGCACAGCATCTGCACTCTCCACGCCAAGTCTTGCATTGTGTTGTGTTGTCTCCTCTTGCATCATTCTCGCATCCTTGTTACAATGGCACCAAACCGCAGGCATACTACCCGTCAGAAGAAAGCCGAAGAAGATGTGACTCATGAAGCCAACTTCGCCGCCACTATCCAGACTATCAGAGAGAAGAAGACCAAGAACCTCTATACAGCAGCTGCAGAGTTCAAAGTCTCATACCATACTCTTCGTCGGCGGGCACAGAACCTCACTAAACCTCATTCGAAAGCCCACAAAAACCAACAGCTACTCACTGAAGGGCAGGAAGCAACAATATGTGACTGGGCCAAGTACCTGGCCATGACGGGTCACCCTCTTTCTAAGTGCAACCTTCGTGCAAAGGTGTCAGAGCTTAGCTAAGAAGTTAAAGGCAAAGAAGAAGCTCACCGGAAAAGATAAGGGGCCATCAAAAACCTGGGTTGAAGATTTTTTCGCTCGTCATCCAGAACTCAAGCTGGGATGCCCAACAGGCATTGACCCAAAGCGGATGCAAATGTTCAACTACACAACTGTTAATCACCACTTCAAACTCCTGGATGACTTCTTGAAATCTGAGAACATCCCCTGGGATAATGTGTATAACATGGACGAGAAGGGGATACAACTTGGAGGGGGGAGGAAATGTGATAACACAAAGTACCTGTTTTCATGGACAGCAAAAGCCCGAGTCAAGGCAAAGAGCGACCAACTCAAGCTGGTAACAGTGATTGAGTGTGTGTGTGGATGGCACTAGTTTGAAGCCTTGTTTTGTGTTTTCTGGGTCACAAATATATCCTGAATACTTTGAAGAGGATGGTATCATGTGAGTCTCTGCTCAATCATAGGTAGAAAAAGCTCACTCAACTTTGATATCAGAGTTGCAACATCTGAAAATGGTTGGACCAGCGACTTCATTGGCACCAAGTGGTTTGTGAAGAGTTTCGTGCTGCAAGCCAAGGAATGGAACTCGTCCAGTCAACCAATCATCCTAATATACGACAGACACCGCTCACACGAGACAATCAAACTTCATCAAGCAGCAGAAGAACATGATATTCACCTTTTTTGCCTTCCCCCCCCACACAACACATTGTTTACAACCCCTTGATGTGGGCATTTTCGGTCCCCTACAGAAACAATGGCAGAGATGCAGTGAGGTCATAATGGAAGAGACCGGGGAGGGGATCAAGAAGCATGACATGATTCAAGAGTATATGAAGGCAAGAGATATAGTGTTTAAAGAGGAGACAATCCTGCAGGCCTGGAGAAAGAGTGGAATTAGACTGATAAACCCAGGAATATTTACAGAAGAGGATTACGCACCAAGTTACGAGTCATCAACCCAGCTGCACCTCCCCCCCACCTTTCCTGTCAATCCAAACTCTGATCCAATATTCTCTGATTCCCTTTCCAAATCCGATCCATCCTATGAGCCACCCCAAGAGAACTCATCTGACTCTGACAGTTCAGAATCAGACTCAGAGTCGTCATCTGAGTTAGACGATGACTCAGGCAATCATACCCGTGGCTTTGGTGAAATGACAGATTGAGGGGCAACACTGCAACAATATTCACTGCAGGTATCAGGGGCTCAAATATTTGAGCCTTGGGTGCCTGAAGTTGGTCCCTCACATTTTGCTGGCTCACTCGACTGCAATGCTCCAACACCCTCCAACAGCACAACTGGTACCAGCGCACACCTGCCTCAACACCACACTTGATCAATATCTCTTTGGACATCATTGTCACGAAGCACAACACCTGCGCTGATTGAGCAACCAAAAACAATGGCAGAGCATCTCCGAGATGCTGAGGAAGAGGTTGAATGGCTCCATTGAGAGAATGAATTATTGATGTATCAAAAAGATGCGGTGGAGACTCACTGTTATTTTTCGGGTCAGATGGCCGAGCACTACAAGGAATGGTTAAATAAGAAGTTGGAAGACAAATCTCGCAAGGGATCAGGCAAGAAATGAATGAAGCCCTATTCGAGGGTACTGACGTCAGAGGAAGGCCGCATGGAGCTGAGGGGACTGGAGGCCAAACAGGCTGAGCGCGAACATCAAGAGGAGGCGAGCAAACAGAAGAAAGTTGCAGAGGAGCAGGAAAAATGTGATTGGCGAGCAGAACAGGAGTGGTCCCAAGTTGCATTTACAGGCACAATCAAGACCAAAAAATTGGACGAGCTACATGACATAGCTGCGGCCTTGCGATTACCAGAGACTGGACTCAAGGCAGAGCTGCTCCAGCGAGTTGTGCAGCTCTTTAATGATCAACCTGAACTCAAGAAAAACCAGCAGTACGAGGGCCTATTTAACCCCCCCTTGAAAACAACAATAACACTTCTGAGTTAGTACCACAAGACATGATTCGTCAAAATTCAACACACGAACCATTTGGTGGCTATCAACCACAGCCTATCCCTCCGAGTCAACCCTCGATGTTGCGCATGGATCTTCCCCCACCCGGCTATGCACCCCCATATTATCCCATGCACCATTCCACACCTCAGCTTCAGCCTCCACCTATTCCTCACTTTGTGCCGGCTGGTAGAGCAGATGTTCGAGTTGGTGGTGGGGCACAGATGTATGATGTCACGGGCCGTCAACTCTATTCAGGAGCATATCACCAGTACAATCACAATAACTAATAACTACATGAACCACGATACTTAATAACAATATATTGCTATATTCAGTATTTTCAGAGCTTCGCACAACTTCAAGTTTCAAGCTTCAAGTTCGACGACTCCACGCCAACAGACCGAGAGCTGCGGAGAGTCAAAGTTGACGATGCTGGTGCTGCGCCGAGGTGTGACACGACGTGACCATATTTTGCAGATTAGCAGTCAGACCCTGAATTTTCTCGGCTTTCATCCGACACCACACCACAATGTCCTAAAAATGAGCAAAAATCAGATCTATATAGAGGCGGTACGAATCTACAACACTCTAAATTCGTGGAAGATAATATGAAGTGGTTGACGAGCTACAAAAGATTTGCTGAAAAAGTTGCAGATTACCCGGAATGATAGTATGATCATGACACGTCAATGCCCATATGCTTGTGGCGCGGGAAATTGTCCAAATAAGGCAGCATCAGATTTCGAGAATTTCGGTGATGTACGAGAACAAGGGCCTCCCGTTCGTTACATTTGCAAGGCATCTACCTTACTTTCCGGCTTCCCTTTGTAACTTGTTGACTCTGCTGCCATCAGATCTTCTTTTGATTCATAGATGCATTCATCGCATATTACGATGATCGTGCGTTGGGAAGACTAGATTATCCTCTGGTTCTTAAAAGCTAAGCTCATCGGCCCGTTCTTGCGTGCTAACTTCTATCTAGAGTACCAAGTGCACTGTGGGTCTGAGGACTGCAAGGAAATTCCCGCCGCGGTTCCTGCCAATGCTGCATGATGACAGACACGTCTGGCAGAGATCCAACTTGTGAGCCGTGGATTGGCCGTGGACTACTTGAACGGTTCACACTCGGAACGGTCCCTAGCATAATTGCCATGTCACTATCTATGGTACTATGTGCTGGTATGCACGTGTGCATCCGAGCTACCAGAGAAAGTAGCGGTGCTGGTGGGGCTTGTGATGTACGCGCTATGGCCATTTGTAACCGACAACGACATTTTCAAAATTTTCAAAGCAGACCTCATCACACGGGCCGTAAGCGTTCGTGCATAAAGCGTTCGTAGTGGCAAATTTAAGCTTTCATTTCACGGTTTTGCAGGGGCAGATAGGGACTTCTGTTGTCCGAAGTCTCGTTCTAATGGCTACACGTAAGAAGGAAGACCTCGCGTATGTCTGAGTATAAATACAGTTCCCTCCATCCACGACGGATTTCTTCTCTCAGGTTGACCACCATGTTCTCCTTACTCTTGGGCGTCCTGTACGCCCTGTCGCCTACAGTTTCGGGAGGGGTATCATCTCTAAGAAACAAGCACGCTCTTGATGGCACCGCGCCGTCTTATTCGATGAATGTCACGAACTGTCCAGGTTGGACTGCAGTACAATGGCTTGGGAGTTGACATTGACAATGGCAGCGTTTAGGATACACTCTAGGGTCGCTTGAAGAGTCTGACACTGGTCTCACTGCTCAGCTCACACTCGCTGGACCAGCATGCAATGCATTTGGACTAGATATATCAGCCCTCACCATCGAAGTCACTTACCAGTCGCAGTCCACGTACATTGCTTTCCGAGTCTTTTGAGCGCAGCGCTAATGGTTGGTTTTAGTTTACACGTCAAGATCTATGACACTGCCAACCAACAGTTCACGATCCCCGAGTCGGTGATCGAACGACCTACTGCACCAACAACATCCTACACAAGCAGCTCTGACCTTATGTTCAACTATGATGCAATGCCATTCGCATTCTGGATTACGAGACGCTCTGACCCAGGGGCAATGCCATTGTTTGACACGAGAACTTCGTCACTCCCACCTACTCCCATTCCACCTTTCAATGCATCTGACCCAAGTACAGCATTTGGTGGCTTCCCTCTTGTATTCGAAGACCAATACCTTCAGGTCTGCATCCGTCATCCCTGATGCAAATCCGGCTTACGGTTACCAGGTTACTTCCGCTCTGCCGTATGGCACCAACATCTATGGATTAGGTGAAGTCGTTGCCAGCAGTGGATTTAGACGTGACATTGGAACAGACGGTGGTGTCGGCACCATTCAGACGCTTTGGAGCCTCGGAGTTTCAGATCCCATTGATCAAAATTTGTAAGTGACATGGCTGAAAATCATTTTTACGTGACGAGATGCGAGCTCTTCGTCTTTAGGTATGGCTCCCATCCAATCTACATCGAACATAGGTATAATGCGACTACCGGAAAGGCCTCTTCCTCTGGCGTCCTTTTACTTAGGTATTCAACTCCAATTCATTCCAAATCCGTCCGATCAAGCCATTCCTCAGTGCCGCGGGATCAGATATCTTCCTGCAGACGCCTCCCAACTCTAAGGTATCATTAATCGAGTACCGCATGATTGGTGGTATCCTAGACTTTTACTTCTTCTCCGGCCCGACGGATGCAGAAGTCATTTCCCAGTACGGTTCAGTCATAGGGTACCCTATGTGGCAGCCAGCGTGGGGATTCGGGTTCCACCTTTGCAGGTGATGTACTCTGCAATGTGATCGGCGTAGAAGAGACTCAGTCAAATTATACAGATGGGGGTACCACAATATTAGCGACGACAGAGAAAACGTCGCGCAGATGCGTGCAGCGGGTATCCCCCTGGAAGGTCTGACACATCTTGGACTCGTTGCTCATGATTCTGACTTGGCACTGAAGTTCAATGGAACGATATTGACTTATACCACGCTTACCGTGACTTCACTACTGATCCAGTGAGTTTTCCTGGAGATGAACTTCGTGAGTTCATCCAAGAGTTGGTAAGTGTTTACCCTACAGGGTGCGACCAGTTCTGACTTGAGTGAAAGGCCACAAATCATCAACATTGTAAGTTAGCTTCTCTTCCGCTGCTAGATTCGATTCCAGCGGATCGTCAGATATCCCTATTGTCGACGCCGCTATCGCTGTCACAAGGAATTCAACTGACGTCGTAAGTGTCTCGGCATGACGTGGTCGAATACTTCCTGATCATATGCTGATTTAGTACGACCCTTTCACACGGGGAGTTGAAGAGTACGTTTTTGTGTCCTCGTATAGGACTTGAGTAATGAATTCATTTCAGAGACGTGTGGATCAAGAATCCAGATGGGTCTCTATACATCGCCGAAGTCTGGCCTGGGTACACTGTCAGTCATTCCTCACGTATGACACCCTTCTCCAACCAATTATTCTGCATGCTTTCTTAGGTTTTCCCAGACTGGTTCAGTGAAAATATGCTCTCTGTATGGACTGACAGTCTCAAAAACTGGACAGAGATGGGTGTCGAATTCTCTGGTATTTGGCTCGACATGAACGAACCAAGCACATTCTGTAGCTACTCTTGGTGAGACAAACTTTTGTTTGCATTCCGCTTGAAGCTGAATGGTGAGAAGTGGGACTGGCGCGAACTTCTCTTCCGTTGGCCCCCTGACCGATGTCAGCTCTGTCGTTGTCGGATATCCTGAATGGTATGGCAATTAGGAGTTTTCTGAGGCGCTGAAGGTTCCTAACATTGTTTGATGAAGTTACAACGAGACGCTCTGGGGACCAAGCGGGAACATGACTATCAACGGAACATCTACATATTCATGTGGAACAAGCTCGAGCAGTGTGACGGCGATAGAAAGACGGGGTGTTGGTACAGGTAGCGAGCAAAGCGTCAATCTCAGCAGCCCACCATACGCCATCCATAATGGTAAGATTCATCTGCTATATGCCTTTGTTTCCATGTGACTCGAACTTCACTGGAATGCAGCGGCCGGATCCCTTAACCAACACTCCTTGGCGACCAATGCAACACATTACGGCAGCTACGCGGAGCTCGACGTGCACAACATGTTTGGATTCATGGAGGCAAAGACGACCAACCTTGCTGTCCAATCGATTCTGCCCGGAAAGCGTCCGTTCTTGATCGGCAGATCGACCTTCCCCTCTGCTGGAAAATGGACCGGTCATTGGGTATTTCGAATCTACTCGACGCAATAGGGTGGAATTTAACGTCTCTAATAGCTTGGTGACAACTACAGCAAATGGCAATACATGTACTTCAACATTCAGGGCGTCCTACAATTCCAGATCTACCAGATTCCGATGGTCGGCGCTGACACGTGTGGCTTCAGTAAGCATCTTGCGGAATGTAGATCAGTGTCTGGTTAACAATCTACACAGATGACAACACCGACGAGGAATTGTGCAACCGTTGGATGCAGCTCTCGGCATTCATGCCTTTCTATAGGAATCACAACACCAACGGTGCTCTTCCTCAAGAGCCTTATCGCTGGCCAAGTGTAGCAAATGCATCCCGCATCGCCATCGCTGCGAGGTATGCCCTACTGCCGTACTGGGTGAGTATGTGCGCTATTATGTGATCCCGTCGCTGATATCAGACGTACACAAGTATACACTCTTTGCTAACGCATCGATGGCTGGTCTTCCGCCTATCAGAGCGTTGTTTTACGAGTTCCCTGACGAGCCTGAGCTCTTTACCGTGGACAAGCAATGGCTCGTTGGAAGCGACATCCTCGTGACTCCAGTACTGATTCCAGGAGCTACGACCGTTGAGGGTAATAGACCAATCCTGATCAACAATCATTGCCACTGACGTATATCCGACAGGTATCTTCCCCGGCCGCGGTAGCGTAATCTGGCGCGACTGGTACACTCACGCCGTCGTCGACGCTACGTCTGGAGGAAACACGACACTAGACGCTGACATCAGCCACATCAATGTTCACATTCGCGACAACTCCGCTTTGCTGTTGCACCAAGAGCCCGGGTACACGATCTACGAGACTCGTGAAGGCCCTTATGCGCTCCTCGTGTCCCTCAACACAGCAGGCACGGCATTTGGCACTGCCTATGTGGACGATGGGATCAGTTTCCCGCCTGGGCCGAGTCGGGGCCTTACATTCCAGGCTGCTGAAGGCACGCTGGAGATTGAGAGCCAGGGAGAATATACGATTAAGCAGAAGCTGAAGACGATTACTGTGCTTGGCGTGCAGAAGCCTACACAAGTCACATTGCAAGGATCACCGGTTGGGGGTTGGACTTATAAGGAGGCAACTGAAGAGCTAATGGTGTCGAACGTGACCATCGACCTTAACGGACAGCTTACTACTTTAGCATGGAAGTAGTTTTCTGGCGTGTTTTTCCTGACTCCCAGACAAGTCGTGCAGGCGCATGATTGCACACATTTACTACACAATAGTCCACCAAACAAATGCCACTCGCCATTCAGTACAGATGTAAGGCGACGTAAAGTTCCTGCAAATTTGGATGCCGGAAGCCAAGATGAAAGTGAACTTTTAGCGTGCGTTTTGACAGCTCGAAAGGGGTACATATGCATTTACGGGGAATATCCATTCTCGTCTGTATCAAGGTGCACTGTCGATGAACATAGGTAAGCAATCACACACATAAGTCTACGGGTGGCCGTGGTGGGCATGGGGTATCCTTGCCACAAGCCAATCCCAAGCATGAGCTGTGTTGGGATTGTACAATGATCGGATGTGGCCCAACGCTAACGTGGTACCTGACACTCAAACAGTTTTGAGATGCTGATGTGCGAACCTTCAGAGTTCACCACGACCATCAGGATGCCAGTGCTTGAAAAGGACGTGAGTAACCTCAGAAAATTTCTCACAGAAGCCGACGTGAAGTGCTTGCTGTCTTCTGCTCAATAATGCCAAAGGTCATCTTGTCATTATCAAACAATGTGGCGTCGTCAACGTGTCAACGAAGGGGTTCGAGGGCTTCGGGTCCGGAGTCTGGTGAATTTCGGTACCGTGGGGGATAATCATGCTGGGAATGTGCTTGCTTGCCAATGTCACAAGGGGTTTCGACTCGATAATGGCGGGTATGGACAAGTTGCTATCCCAGGATATCGCGGCGTGACCTAGCGGATACCACAAAGCATGTCTGCACGATGCCCATAACAGGCCTGTGGATGATCTGACGAGGAACCCATGTTATGTGCAACAAGCTTCTTCGCATTCAGTTGGGACGTGAAACATGACATCAACCTCACATGGCAGTTTGTCGTACTCACCTTCTGCAAATTAGGCTGCTGGTTCAAATGACACGAAGCCTTAGAATGGCTTCGCGCCCTTGGCAGGTCGAACATGTTGAAGGAGCAACAGATCTAATTTACACTTCTAGGAGGCATACGATACCACCTGAGACAGAAAAATGGCGCGACACTGACGTACAGATCAGATTCGAACGAAGTCACTGGCTGACCACGAGGCTGATTGGCAAGACGGGAGTCACATCAATGCATGTGGGCATATTCTCGGACCAGGAGCAGCAAACAATACAAGCTCAGTCAGTTATATGTAGTAGCTTAGTACTAGTAGTAATTTAAACTTCGCTGCTGCCCCAGCAAGCGGCAACTCCAAGACCGGCATTTGCCGTCACCATCTGACCATCTGACGGGGGGTCGAATACCCTGAACGGCTCCAGCGTTTAGACCACTTGCAAGTACTTCTCCCCTCGTCGACTCTGCTGCCATCAGATCTTCATTTAATATGATGTTCATGGCATCTTACTTGCGATGATCGTGCGCTGAGAAGACTACTTCTCTGGTTCTTAATAGCTAAGCTCATCGGCCCTTTCTCGTGTGCTAACTTCTATGTAGAGTGCCAAGTGCCAAGTGGGTCAGAGAACTGCAAGGAAATTCTCGCCGCAGTTCCACCCAACGCTGCATAATGACAGACACGTCTGGCTGAGATCCGACTTGTAACTTGTGGACCACTTCAACGGTTCACATTTGGAACGCTCCCTAGCATTGCCATCAGTGTATCTGTGGTGATATGCGCTGGTGTGCGCAAGGCTGCGCGTATGCATCGCTATCAGCGAAAGTGGCAGGACGGGACTTGTGGTGTACGTGCCGTTTGGAACCGAGGACATTGTCGAATTGTCAAAGCAGGCCTCATCATACGGGCCGTAAGCGTTCGTAAAGCGTTCGTAGCGGCAAATTCTTGAAGCTTTCATTTCACGGGTTTGCAGGGGCAGGTAGTAGTAGGGGCTTTCGACGTCCGAAGTCCCGTTCCAACGGCTACACGTAAGAAGGAAGAACTCGTGTATGAGTATAAATACAAATCCATCACATCTTCCCCATCCACGACGGATTTCTTCTCTCAGGACGATCGTCATGTTCTCCTTGCTCTTAGGTGTCCTGTACACCCTGGCGCCTGCAGTTTCGGGAGGGTTCTCATCTCTGGAAAACAAGCATATTTTTGATGGCACTACAACGCCTTATGCGATGAATGTCACGGACTGCCCAGGTTGGACTGTAGTACAATGTCTTGGGAGTCGAGGATATTGATGATGGTGGTGTTTAGGGTACACTCTAGGGTCGCTTCAAGATTCTGACATTGGTCTTACTGCTCAGCTCACACTCGCTGGACCAGCATGCAATGCATTTGGACTAGATATTTCAGACCTCACCATTGAAGTCATTTATCAGTCGTCATCCATGTACATCGTTTCTTGCGTCTTGTGGGTGCAATGCTAATGGCTGGTTTTAGTTTGCACGTCAAAATTTATGACACTGCCAACCAACAGTTCACAATTCCCGAGTCGGTGATTGAACGACCTGCTGTGCCAACGACATCCTACACAAGCACTTCCGATCTGGTGTTCAACTATGATGCAACGCCTTTCGCATTTTGGATCACGAGACGCTCTGACCCGGACGCAATGCCATTGTTTGACACGAGAACTTCGTCGCTCCCACCTACTCCTATTCCACCTTTCAATACGTCTGACCCAAGCACAGCATTTGATGGCTTCTCTCTTGTATTCGAGGATCAGTACCTCCAGGTCAGTATCTATCATCCCCTCTGACCCTGTGAATCTCGCTTATGATGTCCAGGTTGCTTCGGCTCTGCCGTATGGTACTAATATCTACGGATTGGGTGAAGTCATTGCCAGCAGTGGATTTAGACGTGACATTGGAACAGACGGTGGTGTCGGCACCATTCAGACGCTTTGGAGCCTCGGAGTTCCAGATCCCATTGATCAAAATTTGTAAGTGACATGGCTGAAAATCATTTTTACGTGACGAGATGCGAGCTCTTCGTCTTTAGGTATGGCTCCCATCCAATCTACATCGAACATAGGTATAATGCGACTACCGGAAAGGCCTCTTCCTCTGGCGTCCTTTTACTTAGGTATTCAACTCCAATTCATTCCAAATCCGTCCGATCAAGCCATTCCTCAGTGCCGCAGGATCAGATATCTTCCTGCAGACGCCTCCCAACTCTAAGGTATCATTAATCGAGTACCGTATGATTGGGGGTATCCTAGACTTTTACTTCTTCTCCGGTCCCACTGATGCAGAAGTCATTGCTCAGTATGGTTCAGTCATAGGGTACCCTATGTGGCAGCCAGCGTGGGGCTTCGGCTTCCACCTTTGCAGGTGATGTTCTCTGTAATGTGATAGAGGCAGAATCGACTAAGTTATACACAGATGGGGGTACCACAACATCAGCGATGTCAGAGAAAATGTTGCGCAGATGCGTGCGGCAGGTATCCCCCTGGAAGGTCTGGCACATCTATGGACTCGTTGCTCATGATTCTGACTCGGCGTGGTAGTTCAATGGAACGATATTGACTTATACCACGCTTACCGTGACTTCACTACTGACCCAGTGAGTTTCCCTGGGGATGAACTTCGTGAGTTCATACAAGAGTTGGTGAGTGTTTGTCCCGATATTGTGTAACCTGTGCTGACTCGAGTAAAAGGCCGCCAATCATCAACATTGTGAGTTTAACTGTACCCTCTCGCTGTCACATTGGTTCCAACGGCTCGTCAGATATCCCTATTGTCGATGCCGCCATCGCTGTCACAGTGAACTCAACTGACATCGTGAGTATAAGTCTCTCGACATGCCGAGGTTGAATACTTATCACATGCTGATTTAGTATGATCCTTTTACACGGGGAGTTGAAGAGTAAGTCCTCGTGTCCTCATAGAGGACTTAAGCGATGAATACATTACAGAGATGTGTGGATTAAGAATCCAGACGGGTCTCTATACATCTCTGAAGTCTGGCCTGGGTATACCGTTAGTCATTCCCGAATTACGACACCCTTCTCCAACTAATTGTTTTGCATGCTTTCTTAGGTTTTCCCGGACTGGTTCAGCGAAAATACGATTTCTGTATGGACTGACGGTCTCAAAAATTGGACAGAGATGGGTGTCCAATTTTCTGGTATCTGGCTCGACATGAACGAACTAAGCACATTCTGTAGCTATTCCTGGTAAGGCAAACTTTTGTTCGCGTGTAGCTTGAAGCTGATCAGTGAGAAGCGGAACTGGCGCGAACTTCTCTTCCGTTGGTGCCCTGAGCGATCTCAGCTCGGTCGTTGTCGGATATCCTGAATGGTATGGCAGTTGGGAGTTTTCTGAGGTGCTGAACGTTACTAACGATTTGATGAAGTTACAATGAAACGCTCTGGGGACCTAGTGGGAATATGACTGTCAACGGAATCTCTACATATTCATGTCCGGCTAACTCGACCACTATGACGGTGATAGAAAAGCGAGGTGTCGGTGCAGGTAGCGAGGTAGGCGTCGATCTCAACAACCCGCCATATGCTATCCATAACGGTGACACTCATTCATTGCATACCACGGGCTCGTTCTGACTCAGAATTCTCTGGAACGCAGTGGGCGTATCCTTCAACCTATACTCCCTGGCATCAAACGCGACGCACTATGGCGGATATGTGGACCTCGACGTACATAATTTGTTTGGACTGATGGAGGAAAAAGCAACGCACCTTGCTATTCAATCAATCCTGCCCGGAAAGCGTCCGTTCCTGATTAGCAGATCAACCTTCCCCTCTGCTGGAAAATGGACTGGTCATTGGGTATTTTGAATCCATCGGGCGGAATATGGTTGGACGTTGACGTCTCTGATAGCTCGGTGACAACTACAGCAAGTGGCAATACATGTACCTCAACATTCAGGGAGTACTACAGTTCCAGATCTACCAAATTCCGATGGTTGGCGCTGACACGTGTGGATTCGGTACGTATCCCGCGAAATGTAGATCAGTGTCTGGTTAACAATCCATGCAGGCGACAACACCGACGAGGAATTGTGCAACCGTTGGATGCAGCTCTCAGCATTCATGCCTTTCTATCGGAATCATAATACTAACGGTGCTCTCCCTCAAGAGCCTTATCGCTGGCCAAGTGTAGCAAATGCATCCCGCATCGCCATCGCTGCGAGGTATGCCTCTACTGCCGTACTGGGTGAGTATGTGCGCTATTATGTGATCCCGTCGCTGATATCAGACGTACACAAGTATACACTCTTTGCTAACGCATCGATGGCTGGTCTTCCGCCTATCAGAGCGTTGTTTTACGAGTTCCCTGACGAGCCTGAGCTCTTTACCGTGGACAAGCAATGGCTCGTTGGAAGCGACATCCTCGTGACTCCAGTACTGATTCCAGGAGCTACGACCGTTGAGGGTAATAGACCAATCCTGATCAACAATCATTGCCACTGACGTATATCCGACAGGTATCTTCCCCGGCCGCGGTAGCGTAATCTGGCGCGACTGGTACACTCATGCCGTCGTCGACGCTACGTCTGGAGGAAACACGACACTAGACGCTGATATCAGCCACATCAATGTTCACATCCGCGACAACTCTGCTCTGCTATTGCATCAAGAGCCCGGGTACACGATCTACGAGACTCGCGAAGGCCCCTATGCGCTGCTCGTATCACTTAACGCAGCAGGCACCGCATTCGGTAATGCGTATGTGGACGATGGGATCAGTTTCCCGCCTGGGCCGAGTCGGAGCCTCACGTTTCAGGTTGCTGAAGGCACGCTGGAGATTGAGAGCAAGGGTGAATATGCGATCCAACAACAGTTGGAGACGATTACTGTACTTGGGGTGCAGAAGCCGACGCGGGTCACGTTCCAAGGATCGCCGTTTAAAGGGTGGACGTATGAGGATGCTACCAAAGAGTTGGTAGTGTCAAATGCATCCGTCGACCTCAATGGTCAGATGACTCTAGTCTGGAGATAGCTTGATCGTTGGGCAAGTCGTGCAGCGCATGATTGGACAGATTCACAATCACCTCGCGAGCGGAATAATTTAGACCCACGGTCATGCACAAACTAGAAATGTCGTATTTGATCATAGCGCTATGCGTAGTCAGTTAGGAGTTTGGCGTGTATCTGTTGTTGCATAAATGACTTGGGTATAGGGTCTATAAGACTACGCGAGGGCCCCTATGCGCACCTTGTGTCCTTGAGGGCATTCGGCACTGGGCTGGTCTGATCAGGGGCAGTACTTGCCACGTTCTCAACTTAACTCAGGCCGTCCGGACATGTGGTATCTTTGCACTACATTCGAATCGGCAAATGAATTGAGAGACGGAAAAACAATCAATATTGCTACATACGCCTACATGTCGGAATGATCTAGCCCAACTGTTGACTATACTATATTTAGGGATAATGTATTCAGTAATGTCTAGCACTCGGATGACGTCCTCTGAGCACGAACTCGAAACATACCCTAAGCCGGGACCCGAGCGAATTGGGTACGGATTCAGCAGTAGGTTATGTACCATCGCATGACATATTCCAGTCCTATAACAAAATTATGTTTCAGTGATCACCTCCATTTGTAGGTAACTTCAAAGCACACACCTGCCGTGCAGATTTCCGCACCTCTTGAGAGGAATTTTCAGGCACGATCACTAATGCATACACAAAACGATGGAGGAGGCGAGGCATTTCGCCGTCTTGCGTTCGCTTTGTGTATGCGTCAGCTGTGGATATGCACACTCTGCCCTGTATAACCATGGGCAAAAGGAAGTTTGTTGTAGGGAGTCGTATAGGTCCAACATGCTGTACCATTGAGGCTTAGCATACGAACAAACGGAGTGATTAATAAGACAGGGGGTATGATGGTCAGAACATGCTCCTCTCTTTGAGAACGTGGCCGCATGTATCATGACAGTCAGGTTTAAGCCATCGATGTCACCACAAAGCTGCCACCAGCGCAGAGTATTACTGTGACGCATCCATCGCATGCCGAAGTCTGCGAGTGAGATGATACACGCAATTAGCACTTAAACGTACTGGGGTTGCACAGCGTTCAATGTATGCCAGCCTACGGAACTTTAGGGACATGTTAACGTACGGTGATGATCACTTAGCTTCAAGTTGGGGTTAGGTCGGTGATGATCTGCGTTTCCTTGTTACTGTCAAGATAAACACAGGAAAGTCAGTCAGACTATTGGTCTCATGATGGAATGCTAGAAATACAGGAAGGTCAGCAAAGATGTAGTGGAGGCCGGGATCCGGGAGCCCATTACTCCAAGCTGATCGTGATCAAGGAGAAGAAATGTTTCTATACACAGCAACCAACAGCAAAACCACAGCTGCTCCCGCGCTCATAAGGCAAGCCGTCAAGTGACCAAATTTTCATCCAAAAAGTTTTGAATTTGGACCCCCGGACCTAATACAACGACCTCATATCTTCTTCGGACTTTGAACGTCGAGCAGCTAGGAGCGACTAGTTATCCGGTTCCATCGAACTACTTTCTTTGCATACTACTTTTTCTTGCTCAGCAAATTTACTACCAAGCCATGTTGGCTGCCTCTCGTGCTTCAGCCCTCACCGCCAGACAGGTTGTTCGGGTTGCTGGCCAGCGCCAAGCTGCCCTTACCGCAGTTAGACGTCGCGAAAATGTGTCTGTTAGGTCCCTCCAGTCGGTAGCCCAGACTGATCGAGTACGTCGAAAATTTGAACCTGCATTATCATCTCTTGAATGTACTCCATGCACAGGATACGATAACTAGACTTTTGTACTCCATTGGAACGAAACGAGAGGTCGAGCGACACCTCCGCATATTTTCCTCGTCCTCACACCCGTCGCAACCTGCCAAGTTCGCGGTGATCAAAGTCGGAGGAGCTGTTTTGGATCAAATAGACGAACTGGCCCTCAGCTTGAGCTTCTTGTATCGTGTTGGCCTCTACCCTGTGGTACTTCATGGTGCAGGACCACAACTGAATGGCATCATCGAGTCCGAGGGCGTCATTCCGGATTATATTGATGGAATTCGTGTTACAGGTGCGACGTTCGACCCGCTATTCTTGGGTCTTGATGGCTTATCTTTTTTTAGACGCGAAAACCCTGCAGATAGCCCGTCGAGTGTTCTTGGAACAAAATCTAAAGCTTGTCGGTGCACTCGAGAAGCTAGGCACCCGTGCCCGCCCCATCACATCTGGCGTGTTCACTGCTGATTACCTCGACAAAGACAAGTACAAACTTGTCGGAAATATCACTCGCGTCGATAAACGTCCTATCGAGGCGTCCATCAGGGCCGGCGCATTGCCCATTCTGACCAGCTTGGCCGAGACCCCTGACGGCCAGATCCTCAATGTCAATGCTGACATTGCCGCTGGAGAACTCGCAAAGGAGCTCGAGCCGATGAAGATCGTCTTCCTGAATGAAAAGGGTGGCATGTTCCACGGCATCACTGGCGCAAAGTTGGACGTCATCAATCTGGACGAGGTACATCTTAATTGGCATTAAAGTATCGCCCTTAAACTAAATGCTCTATTTTGTAGGAGTATGATCAACTCATGAAAGAGCCATGGGTCAAGTACGGCACCAAGCTCAAGTTGCGCGAATTCAAGGAGCTTCTTGACCACCTGCCGCGTTCTTCCTCTGTTGCCGTCATCTCTGCCGACAATTTGCAGAGGGAACTGTTCACCGACAGCGGTGCTGGCACCTTAATCCGCCGCGGCTACAGGCTCTTTAAACACAACAACATCGAAAGCGTTGGCGCTGATCGCCTCCGCCAAGTCATTCACGACCGTGATCCCGAGGTGATCAGTGGCGTCTCAAGTGTCACTAGCGTCCTCAGCGATCTCCACAAGGCACCTTACACCATTTACGGCGATGAGCCCCTCGACGCGGTCGCCATTGTCACCCGCCCTGAAGGCGAAGTGCCAATCATGACGAAACTCCTCGCCTCTCGCAGCGGAGTCCTCAACAATGTCGTTGATAACGTTTTCAACGCTATCAAAAAAGACCATCGCAGGCTCTTCTGGACTGCGAAGGTTGACGATGACAACCGCTCCTGGCACTTTGAGCGTGCTGATGGAAGTTTCACCCGTGCCGGCAAGAGCCTGTTCTGGTATGGTGTACAGGATGTTGCTGAGGTTCAGAAGATTGTCAAGGATTTCGAGGCTAAGGGCAGGCTTGAAAGGGCATACTTGCCTGTTGGACCGTCTGCTCCCCCTCACCATGCGGGTGCTGGCACCACTAGGTCTTATTCCACCCTCGCTCGTCGTTCAGTTCCTTCCGGCTCTCGGGGATATGCCACTGCTGCTACATTGCAGCCCACCTCAACTGAGCCTAAGCGTCTCGCCTTGATCGGAGCGCGTGGGTATACAGGACAGGCCTTGACAAACCTCCTTTCCGGTCATCCCTACATCGATCTCACGTATGTCTCGTCTCGACAGTTGGCAGGATACCCTCTACAGGGATACACAAAGTCCGCAGTCACGCATACCAACTTGTCTGTCGAGGATGTTGAGCGAATGGAAAAGGACGGGGAGGTTGATGCGTGGGTCATGGCGCTCCCCAATGGCGTCTGCAAGCCGTTTGTTGATGCGATTGATCGTGGAGCAAAGGAGCGCAGCTCCGGAGAGTCAAGTGTCATTGTCGACCTGAGCGCGGACTACCGTTTCGAATCTGGGTGGAAGTATGGGTTGCCTGGTGAGGCGTCTGTGTAAATACCCTATTGATCTGCCAAATTTACATGTATTTTTGTTTCCGTTCTTTTTCCTTTTTCTCTCAGAGCTCTACGGGCGTGATGGCATCCGAAGGTCGAAGAGAATATCCAATCCTGGATGCTACGCGACCTCCACGCAATTACTTATCGCGCCATTGCTCAAGTATGCAAAGCATGGGTGTGGGCCAACGGTGTTTGGTGTCTCGGGCTATAGTGGTGCTGGGACTGTCGCAGGCACGAGCGACTCAGAGGGCAGACCGACGACGGTTCCCAAGGTCACACCAGAAAGCCTCGCTGGTGGTTTCCGTCCGTACTCACTCACAGACCACATCCACGAGCGCGAAGCAGGCCGTCACCTAACCAGTCTGCTCGCAGATCCCACCAACCCCATGAAAGTCGCCTTCATACCATCTGTTGCGCCCTGGTTCCGCGGTATCATCTCGACGGTGTCTATGCCTCTTAGTGAGAAGGTTACTGCACGAGATATCAAGGCCCTGTACGAAGAGAAGTATGGCGAAGAGAAGCTGATACATGTCAAAGCGAGCGTTCCGGGATTGTCGGACATCGAGAATAAGCACGGCTGGACTGTAGGAGGTTTCCAAGTCCACAGCGAAGGCGATCGAGCAGTTGTGGTGGTATGTATACGCCTTTCCTGTGTGCTAGGACATGCCGTTGACTCCGATTAGGGTGGCTTGGATAATCTTCTCAAGGGCGCCGCAACCCAGTGCTTACAGGTACGTCCACCAATAGTAATGGGGAGCTGTCAGTGGTCTGATTTCTTGGCAGAATTTGAACCTTGCTCTCGATTACGACGAATATGCTGGGATACCCATCAACTAAATGATATTGGTAGGGTTTGAGTCTTTGTATCCCGGCGACGCTCTTCGGGCTTGTAGTACGCTTCATGAACTAGTAAAACTATGTAATATCAGCGGTTACAACTTCTGCGAGTTCCATGCCTGCCGGGGTGCAGTTTATTGGCCGTTTACTGATATCTTATCAACTGCATCATTTGCCCAGACGACCAGCTCATGAACGCGCGAGCATTGGCGAGTATTTTGACGCTCATAGCTGACAGCTTGGGCGTCTCTCCATAATTAGATCTCTTATTCATGTTGTTGACCCTGTTTGACCGCGCGTACAAGCACTACTGACTTCAGTTTTCACCACCCCATCCCTCTCCAACTTATGGCCGGCAGCAACCAAGAATACTTCCAGTCTGCCCTATACCAAATCGCTGAGCGGGAACCAGTCATTCCTGGGGGAGCTCCGCAATGGACCAACGCGCCCGGAGTAAGTTACAAAGATCGCCCCGTGCCCAATGTCAGTATCTGAGTCGAACCACGAACAGGACACATAAAAATTGACCCTCTCATTCTTCACAGGTACCACAACCTGCTGCATTCAAACCCACGGACGAGCAGCTCTTCGTGCGCGATGCATATGGAGAACTGCTGCCCAATGCGGATTTCTTGAAGCAGCATTTTTTCCATGAGGGTCGTCTAACTGAGGCCCAGGCTTTGTATATTCTCCAACAGGCGACCTCGCTATTGTCTCGCGAACCTAACCTTGTAAACGTAGAGAGCCCTGTAACAAGTGAGTGCGCCCTGGATCAAAGTGGGCGTGTGAGCTGAACGATTCAAGTATGCGGCGATATTCATGGGCAATACGTGCGTCATCCATTTTCCTATTCTACGTACATACGCTAAGGTTTTGGGGTTGGGACAGTACGATTTGATGAAATTGCTGGAGATCGGTGGAACTTTTTCTGATAATGCCTATCTATTCCTCGGGGATTATGTTGATCGCGGAAATTTTGGGATCGAAGTGAGTGATTAGATTCATTGCAAAAGTCTGCGTTCTGATCCTCGCTTAGTGTCTGATTTATCTATATGCGCTCAAGCTCCAATATCCAAAGCACATCACACTACTACGAGGAAATCACGAATGCCGACATCTAACGGAATACTTCACTTTCAAACGAGAGTGTGAGTTCTGCCGCGGTCAACCGTGCCATATGCTGCTCACGTTGTGATCATAGGTCTCCATAAATACTCGCCAGCAGTGTATGATGCCTGTATTGCTTCATTCTGCGCTCTTCCTGTGGCAGCGCTTGTAGATAATCGCTTCTTCTGTGTCCACGGGGGCCTTTCGCCGGAGTTGGTGACTTTGGAGGATCTGCGCAGGGTCTGTTTAATTCCGCGATTTAATCGACTGCGTTCCAGACTCACCAAAGGCATAGCTTGACCGCTTCCAGGAGCCTGGATCTAGTGGCTTATTGTGCGACCTTCTATGGTCAGATCCTGTGGTTAACTTTGGATATGAACATGAGCATTCACAGCATGGCCCGCCCCTGCCTCCTGGAACCACGTTCGAGCATAATGGGGTTCGAGGGTGTTCATACTTTTTCACGTAAGTGCTGTCATGTGCTAGCTCTTCTCCTAGTCTGAATTAACTCAAGATATGAGGCGGCGTGTAAATTCTTGGAGCGCAATAACTTGCTGGGGATTGTGCGCGGGCACGAAGCTCAGGATGCAGGGTGAGGAGCTCTCATCACCTCGTTCCATACTGTTCTTTGCTCAAATATCAATTTCAGATATATGATGTATAGAAAGACACCCACGAAGAAGTTTCCCTCCGTCATTACAGTATTTTCAGCACCGAACTACCTCGATGTCTATCACAACCGCGGAGCAGTGATCAAGTACGCAAACAAGAACATCACTATTCGTCAGTACAACTCGAGTTCTCATCCATACTGGCTTCCCAACTTCATGGATGGATTTACGTGGAGCCTACCTTTCGTCGGTGCTAAGAGTAAGCCAGAACAAATTCACAGGCCTGGGTTCGTTTTGACGGTAGAATTCACAGTCACGGAGATGTTGCTCGCAATCTTGGCAACGTGCAGCCCAGAAGAGCTAGAAGACACGGAGGTCTCTATGGAAGATGGAGATGGAGCCAGCAGGGCCGTCACGGACCTTGCCCTGCCGCCTTCCGAAATTGCAGCACGTAGGCAGGCAATCAAGAATAAGATTCTTGCGGTTGGAAAGATGCAACGGGTCTTCCAACTTCTTCGGTCCGTGATTTCTGCAATTTGATTTAGTGCTTGATACTTACTTTACTGGCTGGCTGCAGTGAGGAGGCCGAGAACGCGTCAGAATTGGCTACTGTTACGGGCGAGGAGTCTATCACTGGTCTAGACCACGTCGCGTCAGATATGCTCACAGCGCAAGGCACACAGATGAGGCACTATATTCGCAGCTTCGCCGACGCGTAAGCATCATTTTCAATTCTTGCATTGCGGACGTTTTCTCATTTGCTACACTCGTATAGTCGCCGCTCAGATCTGATGAATGAGCGTCTGCCGATATTCCAACCAATGGATTCGGTGAATGACTTCCCTGTGATACCAGCACCGAGTATGCGACGCCGTGGCAGCGGCGACATTGACGGGGTAAGCATGGAGGAATTGATCCGCCGAGCATTAGAGGAGCCCGATGATGACGGTCAGCCCGGAACGGTGGAACGAATTGCTGAGCGTGTCGCAATCGGGAGAAAACCAACAGGGAAACCAATGCCTCTGAAGAGATTTGAGACTGCGTGACGATCTATGGATGATAGGATGATCTAGACTGCCGTGCCTGAGGAGGATACCTTTGATACCTGTTTGGATTGCTGTATTTTGCCCACATTGGTACATCACTGAAGCACGATATGCAGTACAGACGATTCAACCCCAATTGCAACATTAGTACCCTACAGGATGTCGTGCGACTATACTTGAGATAAAGGTTTTATACTGGATGGTATTGTCAGCAAAACTCATATAAAAGAATCAAGCAAACCTTCTAAATAATCAGCCGCGAGGAGCCTAATCGACTCACGTTAATTCAGGTCATAATGGAACAGATAACAATGTGACACACAGCTCCAGGGCCACCTCAGGCGGTATGCGTTCGGTGAACTCATTTACATCAACGCCCTCCTTGGATCCAGGCCCCTCGTAGTAGGCCCTAAAGGACATGTATTCACAGACCTTCTCCACCACAGCGGCGCTATTTTAGCGATCAGAAGACACAGAACGGGCTTCCTAGCCGGGTCGGCACTCACCGTTCACTAATTGGACATGTGTTGGCAATTGCCTCCTTGAAACTGCCTGCAGTGCGTAATAATTCAGATACCAGAGCAAAACTTCCAAAATGAATGGGAGCTCACTGTCCTCGCTAAGCATGTTTTTAAGGGTGCCGCTAGTTACAGCAACACTTCGCTTCACGAGAAAGGAGTAGCCGTCTGAACTGGTGATCTTGACCCAATCATCCTGCTTTTCAGCGCCTGTGTCCTAGAGCACCGTCAGTACAAGCTCGTGGTAGTATCCGCACATGTACATTCATCTGAACATCATTGGACATTATGAGCTCGCCGTTGTGTGTTGCCTTGAAGCCACGCCACTCAACGACTAGTGACTGTCAGGCGTGAGAATAAGACACCGTAAACGGATTCCAAGGTGGCTCCGCTGCAGGCAATCTCATTTCCATCTCATTCAGTGTCTTACCACCGCGTACAACTCGCCCTTGAGCCCTAGATATGGCTCTTCCCAAGGTAGGCGTTCAATATAATTCTCCGACTAACATGTTTTGATATACCTTTGTACTTATCTAGCGGATCATCAAGGTGTGTTCAGCCATTTTTACAGCATCTTCTCAGTAGTCAGCCGCATCCCTGACTATGTTTCTTTCATCTATTCTCCATTCCTTCGCATAGGAAACTGAGCGCCTCGTCGCAGACCCCGCGCCTGGAATCACTGCTGCGCCGCATGAGGACAACCTGCGTTACTTTGATGTAACGATTCAAGGGCCTGATGGCAGTCCTTTCCAACGTAAGCCGTCGAGATTATAGATGATGCATTATCTGAATGCTGAAAGCGTCCGGTTAGAGGGCGTGTTTCACCTTGAACTATTCCTACCGGAGGAATATCCCATGAGTCCCCCAAAGGTGCGATTTCTCACAAAGATATACCACCCAAACATCGGTGAGCTCATAGGCTGCCCTTGTGCCTGCGGAATCTAAATATGTTTCACTCCCGCAGACAAACTGGGTAGAATCTGTTTAGATATTCTGAAAGGTGCGTCAGGTACCTCGTGCTGGTCCTTGCCGATTTGAACATCACCGCCTTGAAGACAAATGGTCCCCCGCATTGCAAATCCGGACAGTCTTGTTATCTATACAAGCTTTACTGAGTGCGCCCAATCCTGACGACCCACTGGCTACCGATGTCGCCAAGCACTACAAGGAGGATGAGAAGGACGCACAAAGAGTCAGCAGGGAATGGACTGAGAAGTATGCGTCCAATTGATAATTTGGCTTCCGATGGAGTATTTGGAAATTATGACGGTCTGAAGGCACGAGTGTTGTAAGCTGATTATAGCAAACCATAACCTGGCAGTTAATTTGTACATGAAGCGAGGACTTCAAGCTTACGCTTCTTATTCTGATTCGGCGTGGATGTGGGGGTTCGCCTGGGTTCGCCCACTAGATCAAATTAGACGTGGCGTCCAGGAAAGGGGAGTTGCCGTGATCACTCATGTTGATTCATTTTTGCGTAAGTCACTCGTAAGGGCAGCACCATTTGTATTTGGTCCGATGAAAAAGGTTTGGGCCGAAATTGGTTGATCTAGACCTGGAAGTCTCGGTTAGGTCTAGAGCCTGCGAATTCGGCACGATAGATCTGACAGTCCTTTGGGCGTTTCTCAGACTAACTTGCGCCATATTTACAGGCAAGATGGCACAACTAGGGCTTCAAGATCAACCACCAACATAGCAAGAGCTGCCTTCAAAGGCGTAATCATAACCAAACTTGTGTGTCAAGTTCACGGTTACCGTTCCTCGTCTGTACGTTACAGCACCCATACAAGGCTTCAGAATGAACGGTACTGACCACCTGTCTTCTTGCCTCACTGCACCCAGAAATTTTTACTTCAGGTCACAAGGCTTCTAATCGCCTTGCGCACCCAACACGATCAGTTCCAATACCTTCCCCAAATTTTTACACCGTGTATACGATACACTCCTCTCGTCCCGTCATGTCGATCCTGAACGCGGACATAACGCATATCCTTATCAACGATCTGTTGTCCAGTAACGAAAGTGCACCATCTGCGCTGCTCAACCTTGCCAGCACAACTCGATCTTTCCGCGAGTCGTGCCTCCCCTTCCTCTTTTCTGAGGTGCGGTGGCCTCATAAATCCAAGGGTGACAAGGAATCCGGCCTTCATTTCTTCCCTGAGGGCCTCTGGCCCTACATCAGGTAAGCTCGTCATCGTCGTTTTCCCCCCTCTCATAGCATCAAAATTCACCGTGATTTTCGACGCCAAGGCATTTTCAGTTGGAATGGCCTGACGAATGGACGGAACCCACCCGCCTCAAGTGGGGAACGCTGGACATAGATGGTAATTATATCCCTCACGACCTGGGCAAATTAAATTCGGCGATCGCAGACATGCCCAAGCTGTCGAAGGTGTCATTAAGGTGCCCCTTCATCATACCTCGATCCCTCTCTCAATCCCTGGGTCTCTCGCGATCCCTCAGCATCATCACCTTCGTCGACACGCCGCTTCAAATAGGTATAACGTCTATCTCCCCCGCTGTGCTCAAGCAGATTTCCTTCACGCCTGTTGGGCAGATACTTCGCATCGGTGATGGACCGACAGACCCAAAGTTCGCTGACATCTCGTACTTCATTCGGGATTGGAGGAGGAAGTATCGCTCGCATCCCACCTTGAGGCAAATGCAAGAAACGCAAGCCTCCCTAGCATTTGTCAAGATGAACGTGGCACACCTCACGCATCTCGAGCTGTCCGGTAGTATATGCTCTTTCGGTGCTCTATCCAGAATAGATTGGCCGTGTTTACAAACCTTTGCGCTCACCGGTCATGCTCCAGTAACACAGCCCTACGAACTTCCAGCGCATGTGCAGCTTTTCAGCGTCCTTACACGCATGGGTGCATTGCGGGATCTGCGACTCCTCTTCGCGCAAAGCAAAGCGCAGGAGTTCCACATCCTTGGGCGCGATGATCCTCCCGATCCGGCACACACTGCAAAGCTCTCCACTTTGACCGACTTCGCCATATCCAACGCTTGCAATCTTGATGGAGTTCTCAATCACATGTCATCTCTGGAGCGGCTAGCCATTCTCGCAATCGTAGAGCTTCCACGCTGGCCCATTGCACTTGGCCAAGCAGAAGTTGACCGCGTGCTCACGGACATTGCCGCGAGCGGTTGTGAGCTCAAGCATTTGCGCGTTATCATCGAAGACAAGCTCACACCCGAAGTGTGTTGGTCCATCTCCTCCAACTGCCCTCACCTTCAGATACTAGAGATCGAGCGATGTGGTTACCACGATGGTAAATCAGTATCGGGCTGGGTACGTGTCCCTCAAACATGATCAAAGATCTATGCTAAACTGGGGCTGATCTTGGCATGTGTGATCGCCGCAGCAAGAGTTCCTCGAACCCCTATCCACTCTGTCTTCCCTCCGAGACTTGCGCATCTGCATGCAATTCCCAGAGTATGATGATGTCGATGAATTGGAGTCTTGGCGTACAGTGCGCAAAGATGGCGCCAAGGCCCTTGCGATGGGGCTCAAATTGCTTGGCAAAGTCGGGTTTGAGTATAGGAAACGCACAGGGACTCATCGTTACCAGGATGCGTGGCTGGATTTCGAGGTCAGTCGGAGGAAAGGAGGGGATGTTGAGCTGTATCAGCTGCCAGCTATGTGGTACGCGTTCCCCGAGGTGTGGGAGTCGTCGCGGTCGCCGTTCTGATCGGGGTGTGTTTGTTGGCGCAACGGTTTACTACTTTCTTGCAAGTATGCATGTCTTTTTTTTTTCTTCTTCTCATGGGCATTGTAATTTTACACAGCGTCTCGATGGGGCTGAACCCATCATGGCTTGGCTGTTTGTCAATATATAGGGCTTCTCACATTGCATCGTATCCACATCAGGTAGTGTACATAGAGATATTTGTATACACATCTCTAGACTCGTTACTGAAAGTTATATAGCTTTTGTATCTTGTTGCTGTATAGTGAGTAGGAAGGATCTAGAACTAGTCGGAACACTCCGCCCGATACGGAAGGGGAGAACAGTAGAACAGCAGAGAGATTCGAATTCAGCGGCAGCATCAGTCATGGGTAAGGTTCAGTAAGGTTATGGTAATTGTAGCAGGTGGCGCAACGGTAATGTAAATGATAGACCGAGGCCTAGCTCCCGGCGCCCCATGACGTGTGTACATTTCATCGACATCACTCTCCCGCAATGATGTATTGCGGTACTGAGTGATGATGTCGTTCGCCTAGACAATAAGGAACCAGAGGTTGGTCATGTGGAATCCTTCACATGTGTCTTGAACAACGTTTGAATGGGAAAACCATGTCACCAGCTCAGCGCTCGCTTGTGGTTAGGAAGGCGTCAAACATAAGCGAAGGCGTCAAAATCTGGGGTGACGTTCAACTGCAGTAATGTGTAACTAGTGCAAACCTAATTTATTATGAGTAGTCCGCGGTTCAGTGTATTGTGCCGATATCCACGGCTGGTCGAGTTTAGAATGCTGATACTTACTGACGTCTTGTGATGGAACGTTCTATCGAATATCAAATCAGGGAGATGCCACATCCAGTAGATCTGCGTTTTTGACTCTCGAGTTCCGTGGTCTGGTGTACAGCATGCTTCCAAGGAAGAAACTGATCAGATATGTGCAGGGGACAGTATAGGGTGGCAGATTTACCTCAGTGGAATTTCTCACACAACCCCAGGACCCCTAGTATAAGTAGGGTGTATGAGTGCTCCAGAGCGCGACAGCTACTACGACAGTTAACCGACATGCCATGCCAGTGATACTGTGGAAAGCTTATCAACTCCCGCCCCAAACACGCCACCCATAGTCCTAGGTTCGTCGCACATGCAGGTTCAAAAGCCGACGGATGCGAAGCCATGAATGCGCCTAAGATCAGTCCCCAGATCAATGAGCCTGCCCTGCATGAAACTTTTAATGGTGTTCTTGTTACTTCATACCGTCATTATTATCCTGGCTGCACCTGCTGGATCCGGGTCCAATATAGCACGACGGTCATCTATCGCCGAATCATCTGCCACGATGTATGTAATCCCGCCTCTATTGTGCATTTGTCGATTGAGGGATTTTCCTTCAGAACGTTGGGGGCTCACCCGGATTCTACTACGGCAAGCAGTCGTAATTTTATGGATCTTTCCTCAAATATGCAGGAGTCGAGAAGAGTATCTGCAACCGCCACGGCATCGGCATCGGTGACAAGCGGTAAGTCTGCGTAACATTGATCATCGCGTAAACTTCATGTATGGTATCCAGTGATCGCTGCGCCTACTGGGACCTTGCTGACGGCACCTACAGCGAGCAACAGGGTTTCGGATACTTTCACGTTGACTATCAACGAAACCTCTCTGAGGGTATGTGTGATCGGGATAATCCTGGCAGCTTCCTTTACGGGAATAGCACTTGTTCTTGTCAGCGTGCTTACCTTTTTTGTCGCCAGATACATAAGAGTGAGTTGTCAGAATTCAAGTTGTACATGGACGTTTGTGCTGACGTGAGGATGTAGCGAATACCAGAAATTCAAGATATTGCGGGCCGCGAGACCCACCAGTCTGCGCAGCTCGCGAGCGAGGACTGTGGATTGGGGAAACCGTTGTCATGCTATTCACAGAGCATGGTATATTCTTCGTCGAGCAGTCCACTGAAGGCGTAGCAGAGCTGTGTACATTTGCAATCGTGACGCCCTGCCACGTTGGCATGTCCTGGCGAGATGCAACAGCAGTGTGGACTTTTAAAGAAAATGAACGGTGTACATATGTACTATGCACTGGGTTTGTTAAATTACTTGTGTATTGATTACTTTATGACGTACGCACCATGACGAAGCTGATACATAATGCAATGAGTGATTACTGTCTGACACCGACAAACACAATGATACGAGTTGGATGTAACAAGCATAGCGCAAAGTCTGTCTCTTGGTGGACCGTTGACTGGGAACGCAAATGAATGAGCACGCGAAGTGTTGCCAGTGGCCTGCCGGTTGACACCGCACCGTGTTCTAACTTCTCTTGCGAATACTCCGATTCCTGTGCAGTAATAGCAACAACATGTAAGGAATCCCATATGGAACCATGAAAAACCGCACTGCTACCAGCTGGAACCCATAGGTTGGCTGCCGCCTGCAAGAACGAACGTCCCGCCATCCGGTTTGTGCGGGTTTAGGTGCCCCAGAATCAAGCGTAATGGGAATGTAGAATGGAGCGTCCCTACTGGTCGGACTACAGAGCTATTCTAGGTAATAGCTCCTCGTTGTAGTTCCTCATGTCGTTCCGTTGACAGTAATAATGTATTTGTACATTGAATCCTGCGATGAGCTGAGACTAGATGACGATGATCGGAGAAGTTAAAAACAAAGGAAGGACGCGGCTGCAAGCTCGTTTAAGGGTGGGAGTTAATTATTAGAAGTCACTAGGACCTCCCCTTTCCTTTGTTCTTCCTTGTGGACCTTGTACATGGACTACATTCATGTCTTCAGAATATCCTCTACATGTCTCTTTCTCTCCAAATGGGACCTCGTTCAAACGGACTTTTGAACAGTTTGGTTACGATTCAAGTCCCCCAATGTCTAGCGCTATCCAAGCCAGCGGCAGTGGTTCAGCAACCCATAATGCCCCGGCGGGCTCAAGTAGCAACACTAGCGGAAACGAAAGAAACAAGAGGGCAAGGAGTACCAGCAGTTCATCTGTTAGCAATAGCTCTGCAGATTCTTCCAGGTCCTCCGAATACAGTACAGCGCGATCGAGTACCTCGCTGAGCGAGAGCTCTACTACCAACGACCATAACCTCTCTCTTGATCAGAACAGGAGATCACCAACTTATCAGCTTGCTTCAATTGCTTCTACTACGAGCACCTTGACCTCACCATCGCCTGCACTACCGGGCACCGAACCTCAGGATGAGGTCATGTCGGATGGCTCTGGTTTTGCCTTGGAGATCCCACGTCCCACACCTGTGCCAGAAGTAGCATCATCTACCACAACACATGACACTATTAGCAGCTCCATAGAGCGTTTCAACGAATTCGATAGTCATATTGCAGCCCTCCGCCGTTCACATTCACGTACCCCATCTTGGCTCCCTGCCCCATCTCCCGTACTTTCCCCGCTCGAATCATCCAACCATACTACCGAGGCATTTGATAGCTGGGACTGGACTCATTTTGGAGCTTCACCGGGCCAGTCACAGACATCTGGGGAGGATCGCCGACGTCGATATTCTACAGATGCAACAACTTCCATTGCGTCTGCGGGTACATACGCTGCGGTTTCCAGGCAGGGTGACTCGTTATCTTTCCAAACATCAGATGGTAGGCATCTCTTTGATCGGTTTACATACATATCACCACTGATTACATATTACTCGCTGACAGTCTTATCACGTCCCGGCTATACTGCCTCATCAAGTAATGCTTCCAATTCTACATCGTCATCGGCCACCCCTCCTCATCCGTCATACCGCACATCCTCATCAGCTTCTTCATCAGCAAGGACGGCCACATTTTCCAGAGAATCTGACCAGTTTACCAGCGGCTTCACTGGATCGGTCGCTTCCATACCATCAGTCCTGCAACCTGGAAGAAACAATACTGATGCCCTAAGTGGACTCGACGGCAGGCAAGATGTCCATCAAGGGTCAGGTTCTAGCTCATCCAATTTGTCATGGGCTGCCTTCGCTTCCTCTCGTCCCTCTTCGCCTGCCGCGCCATCCCCAGATGTAGTCACACGCCCAGGATTCCTTGACAGCGTCTTCGAACCAGTACCTGGTACTAGGGCATATGCCGCAAGGCGTAGTGCTCATTCAGATACCGACTGGAGATCCACGAGTTCTGCGCGTACTACGTCAGCAAGTACTTCAACGTCATCCTCTGGTTGGTACTGTGTCCTGCATGGGTGATGATCATACTTACTAATGGCTACAATTTGTTCCCAGCATTTGATGACTCCATTTCTCGCTTCGACATTGCTAACGAGGAACGGCACCAAGATACCTCGAACACATTCGAGGATAACAACCCACCACCTTCCGGCTCATTGCAAGAGCTCACTGCACGTGCTAGGGCGGCTATCGAACGCTCGCGTAACTCAAGTATGACAACGTTAGCAAGTACTTCGACGTCATCCTCTGGTTGGTGCTGTGTCCAACATGAGTGATGATCTTATCTACTAATGGCTACAATTTGTTTCCAGCGTTTGATGACTCCATTTCTCGCTTCTACGTTGCTAACGAGGAACGGCACCAGGGTACCTCGAACACATTCGACGACAACAACCCGCCACCTTCCGGCTCATTACAAGAGTTCACTACACGTACTAGGGCGGCTATCGAACGCTCGCGCAACTCAAGTATGACTTTTGTATTTCTTCTTCACTACTGATGTTTACGAATATCATTAGTTCGCCCTCTCTCGGAGGCTTTCGATACGTTTGCCAGAGAGCAGACAGCTGAAGATTCTAACGAACCAGAATTGTCATTTGACCGTTTCTTGACGGATTTCGATGGAGAGGATACCATTGATCTATTTGACGAGAGAAGGCGCAGGGTGATGGGTCGTAACCGTTATAACATTGCCGGCGAAGACGATGATGATGACACCTCCCATCCCGATAGTGTACGTGATATCATCCAAGGTCTTCACAATGCCCGCGGTCTGCTCGAGCGTGGCGTAGAAACTGGTAAAGTGCAGCGCATTCATCGACATTATGTCCACTCATCTTTCTCGATCAGCTCGTTCGTTGTCCGGGACGCCTCCCCGACCTGAGCCCAATCCTCCACCTCCGCCTCGCTACCGCCTTCACTCCCGCTTGTATACTTCCGCCACGACGGTGTCTAGCAACTCTTTAGTATCGGAGAGTGCTGCGGAGCATCGTCGTACCAATGCCATGGCGCAACTTCGTTCCCAAGTGTTTAATTCACGTCCCAACTCTGATGTATCGCCTCGAGACGGTCCAGGATATCCAAGTTTAACTGCTGCTGCTCGTTTGAGGCGCCTCATAGCCACTCAAGCCGACTCTTCGTCCAACGCATCTCGTCCTCCTGTGTCTAGTCGACCCAGCGATCCTCCATCAAGACCGTTCGGATTCAGTAGTTCTGTGCCACCTCCGTTGCCACGAGGAGGCTTGAACGAAAGGGAGAGAGTCCGATTTGCAGAGATATTGTCCGAACACAGACATCCCCAGGCAAGAATCGGGAATAACAGATCTCCGTCAAGAGATCATAACCACATCTCTTCTGAAGACTCACCCGACAACATCTTTGACCCCGTGTTTGCCGAGGTCGCGGATTTTCGAAGTTCAGCGGAGGAAGACGCGCAGCCGCCGTATGTGTACCGCTCACCTACACCACCGCTCCATACTTTGCGTGCTGCGCGCTCCCGCTCTCCGCCGCATATCTCTTCGGAACGAGCACAGGTGTCTACTAGTGATACGTCTGCAAGATCCCATCCTTTTAGCAACGTCGACTTGGATATGTTCCCACCTGGGATATACCGCGATTCCTTACGAAGATCGATACAGGCCAGCCAGGGGCGTAGTAATCCTCGCGTGCCTGTCCCTGAGCCTACCCTTTCTTCTTCTACCACGTTTTCATTCGGAAACTCGGATGAAGATAATGATAGCGATGACATGGATTCTTACTTTGGCGTCCTGGTGCGTTCCGTTTGTAAATCACATGTGGTACGTATTTAGCACTGACTTATTTGTGCAGCCAAGGCGTGGAAGGGAACACACAGCAGTCACGAGGTCTGTGCTATGGATGGCCTCATCAAAGCATTTGCTGAACTTCATTAATACTATAGCGCACGGTTTACCTCGAGGCATATAATGCCAGAGCCTGCTGCTCAAGCACCTCCCTTTGGTTTTGGCAGCGACTCTCATGACACGCCTAATAGCGTGTTCACTGCTGCGCGGAACCGTTTCCCTCCATTGAGAGTTCAAGCAAGCGATGATCTTCTTACGAGGCATCGCCTGAATGAACCAGACAGTCCAAATTCGCCTCTTGATCCGTTCTGGACCAGCAGTAGACGAGATGCCCCCGCGCGCAACCCTGGCCCCCAATCTTCATCTTCTTGGGAATCGCTTATTCAAGCACGGGATCGCGACTTTGATAGGATGAGAGCAATTCGTGATATGGTGGATCGGTATGGTACCAATAACGAACGGTCTGATTTGGGTGCTAGGCGTGTCGTTCCTCCGCCTCATCAGCCTGGGAATCCTAATCGTCATACCTTGCTGCCCTGGCGGTCTTCACTCATTAATGGTTCTACTCCGACAAACTCGGGATCGTCATCCAATTCTAACTCCAGTAGTTCTGCTACGAGCACCCATATCAATCCTTATAGAAACAGTACAGACCGACCTCGGCAAGAAGCGGCGCCACCAGAGGAGCGGACGCCCATCCGTACTTTGAGGCAGCGGGCTGGCCTTGTACGCGGTGCGTCCAGAACGGAGGGTACTCGTATCAGATCAATGTTTCGGACGATGGCGAGGAGGAATATGGGCGATTATATGGTGCGTGATGTATTGTGTTTGCTGGATCTTGCTTATCTTTTGTGTTCTGGGGTATAGCCGGATGAGATGTTTGATTCTTCGTATGAGGGATTGCTGTCGCTGGGTGAAACGCTTGGCGAGGTTCGGTCAAAGGCTACGCCGTCCGATGTCATTGCTTCGCTTCCGACAGGGACTTATCAAGCGTGGGCGAAGGAGGACAGTGAGACAAGGTGTCCGATTTGTTTGGATGATGTGCGTCTGTCAGATTCATTCAGTCGACGTATTGTACTCATTATCCTTTTTCAGTATGGGCGTGACGATCCTGTTACGAAGCTCGTCGAATGTACCCATTGGTTGCATAAGGCTTGTTTGGAGGTGTGCTTTGTCTTCCTCTATCTTTTTCGCTTGCTGACGGATTGCCCGTCCAGCAATGGCTCAGGACCGCGAATACTTGCCCTGTATGTCGCAAGAAAGTCAAGGGCTCTCCGAAGTGCCCGTATAAGCCCAGTCCGACAAGCACGATTACAAGTGCGGGGACTAGTGGCTCAGGGCCAAGAGAACCTGAAGTGGGAGCAAGTGGCAATCACGGCCGGTCATCGAGCTCGGACTCTGCCTCTGGGGTTGTTGCCTTGCGTTTGAGTGAATTGATTGGTCGCGCCCGCCGAGGGTCCAACGCCCAATCAGGGAGCGGTCCCCAGCAGCAATCATTATCCCGTGTACAACCCAATGCTGTTACCCCTGCCGAGCCGACAAGGTTCAACGGCGGAGGTACCCATTTCCATCATCACCATCACCACTATCTTCACATCCACCCACCCCGTCCTGACCAATCCCACGGTTCACCGTTCCTAGATCCTTATCGTCAACCCCCCTAGCTCGACTGCAACTGCAAGCACAGCTCAGAGCGGTACGGCTCCCCGCCCGTTCCCACCTGTCCAGAACGTCAACGGACCTCGTCCTAATGTGAATGTGCCAAGTCGCCCAGCACTTTCCCGCCCGACTTCTTGGTTTGGGTCAATGACCAATCGAACAAGTGCTCGACGAGTGCCTGATTCGACGCTGGATAACGGCATACGTCCCCCGTCTTCTCCTATGGACGTGGATTACGAAGGAAGCTTTAGACGGACGAGTTTCGTCAGTGAAACCTCTGGCTTTCATCATCCCATGCCAGCTACGCAAAGCACCTTCGGAGCACCTCCATCGTCTAGTATCGCATCCAGCGGAGTGTTTCCTCAAACCGCAAGCTCATCCTCCTCTTCATCATCGTCGTCATCATCATCTACTACATCTAATATACTAGACACATACTCTTTGGCGACAGGTGAAATACAGTCTTCTCACGGTACATCGCGGATGAACGTAGGCTCTGGTTCTTTGGGGAACCGACTTCATGTACCCGCGAATCCCAATGCAGGGTCATCTGCTCAGCATTTCGGATCTCTCAACATGGATGGAGAAATGGACTTGAGAAGTAGTGCGAGTAGCGGTGGTTATGTGAGGCCTGGAGGACCCGGGACGTCTGGGTCTGGTCTTCCTCCATGGTGGCGGTAAGCTTGGTTGCTGATCGTATCTCTGTTATCTTCAATGGTCCCTCATATATCCTATCTATTTGTTCGGTCAAGTTATAGCATTACATCACCAATTTATGCTCACTTCTCCGCATACATAATGTACCTGAAAATCATGCGATTTCTGTCGATGTGTATTTCTAAATGACAGTGGATTTAGAGAAGGAGTTCATCGTAGAGTAAGCTGGTCCCGTGACTCCCGGCGTTGGATCCCTTCGTGACAACACTGTCACAGGACCTCACATCATTCCGAAGTCAACCCCACTTCGTCCAGAAAGTCAAGGATTTGGCCAGTCTGTGTGAGATCTGCGCAGACCTCGCATAGACTGGCCAATTCCTGGATGTGCTCGCATATTCTAGTGCAGTACACGGTGCATTAGCATCATTTTTATAACGCACTACTGTGTGGGTGTACAACATTTGAAGTTGGAACCGAGGCGGTTGTTTGCCAAAACCTTTGTATAACGTGATCATAACTTGATCCAGCGACCTATGATTGGTGTGCGAGGATGAACACACATGTAAATTGTAAGTTAACTGCTCTACACTTTTCGATGATACCCTCGTCCAATTCATCATCATCGTGCTCAGTTGATTCCATTTTGCGTCGGGATCTATCATTAAGCTGCCCGAAGAAACATGCACGTCATTGATGCAATTGACAAGTACAGCGTAACTGTACCGTTGCAATCTTGGAACGGCTTGGGATTCCAGTATGGCTTCCACTGCTCTGGCAATGGGCCGACAAATTTCATCGCCTGATATATGAGCGAGTCATTGTGGCAATTGTCTTATGAGATCATCTCCTCTGAGAATGCTGTCTCATATATCTAAGACGCGATCATTTCATCGTCAGAAGGAGGGGGCTCAGTGTTTACCGTACAGGCCATCGACCAAACATCGCTCGGCAAACCCCACTCATCTTCGACTTGACCGTCGGATAGCTGTAGAACGTCAACTCAGGGGGCTGGATGACAGGTGCCATTTCTGGGTGCCTGAGTGGCTTTCGCATCCTGTAACCGAAATGCTGGCATTCGATAGGTTAGTTGATGAACTACGATACCCAAGAGAGGGTGACAAACCATTACCGTAACAAAATCCATAATCTCCACGACCAACTGCTTATTCAGTTTCTCTGCGAAGCGTCTAGGAATAAGATGTATGATTGACGACATCGACACAAGATACATCGGAAGAGAATCATTTTGTGCTGAATGGTCTCGTGGTATCACGGGAAGTATGCTTGGCTCCTCCGTGAGTTCCATCATTTGACCCTCCGTGTATTGGTCGATACCGGGTATTTTGAAACCAACGTTCCCAAAGTGCAAATCTGGATCATCGGTGCGGTCAGTAATTATGGAAGGTATAGAGGCACCACTGCCGTCCGCCTACCGCCGGGCACTACTGAAGATACGCTAGCCCCAACACTAGCTGATAACAGACACTACACCCATGTTGGTCAAGGACGTCTTCGGTACGAAGGGAGTATAAAGATCCAATTACGTCCATCACGAGCACCTGGTGCGTTCCGCTGGGACCCCATATCTGAAAGTCATGGTGTACTTGTCTGGCTCCTGGATGATCGCGAAATCTAGTGTTCAGCCACTTTAAGACAGCGGATTCTCTGTTCCCTGTAAGATCGGCGATGATTATTTTCAGCGCCACCCAGCAGCTGTGAGGACATTCAGAGCGTGAATGAATCAACAAATGGAGTTGACCTTGCTACAGCATCTTTGGCGAGCCAGACGGTTGAAGATCCATTCTAGCTTGTGGAGCATTCAGTACCTTGGGTTCTGCTGTGTAAGAAATGTGTCCCCCAAGTGTACCGGGTAATATCCGCCTAGCTTGTAACCTTCTATATATTCCACATCTTCATCACCGATGAAGTGCAGTTGGGTCCAGGGGGGATCCCCGTCATGTTGAAAGGCAACAGAAAAATTCAACCACCCCCAATTGTTGTCATCATTGTAATTGGAATAAAAGTCGACCACAAGTACTGTTTGCCAGGCACCATGCATAGTCAAGAGACTATGTAGTGATTACCGAGCAAAGAGAAAATGAGATCTAAAAAGAGATCCCCCGACGACACAAGCCAGTAGTGCAGTAGCAAGGTCATCATGTCCTCCGAGTTGCAAGCAGAGCTCAAAGATCCAAGGGCGGCAAAAATTTGATAACCAAAGAATGAGGGCGGTGCCCTCATAATAGTGGTTAAACTATTAAGAACAGATACTACACTTGATCTAAGCCAAAAGGCCAGAGTGGTGAGGATTCAAGTCATCGAGAGAGCCCTTTTATATAGACAGAACCCGCGCACGGGCCATCGGGTTCGTCCGGTCCTAATAGAACGTCAGCTATGTGCATGTTTCTTCATGCAGCTTAATGATAGATCCCGACGCAAAATAGATGCAGTGGGGCCCAGCAGCGCGGCTTCAACAAAAGAGCCCGAAGCATGCAAGGCCTTGTGAAGCTTACATGAGCATGCATGCCGTGATTTAGCTTTTAAGCATACACAAGTTGTACACAAGGTCTTATATTGCGGCGTATATGTGAATATATGCTTCGGGCAGCATATATTCACATATACGGTTCAGGCTCTATTTGTTGATCAGTAATAAGGCAAGTGTTTTTTTGTCTTACGGATTCCATATTCTCGACGTTTTCTTATCACTAGCTTCTCGGAAGCAGCCTACTTTGGCTCTCTGGGTCTTCTGATGGGCCATCATGCAACCCTCCTGGCCTCTACTGGTACGTAATACATCCTACTCCGAGGTCTTGGTAACTACACCCAAGCGATAGCCATCTTCAGCCTGGTATCCTCCACCGCCCCATATCCTCGGTAGAAAGCCTCGGCCTGCCCGTGATCGACATCAGCCTTATTTATGATCCTGCTCATGCCGGACGGCGAAGACGGCCCTGCATGACCACAATTTTTCACAATTGTTAACAGACTAAATTACGGAGCGGCTTTCTAACAGTTTCATACCCGGCTAGTAATCGGAATATCTAACACACATTGACTTTTCAACCATACCATAAAAGGTTCCGTCTTGTTGACCACGAACCCTGTGCGGAAGGCCAAAACTCAAACGTTGCGCAGGAGCTATGAAGCGACCGTGATGAGCTTCATCGATCGAAGGATGGTCATATTACGGAGAGTATTGTTTGGGAAGTCACAACGTCCGATGAACGTGCACATATCTTACGAACAACGCGAAGCCAATACCGCCTGGCAGGAACCGGAAATTTATTCGTGCTGCACATTTCCCTTCCACATCAACTTCTCATCACGTTCACAGTTCTTCCCGAGTCTGCGGGGATTTTGGCCCAACTGTTTTCGCCTAAAGTAGGGCGTCTGAGCAGCCAGGCAAGCAACGCCTTTACGTTCACACTGGAAGTTTCGGACTTAAAATACCTGCCTGCTACTATATGGCTTTGCCTCATTCCCTTCCACAAACTCCGTCATGTTGACATCCCGCTCCATCATGTTTGCGCTGTTCAGCTTCCTCGTTGGCGTCCATGCGTGTGTGCAGTGCCCATCCACAGTGCCATTGAATTATAAGTCTATGGTCGCGCTCCTTACCAATACCGTCCCAGACAACGTGCTTACACTTTGCCTGTGCGTCGTACCCACACATTCTCATTGAACAAAGTAACTGATACGCCAGCAGTTACGACCTCAAGAGTCAGGGTAAAACCGGCGACCCAGTGTTATGTCACTATTACACCGTAAGTGCTTTTTGGATATTATGCAGCTCATTATAACATGCCGGCGATGGCATCAGTCGACCGGTAATCTTTTAAATGGGTATCCGAATTGTCCGGCTACAGCAAATGTGAAGAGTCACTGCTGAACGTGACGTGAAGAGGTGGGGGAGACAAGACACCCGACAGGAGGAACAATGTTACTGTTTTTTTTTTTGAATTCTTGTTTATTGTCCGTTGAGGTAGAGCCCTAGTTAGACAATACCTGCTGTAGGTAATGTGTCCGTGTGTTCATGCTATGTGTGGAAAGAGTTACAATGATAACGGTTCAGGCCCCAGGCGCGAGAACAGAAATGCCAACTGAAGGCGATTGATAAGATAGTACATACTGTGGAGCTCTTCTGGCTGATATACCTCGCCATCACACCGCGGAATTGATGATGGATCCGAGAAACTTGCGACTGGGCTCGGGATGGTGTGTCGTCACCTCCCTCGACAGCTCTCCTTCGCCAGCTAAACGTGAAGCTGCGCACTCGATCCAACGCTTCCGTCCTTCCTACACGGGTAGGGAAGGTCACATTCCAAGGTTCAAACGCAAACGTCTATCAGATGAACGGACGGAGTTCAGGAACCGCATCAACACGGCGAGTTTGAGAGGCCGAGGAGGAACGAGAGACTGACTGTATAGGGTACATAAGTGAACTCGATTCCTCAATTCACAATATTTGGCTAAAGTCAAGTTAAACAAGGCCGCGTTAATACACAGTCGTGTCGTGGCGATCAAGACAGCATTGAGACAGTATTCTGTGCTGGGTAATAGGTGGTATACACACTATGTGACAGATGGTCACAAAGCGGTGAGAGGTACTCATAAAAAGAGACGTGTAATGACGGGAGCAGCCAAGACAATCGCCATACCATGGCATGGTTTTGGTTAAAGTTCGTAGTCACAGTTTGGGCCAAGGCTTGAGAGAAGGGATGACTGAGGTCTGACCACGGCAGACTGCTAAGTCACTGCCCTATCTATACATTCACGATCATCAATGAACCAATGAGCCCTTGTGTAGGGAGGCGGCTCTTCCATACTGACCTTTGCGCTGCCTATGATGAATGTAGCCTAGCAATGGTGCTATCCCACTTAACTCAGCCCAAAGCAAATCCTTCGAGGCTCATAGAAGGTCTTGTATGTCCTGGCAAGCTCTGCAAGGGATATCCGCTTTAACAATGATTTCAAGCTCGAACTTGGCCCTGGTGTTTGATACGGACGGGAGAATATCTTCAGGAGGATTTCGAAGACAAATAGAGCTGGATGGTATCAGCTCTACAAGTTCTACTAGGTTAACGGCCATAGAACTTCCATAGCTGACATTCTATTAGGACCGGACGAACCCGATGGCCCGTGCGCGGGTTCTGTCTATATAAAAGGGCTCTCTCGACGACTTGAAACCTTACCACTCTGGCCTTTTGGCTTAGATCAAGTGTAGTATCTGTTCTTAATAGTTTAACCACTATTATGAGGGCACCGCCCTCATTCTTTGGTTATCAAATTTTTGCCGCCCTTGGATCTTTGAGCTCTGCTTGCAACTCGGAGGACATGATGACCTTGCTACTGCACTACTGGCTTGTGTCGTCGGGGGATCTCTTTTTAGATCTCATTTTCTCTTTGCTCGGTAACTACTACATAGTCTCTTGATTATGCATGGTGCCTAGGCAAACAGGACTTGTGGTCAGCTTTTTATTTGAATTACAATGATGATGACAATTGGGGGGTGGTTGAATTTTTCTGTTGCGTTTCAACATGACAGGGATCCCCCCTGGACCCAATTGTACTTTCATCGGTGATGAAGATGTGGAATATATAAGCCTGGGCGGGTATCACCTGGTACACTTGGGGGACACATTTCCTACACAGGAGAATCTAAGGTACCTGAATTCTCCACAAGCTAGGATATGGATCTTCAACTGTCTAGCTCGCCAAAGATGCTGTAGCAAGGTCAGCTCCATTTCTGTGACTTTGTTGATTCATTCACGCTCTGAATGTCCTCACAGCCGTTGGGTGGCGCTGAAAATAATCATTGCTGATCTTACAGGGAACAACAGAGACACCACCGTCTTAAAGTGGCGGAACACTAGATTTCACGATCATCCAGGACTCAGGAGCCAGACAAGTACGCGATGACTTTCAAATATGGGGCCCCAACGGAACGCACTAGGTGCTCATGATATACGTAGTTAGATCTTTATACCCCCTTCGCACCGAAGACATCCTTGACCAACATTGGCGCAGTGTCTGTTATCACCTAATGTTGGGGCTAGCGTATCTTCAGCAGGAAACAGTAGTGCCCGGCGGTAGGCGGACGGCAGTGGTGCCTCTATACCCTCCACAATTTTTGATCGCACCGATGATCCAGATTTGCACTTTGGGAACACCGGTTTCAAAATACCTGGTATCGACCAATACACGGAGGGATCAAATGATGGAACTCATGGAGGAGCCAAGCATACTTCCTGTGATACCATGATGACCACTCAGCACAAAATGATTCTCTTCCGATGTATCTCGTGTCAGTGTCGTCGATCATACATCTTATTCCTAGACGCTTCGCAGAGAAACTGAATAAGCAGTTGGTCGTGGAGATTATGGATTTTGTTACGGTAATGGTTTGTCACCCTCTCCTGGGTATTGTAGTTATCAACTAACCTATCGAATGCCAACATTTCGGTTACAGGATGCGAAGCCCCTCAGGCACCCAGAAATGGCACCTGTCATCCAGCCCCCTGAGTTGGCGTTCTACAGCTATCCGACGGTCAAGTTGAAGATGAGTGGGGTTTGCCGAGCGATGTTTGGTCAATGGCCTGCACGGTAAACACTGAGCCCCCTCCTTCTGGTGGTGAAATGATCGCGTCTTAGATATATGAGATAGCATTCTCAGAGGAGATGATCTCACAGGGCAATTGCCACAATGGCTCGCTCATATATCAGGCGATGAAATTTGTCGGCCCATTGCCAGAGCAGTGGAAACCGTACTGGAATCCCAAGCCGTTCCAAGACTGCAATGGTACAGTTACGCTGTACTTGTTTATTGCATCAATGACGGAAGTTCTATGGTTGTTAACCCAGTAGAATTTGTAGAGCCGATACCATCCAGCTCTATTTGTCTTCGAAATCCTCCTGAAGATATTCTCCCATCCGTGTCAAATCCTAGGGCCAAGTTCGAGCTTTAAATCATTGTTAGAGCGGATATCCCTTGCAGAGCTTGCCAGGACATACAAGACCTTCTATGAGCCTCGATGGGTTTGCTTCGGGCTGAGTTAAGTGGGATAGCACCATTGCCAGGCTACATTCAATCATAGGCAGCGCAAAGGTCAGTATGGAAGAGCCGCATCCCTACACAAGGGCTCATCGGTTCATTAATGATCGTGAATGTATAGATAGGGCAGTGACTTAGCAGTCTGCCGTGTCAGACCTCAGTCATCCCTTCTCTCAAGCCTTAGCCCAAACTGTGACTACGAACTTTAACCAAAACTATGCCATGGTATGGCGATTGTCTTGGCTGCTCCCGTCATTACACGTCTCTTCCTTGTTTTATGTGTACCTCTCACCGCTCTATTACCCAGCACAGAATGCTGTCTCAATGCTGTCTTGATCGCCACGACACGATTTTGTATTAGCGTCCGTTCATCTGACGGACATTTGCGTTTGAGCCTTGGACTGTGACCTTCCCTACCCGTGTAGGAAGGACGGAAGCGTTGGATCGAGTGCGCAGTTTCACGTTTAGCTGGCGAAGGAGAGCTGTCGAGGGAGGTGACGACACACCATCCCGAGCCCAGTCGCAAGTTTCTCGGATCCATCATCAATTCTGCGGTGTGATGGTGTAAGGTATTGTGAAGGAGTATAAGAATAGCATCGTTTACCATGACATTGATAGGCTGATTTCCGGGGTCATTGCAAGTACTCGCCACCACCCGAGAGGAGTATTCTAATAGGGGGTTGGGATGATGCAACTGGCCGGGGCAACACAAGACTATTTGGAAATTCTCGTAACAGATGGTGCATACACCCGGCTTCGAGGAAGAAGAATGAGCAGAACATCAGCCAGGAGAGATCCACAGTATGTACTATCTTATCAATCGCCTTCAGTTGGCCTTTCTGTTCTCGCGCCTGAGGCCTGAACCATTATCATTGTAACTCTTTCCATACATAGCATGAACACACGGACACATTACCTACAGCAGGTATTGTCTGATATAGGGCTCCGCCTCAACGGACAATAAACAGGAATTCAAAAAAAAAATACACGAACATTGTTCCTCCTGTCGAGTGTCTCGTCTCCCCCACCTCTTCACGTCACGTTCAGCAGTGACTCTTCACATTTGCTGTAGCCGGACAATTCGGATACCCATTTAAAAGCTTGCCGGTCAACTGATACCATCGCTAGCATGTTATAATGAGCTGCATAATATCCAAAAAGCACTTACGGTGTAATAGTGACATAACACTGGGTTGCCGGTTTTACCCTGACTCTTGAGGTCGTAACTGCTGGCGTATCAGTTACTTTGTTCAATGATAATGTGTGGGTGCGACGCACAGGCAAGTTGTAAGTATGCGTTCTGGGATGGTATTGGTAAGGAGCGCGACCATAGACTTGTAATTCAATGGCACTGCGGATGGGCACTGCACACACGCATTGACGCCAACGAGGAAGCTGAACAGCGCAAACATGATGGAGCGGGATGTCAACATGACGGAGTTTGTGGAAGGGAATGAGGCAAAGTCATAGTAGCAGGCAGGTATTTTAAGTCCGAAACTTCCAGTGTGAAGGTAAAGGCATTGCTTGCCTGGCTGCTCAGACGCCCTACTTTAGGCGAAAACAGTTGGGCCAAAATCTCCTCAGACTCAGGAAGAACTGTGAACGTGATGAGAAGTTGATGTGGAAGGGAAATGTGCAGTACGATGGGGTGGTGCGCACGAATGAATTTCCGGTTCTTGCCAGTATTGGCTTCGCGTTGTTCGTAAGATATGTGCACGTTCATCGGACGTTGTGACTTCCCAAACAATACTCTCCGTAATATGATCATCCTTCAATCGATGAAGCTCATCACGGTCGCTTCATAGCTCCTGCGCAACGTTTGAGTTTTGGCCTTCCGCACAGGGTCCGTGGTCAACAAGACGGAACCTTTTATGGTATGGTTGAAAAGTCAATGTGTTAGATATTCCGATTACTAGCCGGGTATGAAACTGTTAGAAAGCCGCTCCGTAATTTGGTCTGTTAACAATTGTGGACATGCAGGGTCGTCTTCGCCGTCCGGCATGAGCAGGATCATAAATAAGGCTGATGTCGATCGCGGACGGGCCGGGGCTTTCTACCGAGGATATGGGGCGGTGGAGGATACCAGGCTGAAGATGGCTATCGCTTGGGTGTGGTTACCAAGACCTCGGAGTAGGATGTATTACGTACCAGTAGAGGCCAGGAGGGTTGCACGATGGCCCATCAGAAGACCCAGAGAGCCAAAGTAGGCTGATTCCGAGAAGCTAGTGATAAGAAAACGTTGAGAAAATGGAATCCGTAAGACAAAAAAACACTTGCCTTGTCACTGATCAACAAAAGAGCCTGGACCGTATATGTGAATATATGCTGCCCGAAGCATATATTCACATATACGCCGCAATATAAGACCTTGTGTACAACTTGTGTATGCTTAAAAGCTAAATCACGGCATGCATGTTCATGTAAGCTTCACAAGGCCTTGCATGCTTCGGGCTCTTTTGTTGAAGCCGCGCTGCTGGGCCCCACTGCATCAAAGCGAGTCAATGACGTGAACTGTGGATATAATCATCAAACGTGCGCAATCGTGATAGGAACAAACAAAGACAGACCGAAAGAAATGAAGGGTTCAGGCCAGTGCCCGTAGGTAGTTGTTGAGCGCCATAGGTCTGTATGGATGTAACGTGTAACACACACCTTCCCCGCGTTCACCACGCTTAATGTTCAGTGGGTTGCATGTGGCAATGCACAGTCTCAGTCCGTCTCCGAATTCTTTCAATTTATGTAAACTGACAGGCTTACGGTTTCAGTATGAGATTATACTAGGCTGGGCAAACTTATCTTAGCGCTAGTACTGCAGTTGTCTGTAAGTGTTCCTTCTATCAGAACTCTTGGCTGAACAGGCGCAAAGTACACGTTATATCGGGAGGCGTTGTAATGCTAAGTGGGGATTCAGAGCTGTTTAAAATTTAAACGCTATAGTAAGTACTTGCTTGATGACTACATACTCACGTTGAACATTCATATCGTGAAGGCACTGCGTGTCAGCATCTTCATAAGGTTTCGATTGACGCTGCTCTATTCACAAACCGGATATAAAGCGCCAGATCCATGCAGTCCATGCCCTCTACCCTTGTACTAGTGCAACCTGTCTGCACAGCACGAGCCCACGACAATTGATGACTACTCCTGTCGATAATCAAGTCATATCCAAACCTAAGTCATCAACAAAAGAGCCTGAACCATATATGTGAATATATGCTGCCCGAAGCATATATTTACATATATGTCGCAATGTAAGACCTTGTGTACAACTTGTGTATGTCTGAAAAGCTAAATCACAGTACGCATGCTCATGTAAGCTTCACAAGGCCTTGCATGCTTCGGGCTCTTTTGTTGATGGTTTGTCGTTCTGTGCTGATCTTGGTTTCGAGCTCAAAGTGATACAGACATTCCCGACCAGATGATATGACAAGGTTCATTGCCAGGCCGCATCAAGAACGCGATCATCCGGTAGCACGTGGCGGATTTGGTGACATTTACAAGTGTACCTATAATCCTAGAGAACAGCCTTCAGTGGACGTATGTTTCAGGACTTTGCTTGAATCACGAGCTATTGTGACATACTTTCAGGTGGCGATCAAGGCGTTTCGCGTGCGAGCTGATGAGATTGACGATCCTGACGTATGAATTTACTTGTTCTTTGTTCTGATGTTCCTAAACGTCTTTGAAGGCACTGTGGAGGGAGATAGGTGTTTGGAAGAGAATGCGCCATAAATGCATCGTTCCACTTTTAGGTTCAACCACGCATTATTCACCAGTGTCCTTGGTATCGCCTTGGATGCCTAATGGGACACTAACTTCTTATCTCCAGACTCACGTCGAAAGTCAAGCCAAGTCCCTTCTGGTAGGTTATAGCTTCCTTGGCATCTATCTTCTCATTCAGTTGATTTAGCTGTATAACGTGGCGGACGGCCTACACTACTGTCAGTGCCACACGATTGACACTATTCAGCGCAGTAAAGCTGATTTCCTGCGATTCTAGTACACTCGGAATCTGTGGTGCACGGAGACCTTACGAGCGTAAGTTTAACCCTGGACTCCGGTTACGCCAGCAAATGAAACGGTGTATTTGACAGTTCAATGTGTTAATCGACGAAAAAGGTCAAGCATGCCTCGCCGATTTTGGACTATCATCCATGGTCAAGATGGGTGAAAAATTTGACTACCTCCGTGTGCACGAGAAGCACCCTGGAGCCTTGCGCTGGTCAGCGCCCGAGTTAATCGACGGAGATGGAGATGGAACGAGTTCCCTAGGGGTTGAGGAGAGATATATGCCATCTCCTTCAAGTGACATTTATTCCTATGGCTGCATCATGTTTGAGGTGAGCTTGTCGAGAGTCCAACAAACAGATTGCAGTGAAAGCTATGATAGGTTCTTTCCGGCGACATGCCTTGGAAACGTTGCAACAACCTCGTTCGTACCATCCTGGACGGAGGGACACCCGAGCGTCCGCAGTCACAAGACGTGCAGGACGAGGATTGGATATTTATATTACAATGTTGGCTGTCGCTCCCATCCCTTCGACCGGTCGCATCCCAAGCACTCAAATTTGCTGAAGCTCGCCTACCTGTAGGTAAGGCATACTGGTAGTGTTGCACACGCGCCATTGAAACTCATAATTTCTTCTATCATGTAGAGTCTCGCGAAACGTCTAGTCAAACTTCCATATACTCCGCACATCTCGATGGCGCAAACGTCTACAACTTATCTTCATTGGTACCTTCACATACGCAGCCTGCATTTTCAGACGCTGAAAAATGCTGGAAGTCGGTTGATAAGCTAGCAAAAGCGCTCATTGAACTCTTCACTACCAAGAAGAACCAGCATGGCCTTAATGATGCCATCCAGCTGTACCATGTTTCCCTCGCCTCGCTCTCGCCTACTTCCATAACTTTACTCCCTGAAATTACCGTAGCCATCGCTCAAATTGGCACTGAGAAAGGAGATGACAAGAATTTGGATGCGACCGAACGCCTTCGCCTTCGCATGGGATCTGTCGGCACCGATGATCCCTTTCATTTCACAGGTTCCAGCTACCTCAGCCTTGTCGACATAGCCAGGCATATGACAGATAAAAATTCAAATTCCATTTCCAGCGCAAAATATTGGTACAAGAAATCATTCAGCAATGCCGCCAGTGGTGTATTATGCCGCCTGCAGATAGCGCTGGCATGTGCTCGGATTACCGAAAAGGTTGTGGGGCAGGACGAGTTCAGGCTGGAGGCGTACGAGACGTCTCTCCAATTATTGGAATCGCATATATCTGCGACGCACACCTTGTCATGGGCGGTGGAGCATCTTTCGAGTTCTCTTGCAGTTGATGCGGCAGCGACGGCACTTTGTCTAAAAGACGTGAACAAAGCCGTGGAGTTATTGGAGTGGGGGAGAGAGCTGCTGTGGGCATATATTGCGCGGTCTCACACCAGCAAAGAGGAACACGCCACTGAAGAAGGGCACACCACCGAAGAAGGGCATACCACCGAAGAAGGGGGGGAAAAGGTCTCTAAAGTAGAGCAGCTGCACTTGTTTGTGAACGGTGCACCAGACACTTCGCAAGAGGCTTCCAACCTCAAAAGTGCCGCTGTACCTGATGCAAAAGTGCATGAAATACGGGAGGCGGAGGGCCTGCCATCCTTGCATCCTCGAATATCTGATCTGCTGAAAGCAACGCAAGACGGGCCTGTAATTATGCTCATCGCAAGCAGACGATCATGCGACGCCATCATCGTGTCTAACGCGCACCCCAAACCGCTTCACGTACAGCTGAAGATCTCCTTCAGCTCTCTCGCAGCGTTGTCGACAACTTTCCAAGCTTGCACCTCTTCGGTATCCGAAGATCCCGAATCTGTAGAAGCCAAGCTGGAAGAGGTACTGAAATGCCTGTGGGATGATGTTGTTTACCCAGTGATCGTTCATTTTAAAGAGTCAATGCCACCGGGGCATGGCTCTCGAATATGGTGGTGCCCCACTTCGTTTTTCTCCACCTTGCCGGTGCATGCGGCAGGGGATTACACTCCGGAAGGGACACAACTACCGCAGCTTTATGTTTCATCCTACACTTCCTCTATCTCGTCACTGGTTCGTGCTCGCGAATGCGAATCCGCCAACCGCTCCGAGTCATATTCGAAGTTCGCTGCAATATATACCAAGCACAACCACGTGAAAACGACGAAAAAAAGGAAGTCGAATACCCTGTGATTGAGTTGGCAGAAATGGAGCCTGACATAGTGAAACGCAACTTATCCCCATCTCTCTTCCTCAAAAAGTTCCCCGACGCAACAAAGGATGATGCTGACGAAGCCTTCGGCGACTATGGATGGTTTCATCTGGTAGCTTATGCTACACAACATGCTTACAAACCATTCAATTCCTCCTTTGTGATGCGCGACGGCTTGCTGTCACTTCCCGATATCCTCCTGGCCGGCCCCGAGCCAAAGGAGTTTGCCTTCCTCTCTGCGAGATCGCTTGGATCGCGTTTCAGATGGATGCAGAACGAGACCATCCAGTTTGCTGCCGGCTTGCAGTTTTCTGGATTCAAGAGTGTTGTTGGAATGATGGGAAACGTGGAGGACTCTAAGGCGCATGAAATTGTTGACAAGTTCTATAGGATTTTCTTTTCTACCGAGACCCCAGATTGTACCCGGGCTGCACGAGCGTTGCATGATGCCTTGGAAGAAATGGCTCAGAGTGGATTATCTCTGGGACAGAGAATCATCTTTGCACATTTTGGACTATAGTTGGTATAGGATTTTGATAGCGACGATATATGAACCTTACTTTCTGTTTTTGCAAGTGATGATGCCGGCTTTTGCATGACAAATCGCGTATTAGATGGTGAAAGTGACTCAAGGGGAAAACCTTGGGATGTTGCAATGGTACACGAGTAACAACAAGTATATGTACACTGGACAGCACAGAGTGTCTGTCAGTACTGACATTGGACACTTTAGAATGTGATCATGAATGTTCGGCAGATGAACTCGGGCATCTCCTCGCTACTATTAAAGCACAAAGGTGGTGATAATTTAAGGGCAAAAAGTAAGAGTATCATCCGTGACGACTGGAATATCGACGTTTCAACAGTCTCAGAACCTATGCGCGCAAAATATGTTCAAATAGGAACCACAATTCGTGAATAGAGACTTACGGCAGCCCACAATCTAGCCCAAGTGAAACGTTCACGTGAGGTTGTTGGTGACGACGGCTGTGAACCAGGCCCAGATTCTGTAGTGGTCACCCCCTTCATATGAAAAAGTGAGTGAAGGAGGCACCAGGGAAAGCGAGAAATGCAAACCTGTGAGCCCTGCCCAGCAGCACTTTGTTTGGTTCTAATGGTGGCCGATCCTCGGTTGTGGTGATCCTCGGTCTCATTAATTTTGTTGAGAACCGCTGCCGGTCGCCCCCTGCTGGCAGAAATATTGCGTGGTACAATTCCACGTGGTATACCAGCACGCGATAGGGCAACGAATTGTTGCTTGAAACCGCGTTTCACTGGCACCTTGTTACCATTCTGCGGCTGTGAATGGTGTGACTCGTGGGGCTGCGAAAGTGTGTTCCGTCAGTAGTGCTGCTCAGTGAGATTAAGAGATGAACGTACACCGAAAAAATCTTCAGACACATCGTAACCTGGTTCAGTGATCTACATTATACTGAGTCAATTCTACGCAGAGTTTCGTGAGTTAGATCCTGACATCACCAATGTCGCTGAACTGGATCTAGCAAGAATATGAGTGTCAAAATAAATTGTAATAATGTTCTAGCACTTACATCCTCCGCATCCCCCGTTATAATTGCCGAGGTGATTTTTCCGATGTTCCAGGTGTATAATCTACCCCTTTCGGTACACGCAGCAATAGTGCCTTCATCCTCTGAGAGCGCAACACAGTTCGCCTCGTCAGATTTTGAAAGCTCAAATGGACCATGAAGGCACTGACGAGTCTTGAGATTCCATAGGTAGGCGTGGTCAACAGATGCAGTTGCAAACACGTGTTCTGATACTGCAATATAATTGACTGCATGAGAATGTGCTTGTATCGCAGGGCATACTTCCTTTTTCTCGATAATATCCCATATTCGAACAGTACAGTCGACGGATCCGGAGATGACTTTACTCCCATCCCTGGTCCAAGCAACCGAAGAGACTGTCATTGTATGGCCGCTCAATGTTGCTTGTAGCTTCATTGTGAGAGCATCCCAAATTTTGATCGTGAAGTCTTGCCCACCGGTAGCAACTTTCTCCCCATTTGGGGAGTAAGCGACAGTGTAAACCGCTTTCTGCTCTGTCAGGAGGGGGTCGAGGATAGGTTCCCCCGAGTGAACATCCCAGATTATGAGAAAGCTGTCTGCTGGACAGGACGCGATGTGGTTCCCATTTGGAGACCACGACACGGACCAGACTCTTTGTTTATGCACCTTCCAGGGACCTGCAAGACGTTGACCTGATTCTGCATCCCAGAGCTGAAGAGCACAGTCGCGACCCCCGCTGGCAACTTTTTTGCCGTCGCGAGAGACTGCGACAGTAGTAGCGCCCTTGTGAGCCCAGCGGTGTTCTTGTTCTTTTGTTCTGAACTTCCAAACAACGACAGTGTCGTCGTCGGAGACGCTCACCACTCGTTCGCTGTCGGGGAAAGCGGCAACGCACCATGCCCGTAGGGCATGGCCGCCAAGAGTATCTCTATCGGTTTGGGGTGGTTTGGAAGAAGTCTTATCGTGAGAGGTCGCTGCGGACATGATGAACTACTGCCAAAAGGATGAGTGATACAGGATGGACACAATTCAGGATGCTACCCACCAGTGCGAAGGAGAGGGAAGCCATCAAGCACGGGACGTCCACGCGCGGCTTTTCTAGGGGTGCCATGGATGATTGTTATCTTCTGTGGGTCCATGTTTGTTAGCTGTAGATTCCATCCTTGTTGTGCATGTCGATCTTTGGCAGTGCACATCGTCTTCGGTTACCAATGCTGTGCGCATACACCAACAAGCAGCCGGCTGCCATCGGAGCTCATGCTGACCGGGGTCATTCTCGAAGGGCATTTGTTAAGATGAACTTCTGACACTGGCTTCAGCGTCTACTCCATTTCCGGTCAAACTCACAATGTCGAAGCTGCGGTTCAAAGTCTTTCTAGCCAAATGAACCTCCAAGATAATATCAATGGCCCATAGTAGGTCAACGAATTGCACACATGTCGATCGGTGTGCGACTGAGAGAAAAACTCTTGAAGATGAAAGTCGCCGGGTTGAATCCTCGGCGTGAGCTTGACTTAGGAAGCTGAAAAGGCTCATAATTATGGGTCAAAAACTGGTGATGTTCACAACAAGCGCTCGGTTGTCAGAAAACCCAATGAAGTATATCATTGTACTCACAAGTTGTAGTGTTGCCGCGAATTGAACCGAATCAAAACGAGGTGGGAGTTCGTTCCAGGTTCGATGGTCGAGGTGGAACGAACCGAAGTGTAACGAATACGGCTCGAAGCTCCAGCCAATGAGAATTGTTTGTAAAGTGAAGTAGATATGAAGTGGCTATGTTTCATTCTGCGTTATCGTCGTCGACATTTTGTAATAGATCAGCAAGCTCATCGAACTTCACCCCGTAACTATCAATTCCTCTGCAGCCCTTCGTGTCACAGGCCGCGAAATCTTGTAGTCATCCTCTTTTGCAATCAAATCGCTAGTGAAACATAATCTCTCCTGTCTGTAAGAAAATTTGAGAATCTGGAGTGCTTCCATTACTCGTGGTGAGAGTCTGCTTCGACTGAGTGTGCAGGTTTCTTTGCTGGATGAAAATACACGTACGCACGGCACAGAGGATGCCTGAGCTGGCAGGACATCCATGGCAACGCAGAAAAGTAGTGGATAGACTTTTTCCATGCGCTGAAATTGACTTTAGTGCCTTCCTTATGTGAAGGAAAAGTCGAGCTCACCTCCCAGAAGCGAACGAGATCAGTCACACGCTCGCCCGCATTGAACGTGACTGGTTCACGCTCATAACGCTCAAGCTCACGCAGGGCATCTTTTCGGTCTTCTTCGAGTGCCTTAGCATGCTGCGCGTTCTTGTGTTTCTTCGCGCGGGATTTCGGTCCTGTCGCAGCAGCGTTTTTGCGTTTTCTCGTAGTAGTAGTTGGAGCGATATTATTGACAGCCGTAGGAGTGATGTCGGCAAATGGATTTGACGGTGTAAAGCTTGCTGCAGCTGATGAATAAGGGGCTTGCACGAAGTGATGTATGTTTGCCAATGCATTTGCGACAGGCAATGGATGTGGGAGGTGCGGAGATGCAGAAGTGTTGTTTGGGAGCCCATATGGTGTGTGAGGGTAAAATGGTGGACGTGCATGAGCGGCGGACCATGCCAGACTTGTATAGCCTGGGTGAGGGTGATGATGCTGTTGCTGAGATGCCGAAGGGATGGCAGAAGCTGCAGAACTGTTCCACTGGTGAAAACTCATGTTTTGGGAATATAATACTAAACTCACAGTACGACGCACGAATTTATACGACGACCTATAGATCCGTCGCCTAATTAACCACGCTTGAGGATTGCTCAACATTTGTATTGTACAGCATTGCAGGCACCTGTCCTCCGGCGCTAAAGCAGCACTATGGTCCGACGAAAATACGTATAATGATGTTCTACACCAAAAGGTTCGAGGACGGACAATGGAGAAGCAGAGTACATTGAGGAAACGCTAGAGATGTGAGGTTGCTGGAGTACTACTCTAACGAATCACCAAGTCACAGGCCAGATTTAGCACTTCATTTGGCAGTATCTAAACGAGGCGTAAACGAATCGAGTTGTATTGAACTGCCTCAATTTCGAACCGAACCGAAGTTACCTCGAGGTCACCTTGGTTCGACGGCAACACTACCGCCAGGGCCTCCGGTTTGGTGTCTCGTCTCCCCCATTTCTTCACATCACGTCCAGCATTGATTCTTCACAGGCGCTGTAGCCGGACAAGACTTATACCCTCCTGACAACTTTCCGTTACTCTGATATGATCGCTAGCATGTCAACCGGGGACAATGAACTGCACAATATCCAGAAAGCACTTACGGTATCATACTGACAGGTCACTGACGAGTCTTCGTTATTTGAATTGGGAGTATAGACGTAGTAACTGCCAGCCTATCAGTTACTTTGTTCAATGAAGATGTGTGGGTGCGACGCACATGCAAGATGTGACCGAGACGTCTGGGAGGGTTTTGGATAGTTCCGTGGCACTATTGTTGACCTTCACTGAGGACGGGCACTGTACACATGCATTGGCGCCGGCGAGCAAGCTGAGCAGCGCAAAGATGATGAAGCGGGAAGTAAACATGACGGAATGTGTGGAAAGGAATGGGGCAAAGCCGCAGTAGCAGGCAGGTTTTTTGTAGGCTGAAACTTCCAGTGTGAGCGTAAAGGCGTGGCTCGAGTTTCTGTTCAGATACCCCACTTTAGGCGAAAACAGTTGAGCCAAAATGCCTGATAATCTCCGCAGACTCGAGGAGAACTGTGAAAGTCATGAGAAGTTGACGTGGCAAGTACTCAAAGGAAGGTGTCGGAGACCTGGGTCATCCAGTTTCCTGGGTAGCCTTGACTTCGCGTTGCAGATATGTGCACGTTCATCGGACGTCGTGGCTTCCTAGAACACTCTTCGTAATATAGCCATCCTTGAATCGACAAAGCTACGGACGCCCTATAGATACCAAAACTCCTGCACAACATTTGAGTTTTGGTCTTCCCCAGAAGGTCCGGGGACAACAAGATGGAAGGCATGAACAGGATATAAGTAAGCCCAATGCTCGATCGTGGACGTGCTGGGGCTGGTATAAGGAGTGCCCGGATGAAGTATGTCTGCTGCTTGTGTGTAGTTACCAACACCTCAGCGTAGATGGACGACATAGAGACAAGGAGAGTTGTGTCAGAAGACCCAGACAGCCAAAGCAGGCTGATTCTGAGAAGCTTGCGATAAGAAAAACGTTGAGAGTATGGAATCCGTAAGATTATAAAAACAGTTGCCTTTACGCTGCATCAAAGCGAGTGGGGAAATCGGACCGACTTTTCAGGAAAAAGGGAAGTGAAGAGAGGGGACCGGAGTTGGCAGAGTCGGGCCTATCAAGTTTTACATAGGCAGCACCTCTAGGAACGAATGGCTGAAGATGGTTGAGAGCCCTAAAGACGGTTGTGGAAGACCCCAAGGTCGGGTGATTCTGACGACCACAATCAGCCCAATGCACAATTTATGTAATCATATCAGATTTGCGTTTCACTAAAATGGAATAGAAGGCGGTTACTCGCCATCTAAAGTTGCCTCACTGATAGCAGCTGAACGTGCTAGCAGCCTCACTGGGATCAAGTGGTATTCACTGTCAAACTGCCACCCTCAGTCCATATGGAGTGGCCAAGGCAAGACGCGACTAATTCTCGTAACAGATGGTAATCTACTGGCATATATTCGGCTGCCCGCAGACGAGCTGTTGGGTGTCTCGGCTCCCCACCTCTTTACATCACATTCAGCAGGGACCCCTCAAAGTTACTGTACGCGGACAAGCCTTATTCCCAAATTGCAACTGGCCGTTGTCCTGATGCCATCGCTAGCATGTCAACCGAGAACAATAAGCTGCACAATATCCAGAAAGCACTTACGGTGTAATACTGACACCACACCGATGAGGTGTAACTATCAGCCTATCAGTGACTTTGTTCAATGAAGATGTGTGGACACGACGCACGAGCAAAATGTATCCGTGTCCTCTGGGTAGGTATCGTGTAGATTAATGGTACTACCGCCGACATTCAATGTATCTGGGCACTGTAAACACGCATTGGCGCCAGCGAGGAAGCTGAGCAGTGCAAACATGATGGAGCGGGAAGTAAACATGATGGAGTTTGTGGAAGGGAATGATGCAAAGACATAGTAGCAGGCAGGTGTTTTATAGGCTGAAACTTCCAGTGTGAATGTAAAGGCGTTACCAGCTTTGCTGCTGAGATGCCCTACTTTAGGCGAAAACAGTTGAGCCACAATGCCTGATAATCTCCAGACTCGAGGGGAGCTGTGAAAATCATGAGAAGTTGACGTGGCAAGTACTCAAATTTACAAAGGGAGATGGTCGGCACATGTACAATGGGGTCCTGGGCACGAATGAATTTCCGGTTCCTGGGCAGCCTTGCCTTCGCGTTGCTCGTCAGGTATTGACTTCATCGGACGTTGTGACTTCCCAACAACGCTCTCTGTAATATGACCATCCTTGAATCGACGAAGCTCAGCACGGCTGCCCTATAGATGCCAAAAATCCTACGCAACATTTAAGTTTTGGTCTTCCGCAGTAGGTTCGTAGAAAACAAGACGGAACTTCGCAGGGGTACGGTCGAAAAGTTAATGGTAGTGAGCAGGTGTTAAATATTCCGGTCATTATTTATAACACTATAGCATTACGGATACGCTGTACAGAGCGCCGGGAATATATACAGATCACTACGGTATCATAGGTAAATGTGGGGAATCAATAAATGAGCGACCTGTTGCAAACAAACACTATCGAAAGCGAAAGCGAAAGAGAAGAGTTATCATAAAATGCAAGGGACCAGTCGGTACATGTAGGAACAACGACACGCCTTACGAGGCTTTCGGGAGAGATATGGACGCAGTCTGCATGCCTGAGGGACCATTGGTCGATAGTGTACGGGACTGAGTTTGACGCTTGAGCTGTGCTTCCATTTTGACACGTTGCTTTCGAACATCGTCATCTTTCAGCTTCATCGTTAGGGCTTGATTAAGGAATGCGTCTGCTGTCGAGGGTAGGCACGCCAGAGGCGGATGAACAAGGTATTCCATAGCAGCTTCTTCGGATGTCGCTTGCAAAAGCAGATGCCGCACGCATTGAACGAGCGCGAGCCCAACACGAAACAAAAGAGTGACGCCTAAAAGAGTATAAATAAATACAACGCAAGACAGCAAAGCACGCTACGTACCTTCACACAAGAAAACGTCCCAGACACGGTGAAGATATTCAACAGGTAACGTTCCGACAAATAGAGTAGAGAACCTGTACGAGGTCAGAAACCATGGAACCCTAGAGGTGTGTATTGATACGAACCAAGGCCTTGCTAGGTCGCCAGGCTGGATGCCAAACGTGACATAGAGCTTTTTGCACACACCAGGATCATTCACTTCGATGGCTTTGCTAAGCAATGAAGCATCAACCTCCAACTGGGTGGTATTGGCTGAAAAGTACGGTCGAAGGTGGGCGTCCATCATCGAAGCGAATATCCAAAAAGCGTCTTCTTCGGGTGATAGCAACAGCAGATGACCGGCGATGGAAGTCAGTCCTGGCAACACACATCAACAACGATACAGCGCTCAGATACAACGAAGACGTACCTGAACTATATTGGATATCTGGCACCATATTGAGATACGCCTGCAGGAGTGATACTAAAGGGCCATCGAGGGGATGCAGTTGCGTCTGATCGGGAAAGTACGTTTTTGCATCCCTCTCGATATCTGAAAAAGCAGGTACTCTCTGCCTCTTACCCAGCTGCGCATATACGCCGGGAATCGCGCGGGCTTTACTATCCGTGAGATGACACCACACCAAGTATCGTACCGACGAAGGCACTCCCTCCAACAAAAGACGCTTGACCTTCTTGTTCTTGCGTGCTTGAGAGGGTGGTACAATAGGCAGAAGAGCCATCCACTTGATCTCACGTTGGCGGTGGGCATCTATTGACACAGGTGACTCCACTGGCGGGGTACCCGACGAGATCGGATCGGGGAACATGGGAGACCGTGGGGCACTCGAATGCATCGACGCAGTATCGCCCCCCATGATAACAGGGGAATCGATGTGCACAGCATCAGCATGTCCAGCGTACGATGATTCTTGACTGGAGCGACCCAGTGGCACTTGCGGTAAGGCTGGTTTCACAAGTTCAAAGTCCATGTCTTGTACTTGCACGGTTTCGCTCTCCTGGTTACCCACCGAAGACGTCACGCTCACAGCATCGTCAAGCTTGGATTTCATGCTCGCCCTGCCACGAAGCGCAGGAAGGCTAAGTTTTCCCCGAAGTTGAACTTCGTGTGCTAGTGGCGACGACCGCGCTGATTGTGAGTGCCACTCCACAATGGGAGGTGGAGATGCCATTTGAGAGCGCGAATCGGTGGAATCAGAACTCTTTCGAGGAGGAGCACCTATCGACGGAATTCTTCCTCGGTATGTCCAGTGACCCTTGACGAACATTAGTTACCCAGGGCTGCGGCGAGGAAACGTTGCCAGAGTTAGTTGAGACAGGACGTGCGTCCCGTCATTGCAGATGGTGAGGTGTCCTTCTCACGATCAGCTGAAGTTAATCGGACTAAAACTGGGTGCAGGGCTGGCCGAGGAACCTCCTGTAGACGGGGGCTGTAGCCCAAACTGCGTGACAATTGGAATAGGAGATGACTGCTGGAAACCTGGGGTGATCGGTGACTTCAGCTGGCCTGCATTGGGAGATGGAATATCGGTGGAAGAAACGATGCTATTGGGATTTCGTTCACGACTCAAGCTGCCATTCTGCAGGGAAAGAGGTGAGGGGATGTGACGTGCCCTCAAGGCAGCTGGAAGACCATTTGTCGTGGGCGCAGATGCGGACGCAGGCTGTGAAGAAGGGAAAGGGGTTGAAACAGGAGCGGCAGTCAGAGATATGCTTTGCGTCCTTGGACACTGGTTCTTCGCGGCTACGTCACTCATCAGCTTTCACTCTTTACTATATTCGAAAATAACTCACCTTCGCTCAGGCAAAGCACCAACATTCCCAGCTTCCCCGAAGCCCGAAAATGACCTCGATCTCGGTCGGGCAGCGCCCACCTGCGGGACAAAATTCGGGCGCGAAATGGGAGCCACAGGCGCACTACCACTCGCAGCTGGCTCCTGCGCACCTGCAAGCGTCGTCACTGACCGCCCAGGCAGTCTAAGTGGCGATGTGTTGGTCGGATTAGCGCTTGTATTTGGACTGGTATCTTGCGCACTACTAGGCGGTGGTGCCCCGCGGAGATGTGCAAGAGCTGGAGGCGCAGCTGAGCCCCTTCGTACCGGAGCAGAAACAGTTGCAGCGCGAGTGGGTGGAACAGGTGCCACAGACTGAGGAGCTTGATGTGTGGCAGAAGGCACGTATGGTCGTGGTGGAAGTGGGTCCATCGAGAACATGATCGGCACAGGGCCAGCACTCAAGTTCAAATCAGGCTCGCAGCGTGCATACAGCGTCATCGGCGGCCTGCGCGCTCCAGGACCAAGGGAGATACTCCTGAGGTGGCGGAGAACTTGAACGGAGAACGCTGTGGCATTGGGCGGTGGCTGTACGGGCGGCATTGACCCAGGGCTTGCATTAGGAGGCTGGGGTCGCGCATACATGGGACCCAGCCCTTGGCCGCCTGGAGCTATCTTGGGAGCATTCGGATGAGGGAGGAATATCGATGTACGTGAGAAGGGATGAGGTGCCTGGTTAGGCTGACGGGGACGTAGAGTCGATGGTGGAACTGCGTCCTGGCCTGGAGTTGAGCTCCCTGGAGCGAGTGCCGATGGTATGCCCGGACTTAGCGCTGAGGGAGTTCCAGGACTGAGTGCTGACGGTGTCCCAGGAGAAAGTGAAGCACCAGGATCAGTGTAGATAGTGTCCCAGGCGTAAGCGCTGCAGGTGCCCCAGGCATAAGTGCAGACGGTGTGCCCGTCGTCGACGGCAGGAGCGACGCTGGAGTAACAGTATGTCCCGTGGAAGCAGTCCCAGCCTCGCTCGACACAAACGATGTCTCTCCTTCAACATCCGCATCCGTGCGGGGATCCTCATCTATTCCAGAATGATCCTCGTCGTCGTCATCAGCATCCACCGCGACCGCGTGCATCCCAAGGCCAACACGCTCCTCGCGCCCACTCTCCGCATGCATGCGCAGCGCAGACGCAATACCCGAACCATATGTAGGCGACACAGGGGATCGCACACTCCCCGAGTCTGACCGCAGCCCACGCGACTTGCGAGACGCGTGGCCATCATCTGACTCCGAATACGCATATGACCGTCTCTCCGTCTCCTCCGTGTACCCCGAATGTCGCTCGTTAGCACCGAACGACGCATAAAGCAGGGGCGACACCGGGTTCATCGCATGCGGGATCACCTTCTCTCCTCCCACACCCGCATCATCAGCCTCGTCTTCTATATCCGTGTTCGTCACTCGCAGCCTGCTCGGCACCCCAGCTGGAACTTGCGGGAACTGCGCGCTGAGCGGGGACAACGTCTGGGTCGAATACGTCGACGGCGTGCGTGCGGACTCGGTGTCTGTAGTGACATGGCGTGCGACGGGCGGGCGCAGGCGCACCTCTGGGCCATCGACAGGGCCGTGAGGTGTATGCTCAAGGAGGACAGGCGAGCCGGGATCCACAGAAGATGTTGACTCGAAGGAGGGCCGTGAATAGACGGAGACGGATGTATGGGTATACGTAGATGGGATGTTGGCCCGGTCGGGCTGGCTCCGACTCGAAGTGCTTGAGACGCTGGGCCGTTCGCTCGAGACGCTGGGGCGTGATGACGCATCGAGGCTGGGACGATCTGGCGAGAAGATCGGTACGGGAGGCACTTTGCCACCCGATAGAACGGACATCCGCGCCTTCGACTTTACGGAGATTGCAGACATGCGCTTGGATGCCATGCTATAGCGGGAGTAGCGGTAGTCGTCGTAGATGTCGGATGCTACGGGCCCAGTAGCCTTCTTCTTCATCTTCCTCCTCCTCTTCCTCTCCCTCGTCGTCTTCTTCACCTTCCCTCTCTAGGTGCTGTTCTGCCCTATCGTCATGCGCCATGACATAGTCTTGCGTAGTCTCATTTTCAGGCGATGCACGCGGCGCATCCTCATGGTCGACTGTCGGAGGCACAGAAACAGAAGGCGTATACTTGGTCCACGGAATCGGCGTACTCCCGCCCGTCGCAGTACTTTCCCTTGCTCCATCACCCAAATCATGTCCCTCCCTCCCTCCTCCCACTTCTAGCCATCCTCGATCACCATAGCCCCTCACACCTTCATCCTCCTCCTCATCGTTGTCGTCATCGTCATCATCATCCGTCGTCGTCGTCCATCGCAAGTGCTCCAAGCAAGCTCAAACCGATGCCCGTCTCCCCATCTTCCTCTTCCTCCGCGCCCTCCATATGGCGATTCAGCGTAGAAAACTGCGTGCTCTCGTGTTCATGGTCATGATCATCATCCAAATATAGCGAAGAATCATCTGCTTCCGAATTCGTGTCTGGTGCTGACGACGCAGTGGACTGGTGGGGATGGCGGAGACTGCGATATTTCTGGAGGCGGTGGCGGGAGAGGCGAGCGTGGTGGACTGCCCGCTGCCGGGAGCGTGAAAGACGCCGGGAGCGGTGAGCGTAGTGGGAGAGGTGAGTAAGCGCGCGAGTTTGTTCCCGTCCCGGGCTGTGGAGGCAAGGGCGAAAGCGGCGGGGGCACTGGGCTCGCTGTGAGTCGCGGCGACTTCGTGAGGCGCAGCGGAGCCACTGTAAGCCCTTTCGTCGTATTAGTCGCGAAATTGGTAGACGACGAAGAAGAATTTGAAGTGGGAGCCGAGGTCAAGGAGCCGTACGTCGAGCTTGAATCTAGAAAGACGCCCGACATGTACTCAGAAGCGGATGCGGAGGTGGAGCCTGACATGGACTGAGATATCGAAGGTGAAGGATTTGACATAGACTGGAGGAGCTTCTCCACGGATCCTGCGGAGGAAGCTTGTGTCGAGCCTAAGGAAGGAATGGACTGCACACTCGACGTAGCTGGGGTAGAGTTTGATGAAGATGTGGGCAATGAACCCATCGACGAAGACGAGGTAGGCACTGATTTTGTGCTCGACGAAGCGTGCACTGAGCCGGACGAAGACGACGGCACCACTCCGCTCGACAAGAACGAATCCTCGCTATTACGCCACTGATCGCCATCGGAGAACGTAGTCGAAGTAGCACTCGAAGTTGATACAACAGAGTACACAGATGACTCAGATACAGACATCGTCAGCTCATGTGCACGACTACTCGTTCGCTCATATTCCCTAATGCGCTCAGGGGAGGAAGAATACAAATGCATGTCAGGTGAAAGTGGCTTTCGTCTCACTGGCGAGCTCCCGAGGCGTAGATCTGAACTGTCAGCTCTTGCCGCTGAGCTTCCGGGACGAATGGCATTCGAACTGCCGGCCCTTGCGCCGCTCGAGCTCTCAGGCCATGACGGTGATACACGCTCGAGAGACATGGGGCGCGTATCGGCAACACCAAGGGATCCTCGTTTCGCCATGATAGGGCGCTTGAGCTTCCCGTTAAATTTCACGTCTGTTTCAGAGAAGCGCCCGACGACACCTTCGCAGAAGCCCTGGCAGTGAATCGGTGTCAGTAGACTGTCGACCCAGAGGACAGATTAAGAAAATGAAATATGAAAAGCCAAGATGTAGATACAAAAGGAAGTATTGACAAAGTGTTTATGAGATGGCAGAATCCCGACGTAAAGGAGAAAACAAACTGAAACAACAGAGAGAGCAGAACACGCACCAGGTAATACCCAGCTTCGGGAAGTTGCATCAGCACTGTGATTTCGTCGTCCTAGGAGGGGTGTACATTAGCATGTTGAAAGAAAGCACTTCACGGAGACAGGGGTGCTAAGACTCGGAGAGGTGATCCCATCCTCGAGGAACGCAAGGTTGCATGGATCCAGGACATCATGTGATGACACAACCTGCATAAGGCCAAGTTATGTCTCGATCAAAGGACTCTCTTGGCTCTTGGCTGAACCTGGACCCAGCTGCATCCTCAACCAAACAGCCAAAACACTGCAAGGAAACGAACGGCTGTACTCGAGTGCATAAAAAAACACGTACCTTGAGAAACATGAGATCGCCAATTTCCCTTGCGACACAATCCACGGTCGCTGTACAACGCCCAATGCCCCCCTTGGCGGCAAAGCGTGTCCAGCGGGCAAGATCCTGGGCAGCCATACGCTTTCAGTTCTGCTATAATTTGTGCACCTGGTGATGGTTATGGTGATAGAACTTCTGAGGTGGATTGAAACGGACGTATTGGTTGATGTGCGGAGCCAGGGTCACGTTCTTAATTGAGTTGTGTGGTTATATAGTCAGATACCACGGATGAGTCGGTCTGATAAAACAGATGCGAAACGTAGTCGTGGGTGGTCGTAAACTGTGAAAACGAAAAGAAAGGAGTGAGTAGGGATTTCTGTCACGGTAAGGCCTGTCAATAATCAAGATCAGAAGAAGACATGGCAGGGCAGGCACAGATCTGTGGAACATCATTGTGATCACAGACATCTTCCCGCGAAGGTACACGTGGCAGGACTCAACCTCGCGGTACTCACCTCTGAAGCAACTGTCCTCGTCGTCACCAGAGCTCTCCTCGTTGTCTACGACCCTGAAAAATAAGTAGTTGAAATGAGATTATATAAGCTGTGTCATTATCCTCGCGGCCCTCGCCTATGTAGGCCTAGACTGCCGTCACACTGTACGTATGAAACTTGCCTGGTACTCTTCTCGTTGTCCTCCACGTTCCTTGGAAGCAAAGCAACGGTGCGGTGCGGTGTTCAGCGCGAAGTCTATCTGGCGCTACAACGTACTCGCTGTGCATGTGACTTCCCGCGAAGGATTGACTATATGTCATTTTGTTTAGTTCCCTACTAATAGCCGAACGCGGTACGGCTGCATGGCACATGTCACATGTCAGTTCCTGTATCAACTCCTCACAGATTTAGAATTGCCTTTCACATCCCACTAAACGTCTGATTTACTATGATTTTCAGCCCCTTTTAGGCGGCGATCTCGGCGTTCGACCTTTATTAGATCTAGAAGGAACAACCGTCTACGGATCTGGCTAGTAGGGGAGACTGCGTCTGTCATGAGCAACAACTTAGACACTTGGCTATCCACGGTCGGTACTCTTCTTATCTTATCAGCGTTCACAGAACCATTGAATGAATTAGACTCCTGGAAGTTGTACCCACAACTGCAGTGCATTCTAAGCTATCCTAGGATCACATGTAAAAGCGCACGAGTCGACGTCAGGTCGAATCGGCAAACGTCAGACCTCGATTATGTCTACTACAACATATACCCACATATAATGGTCAGTCGAGACTTGAGAGTAAGCGCACTCGAATAAGACTGTCCGACCTCGGGTCTCCCACCAAAGGACAATACATCTGATTTTTTTTAATACGTACTCGGACCCTGAAGATACATCTCGCGGAACTGCACATGTAGTTCAAGTGCCTGCGTAAGATTCACTACATTTGGAAGTCCCAAAACCTTGTAAAGCCACTCTAGACTCCTACGGCACCGCTAGCTTGAAGATACCCGCGCATAATTAAGTACGTCGTCCCTCATTCTTAGCACCCTCGCTATTGATTGGCGGGGAGCTGTTTGAAACTACTCACTCGTGGGGTGCAAATTAGAATTTAGAGTTGGAATGTTCATGCTTTTGAGATATGTAAGTCCTTACTTGCGATAATAAAAGTGTTCGAAGAGTACGAAAAAATGAGAAACGAGTACAGCTCGAAATGTCAGTAGCACCAACGTGTTTGATAAAGGGACACACTCCTTCCATTAATTTACCCAAAAAAGTGAGATAAGCGAGAGAAGAGTGAACTTGACATTTACTGATGATGCAGTTGTCTTGACGCCAGCCACATCTTCCACCCATAGTTTGAACCAAAAGCTAGCACAGCAAGTTCCAAGTAAGGTTCCTGCCGCGATTTGCGGCCATGTGTGATGACCCAGCCGGACCCTTGACATAGCTATCATCCATGTCCAAGGTAAGACAACCACTGGAGCGAACGTAGCGAAACGAGGGAATGTAGGATGGATAGGTAGCTCAAGGCAAGCAAAGGTAATATATACAGCGAAGAAGGTGCACGTGGATGCATGTGAGCTGGGCATCCTGTGTTAACGATAAAATCAGAACACTATATGTGCCACTGGAAGTAGATCGAGTTTCCGCACCCATAGGTCACTTTGTGCGCGGAGCAATGCGATGGGCGCTCCTGTCGTATTGCCTTCTTAATGACCTTAGCAAGTTTTGAACATAATATTGCGCCGGTCACGAAATATGCGACACCTGCAGAGCGGGTATAGAGAAGGGCTGCTGCAGTCAACGCAGTCACGACTTTGGACGTCTGGAGAATGGACTCAGCACGTGCTCTCGGTTGCGAAAACAAGTGCGCTACTTCATCCAAAAATTTGAGCCATAGCGGTAGTCCTGCTCCCATGGAGGATATGCTTAAACGCAGAAAGGAAGTTGACGGTGAACGCTCTGTTTATAATCTTCTTTTTTTCAGCATGTCACCTCTCTTATTCGTTTCATGATACCATCGTCACTGCGTGCGTGGCGGTCATTCAACCATCAACTCGACTCCCAAACAACGAGGATAGACGTCACCTACCCCAGCATGACTCTGAAATTCTGTCTTGGCAAAATAAATCTTTGAAAATGATATCCGAGCTTTGTACATCACACGACCGTTCGAATAGCTTCACCTGTGGAGTACTATCATTGGGTAGGATGTGCACGATTTTGACAAAAAGACCACGTAACAAGTAGTAATTAGCGACATTGGTCCAGACGGATCAGCGAGCGCTATCTTTGCTTTATTCTTGGGCTTCGCTGGTGGACTCTGATTGGCTTCTGTAAGTTTCGCAGTGCGATCACTGCGGTGCATTTGTCTCTGGGTTTCTCTGCTGTAGAGTTGTTTTTGTGAGCAAGGTCCGGGCCAAGGAAGTACTTACATATGTGGCGATTTTCCACCAATGTTCGATCCCGAACCGACCCTCAAACCGGCTTCTGTGGAGCGGTCTGCGGTCCGGCCCAACTTGGCTCCAGATGGGAATGTAAACGAGGTTGCTTTGCTGGGCTCTTGTAACACAACATATCGACCGTCATATGTTCGTATTAGGTCATAATGAGTTTGAACTGAAGTGAACATAGTTCAAATTGAGTTCCCTTCACCAGCAACACTATTAGCAATGAGTGTGTTGGCACATCGTCCACATCACACACTGGTATCGGTGACACGTTCTCCGAGTATCGTCACTGGTGATCATGTGCGTGGCTTGTGGTCATCGTTTGCTAACTAAAACTAATCCATTGGACATCGTTCCCTTCGAAGGATCAGTTCATTAAAAAAAAAAAAGAAGTTATACGTGTGCGTCAGCATCTCACGACGTGTCATTAACATCAGCCGATGATGAGACGCAAGCCAGCATTGAAAGCAAGCGACAGGAGGACATGACTCGGCGTTTACGAGACTGAAGAGAGGGAGGTTTCTGATGGCATTCTCGAAGGTGGTTGAAATATCAGAAATTAAGAACAGTACTTACTAATGCTGCATCCGGTTGTTGCTCTCGAGATGAAATATGTGACATCGCTCGGATCGACATTTTCAAAAGTTTGAAACATGATGGTTTTGGCGCAGAGGGTCACGGACAGACCCGGACGCAGGTTGATCCACGACGCGGACTGCGAATTTCGAATTCGCAGACTTTTGGTAAGTCTGTATAGCTACGGAAATTTACGATTACATGTGGTGGGCCGGTGGAGAGTCCGGAGCCAATAAACTTTCCCGACAGCTTAGTCTGAAGTTCAATTGTCGAGACTGAGTGACACATACCATTGACAACGCTCGCGCTATGATCCTGGACTTGCCGTCGTGGGATGACCGTGTAGGATTACGTATGGGGTGTGGGTATGGTGGAACCAATGAATTTTGGCCACTGCATAATTTGAAGTTGGTGACAGGTGATCATGAGTGTCGTAGCACTCATAGCATTATGATGCTGGACTAATTGGAGGGGTTAGAACCTCTACTAGCATTAATGGGCCGTGAAGAAGTATATAAGTTAGACGTCTAACTTGTAAAGCTTGAAGGATCACACTTGTACAGTTTCCGAATATGGATACTCTTCATGACGTCATCGCTCAAGCTGTCAACCGCTATCCATCACACTGGCTTAGCTTCATAACCTCCTCCGCACATGACTCCTCCATTCAAACAAAGACTTTCAGCACATTCAACAAGTATGTTCGCAATCTTGGACGCGCCATGCTGGAGTGGGGAAAGCCCACCGGCTCAATTATCGTCGTATACCTTACCGAGCACCAAGACAATATGGCCGCTATCTGGGCCTGTATCATGGCTGGCTATGTCCCTTGCTTGCAGCCTGCACTTAGTGCACAACAGGCGCACAAGGACGCGCATGTTGCTCATATCAAGAACTTGTTTGGGTCCGCTATTTGGCTCACCAGCGAGCTTGGTGCTGAGCAGATCGGCACCATTTCTGGTCTGGAAGTTCACTTGTTCTCCGAGTTGAAAGCCTCTGCAGAGAGGTTCACTGTCCCAGCTGACTGGATTGCGTATGAGCCTAAGCCCGACGACAACGCTATGTTCTTCCTGACTTCCGGCTCGACTGGATTTTCAAAGGTGGTCGTGCACACGCACCGTACCATTCTTGCTGCTTGTCGTGCCAAGGAGCAACGCTTCGGCCCGCCTTCAGAGTTTCGAGTCTTAAACTGTAAGGTGTCCATCATTTTAGCTTTGCTTCTGGGATTAACTATGGCCGTCAGGGGTCGGATTTGATCACGTCGCGGGGGCCTTGGAAATGCACGTCACGCCTCTTCTATTTGGTGCTTCACAAGTTCATGTGCATGCATCTGTGATTCTTTCCGATTCCGTTCGCCTGCTCCGTCTGATCGACGAAAATGTATGTCAACATCCTACCGTAGCTTAATCATATGTTCATCTGTTCATAATTCTAGTCCATTGGTCTGGCTTTCGCACCCAACTTCCTGCTGGCCAAGCTCACTCGTGATCTCGAGAAGCGCACCGACCTTTATGGATCTTTCGACCTGTCCTCCATCAAGCGGATCATCAGCGGAGGTGAAGCAGTAGTTTCGAAGACTGCAAAAGCCTTCGCTGCTACCATGAAAAAGCTTAGCAAGAAGCCCTCCGCAGTGTCCTTCATAATCTCTGCTGGATTTGGAATGACAGAAACTTGGTAGGAATATTCTGACGATATCGACACATCTAAAGTGACCAGTCTTTGGCAGCGGTGGATGCATTTATGACCCGGTCAATATTTTTGCAACTGAACCAGCTCGCGAGTTCCTTGATCTCGGACGCCCTGTCAAAGGTTGCGAGATGCGCATAGTTGACCCTGTTGATGCCACCACCCCGCGCCCCGATGGCGAGAGCGGCGAGCTTCAGGTTCGCGGTCCAATGATATTCGTAGGCTACTACAAAAATCCGGAGGCCACGTCCTCTAGCTTTGTCGAGGGTGGCTGGTACCGCACTGGTGATGTGGGTATCATCGAGAATGGCGTCATGCGCCTTATTGGTCGTATCAAGGACACGGTCATTATCCATGGTGTCACATACGGTATCCCCGAGCTTGAAACACATCTCCAGACTGTAGAAGGCGTCACGCACTCATTCCTTGTTGCTGCACCCTACCGTGTTCCTGGACAGGAGACCGAAGGGTTCGCCATTTTCTACTCGCCATCTTTCGACCTCAATGGAGCAGACGCGCCCACCAAGCTCTTTGCTACGCACCGCTCCCTACGCGATATTTCTGTCAAGATGATCACCCAGCCACCTCAACTGATCATTCCTATCCCTGCTAGCCAGATGGAGAAGACAACTCTGGGAAAACTCTCTCGAGCGCGCCTCGTCATCCTCTTCCAGCAAGGCGGGCTGGCGAAGCATATCACCCGTGCTGAGGAGCTTCTTAACGAGGCACGCGGGGCTTCCTTCGTCGCCCCCTCTACCAAAACAGAAAAGGCTCTTGCCAAGATATATGCAGGTATCTTAAACCTCGCAGAAAACGAGGTGTCTGTGATCGACAACTTCTTTGAATTCGGCGGTACCTCTATCGATGTTCTCAGGTGAATACGTTGTTTCCTGCCATAAAATGACTTTCACCGATACGTATAATCTGCAGGGTCAAGCGGGAGGCAGAGGCGCATTTTGGCCTGCCCGAAATTGACGCTATCCAATTCCTCAAGCACCCTGATGTCTCGAGCCTGGCCAACTATATCAACACCTTGCTCTCTGAGGATAATCGGATTGAGGAATACGACCCTGCCGTTCCCCTCCAGGTGACAGGAGACAAGACTCCTATCTTCTTCGTGCACCCCGGTGTTGGAGAGGTTCTTGTTTTCATCAATCTTGCCAAATACTTCCAGAATGAGCGTCCCTTCTATGCACTCCGTGCTCGTGGCTTCGAGCCTGACCAGCCCTTCTTCATGTCCATGGACGAGATGGTTTCCTGTTACACCGCGGCTGTCAGAAGAAAACAGCCGAAGGGACCATACGCCATCGCCGGTTACTGTTATGGCGGTTTGATGGCTTTTGAAATAGTCAAGCGCCTGGAGGCCATGGGCGAAGAAGTAAAGTTTTTGGGTCTCGTCAACGTTCCACCTTTTATCGCCAAACACATGCAAGATATCGACCTGATCTGCGTGCTCCACGTGTCGTTCTTCCTCGGTCTTCTGTCGAAACATGAATCTGAAAATATGGCGCCTACGCTGAAACCGCTCACTAAGAAGGAAAGGGTCGATGTCGTGTGGGATATGGCGCCTCCCGAACGTCTCACTGACCTTCAGCTGACGCCTGAGAAGCTTGCACATTGGGTGGAGGTCTCTGCGTCTCTCATGCGCTGCGGAAAGGGATACGAACCGTCGGGCACAGCTCGTCAGTTATTTATTTCCTGACTTCAGCACTGCTTGCTCACATATCACGCCTCTCTCCAGCCGCCATCGATGTTTTCTACGCGGTACCCCCTCGCGGCCCGGAAGACAAGGTTAACTGGCTCAACAATGAGCTCAAGCCATGGACTGCCTTCAGCCGCAACGACCCAGCTTTTACTGACGTGCCTGGGGAACACAACACGCTCATGGACTTTGATCACGCCTCGCAGTTCCAGAAGCTCCTCCGCGGTCGTCTCGAGGCTCGTGGGCTGTAAAGTTTTGAATCTAACGGTTTGGGGCGACATGCATGGAATAAGTTGGTATATCGTGTGTATCCGTATCTCAAAATTGTTTCATGTAACATTACTGTGAGTACATCGACAAAGCTTGGTTTCTCACTTGTACCTGGGGATATGAGTATCACTTGCTCCGAGTCAATTGCTATCTTACATAGCAAGCATAAGAGTGATACATCGCACTGTCACTACGTGAGATGACATATGCGTTCTGGTTATGACAACCGAGGTCAATATGTTCTCCTGCTTCCTGAGTTCGAGCGCGTACAAATTATAAGCACGAGCTGCGGATCCCGCTACTTTTACATTTCACTTCGTAAAGTTCATCTCCTACAGGATATATAAGTACCAGCTGGTCTCGAAAGAGAACTAGCGCATATGTACACAGTCATGAAAGCCAAAACCCTAGACGGGCTCTAATCATACAGGATAACTACCAAAATCACACCATACTTGTTTTGAATATGGGCAGTCCACGACTCCTCAGTTGTAGTGTTTGACCACAATACCCTCAATGACCTCTTCTTCAACATTGTGTTCCATTCCCTTCTTGAGGTCAGTCCTACCATATGTCGTCGTCCTTCCCTTCCTCCACGTCACACACAGCGGGGCATCCTCATCAGGGCACCGGCGCTGGATGCCGACTTGCTGGAGCACTGGGCTCTCCACACACGGCAGCAAGTGAACATTGTCGTCTGGCATCGAAAAGTAGAATACACCCAGACGGTCGTAATTGCGCTGATCCTCGGGAGGCTGGACGACGCGATGAATCGTGGGTTTATAGTATCCACCGCTGAAAAATTCCATCATGTCGCCTGTGTTGATGACCTGGAGGTAGAGCGTCACATTTGCGATTGTTACGGTGGCTCACTCATTTGCATACCAAAGCATTGTCGATGTGGCGGACCCATTTCCATCTGCCGTCGGGAGACTGAATTTGCAGGCCTCCGACAGGTTGGCTCCACAGGATGGTGACACTGCCAACGTCTACATGGTTGAGGACAGATAAGGGTAAGTATAAAAATAAAGTGTACCTGTGTGTCCCTTTAACCACACATTCTTGGATTTCTCCTCTTCCTCCTTCGAGCGCCTGTAGCTTCAGGAAGGTTGATCAGACTAATAAGAATGCTACTGAATAAGAGCCACTAACTATTTCATCAATCTGGCTGCACATGTGACCATCAGTATATATAGGACTCGAAACAGGAGAACAAGACCGACCACATGTTTCTCCCGTGCCGTCAAAGTTGTGTTTTTCCACCAGAGTCTCCTCAGGGCAACTCGAGGCTTAACGCGATTAAGCTGTATGAGACCGCTGATAAGGTGAAATTTCAACATCGAGTTTGCAAAAAAAAACTAACCGAAGAATTGGGTGGACAATGTTGAAGTGATTGTGTCGGATGAAGGCATCGACTTCTGGAATGAACGGACGTAAGGCTTGAGGGTGCGGACGCTTCGTGACATCCTTGTTAACTGTCGGCAGTGTAAAAAAACGCCTATTACACCAACAATTGTGACACCCACTTCCATAGTGCTCGATCTGATCCAGAATGTGATTCTCCGTGTCAACTTTCTGAACGACAAACGTTAAGGACAAGTTTCGCATGTGTTGCTCCATGCTGGAACATGACACACCCAGTATTGACGTCCTTTAAAGCCTGCATAGTACCCGACTTTCTCGATGTTCGCTGTGTATGTCTTCATTTCATCCGGAGGGACAACATCGAAAGGGACAGCAGCTATATCAAAGATCCTGTCACGCTACAACAGTGCCTCAGAGACCTTGGAATGAGTCACGAGCACGAGCCCTACCTGAGTCTGGTTATAGCCATGATTGATAGCATAAACAAAGCCGTGGGTGCGCAGCGCATCTCGAAGTTGTGGATAGAGCTCTGTTCGTCCTTCCGGTGTGTGGGCCTTGGAGAGGTCGATGATAGCCAGATCCGCGAATTCTACTACATGCTGAATCGTTAGTCAAACATATCATGTTATCATTAATCAGATAGTTCCTTACAGTCCTCCTTTGTTGCCGGAGGCGGGACATAGTGTCCACACTCGGGCAGGGTTAAGCTGGGCATGTCTTGTTAGATGGTTATGGGAGAAAGGAGAGTCAGGTACCTCGGGCAGAGGGATCTCCGTTATCCCTTCTCAAAGACGGGATAGAATCGATCCACGTTGAGATAAGGCATCAGAAATAGATCTATGGTGCTGTGACCTACCAATTATTACTTGCGAACATGTGATGTGATACTGTGCTATAGTAGTCGAGTGCTTGAACATGCACTTTCTGGAGGGCTGGGGGCAGCACATCTGATCCTTAAGCTTCACCCTTTGCACCGACGTAGTGCAAATGATGCATGGTGGAAGGGACGCGATGATGCTCCATTGAAATAAACATTCTTATCAGTGACCCTGGGACGTCTGTAGCCCAATATTACCGGTGTGGCGACCGAGGAGGTCAAGCATACAGATTGTTAGACGTGACAAGTGTGCGATGAAGTTGTGCCTGCCCGGCCCCGGCGGGGTCGGAAAGCGAACTTGTTCCGATAATGGTGAAGAGAGTACCGACAATAACACTGAGAGTGGCGAGTAATACAGGCTATACAAACCCAAGGTGACCATGGTGGACTTCGAACTACACCTGAAACGGCGCGCACAGGTATGAGGGGGAATAAGGCTTTAATTGGTTCACGTAAGTACTGGTGCTAATAATAACTACAGCCTCTACTTAGATATTCAAGCAATTGCCAAGTACAGTAATGTACGGTGAATTTCGACATTCCGATGCCAAGTCCAGGCCGCCCCTCACACTCGTAGCAGTGGTGGGAAAGAGCCTGCATTAAGCCTTGACATACGACCATCAACTGAGTCCAATTGATATTCTGCGACTGTTTGAATCTCTTGCGAGGCTGATTAAGAAAGCATGGAGAACGGTCATCTGAGGTATGGTCGCATTGTACTTGGTGTCGCAGTATCTGAACTTTTTGCGCGACCGTGCTGCAGGATACAGGACTTGTCAGACGATTTGACGCCCTTTATCACTCGAACAACTCGTGACCCCGTTAGCGGTGGTGCGTTTGGCGATGTCTGGAAATGCAATTACAATGCAAATGGTATTTCAACCCTCGTGAGTTCATGTGTTGGATTTATTTACTATGTAACTGATTTATGAAATGTTGATTGATAAGGTTGCGGTCAAGGCCTTCAAGTTTCCACAGCATTATGATTTGGAGAAAATCAATAGGGTAAGCGATATGTACGAGAGCCGCGTTTTAGCCCATGATTCTTTGGATCGTACAGAAAATCAGCAGAGAAATTGGCATTTTGAAGAATCTACGCCATGACAACATTGTACCGTTGTGGGGTATAGCGACAGGGTTTGGACGCATGCCAGAGTTGCGCTGCTTAGTATCTCCGTGGATGCCAAACGGCACGTTGAATGCCTACTTGGCATGCAACCACCAGCATCTGACAGTCCTCGACCGCTCACATATGGTGAGCAGAATTCTCATCACATCCTTTCATCAAGATTCACTCGAAGTCGGTAGCTGGAGGATGTCAGCGCTGGACTTTATTACTGTTAGTTTCCATCCATCTTCCCAGGGTGTACAAATAGTAACCTACCTTTGGTGCAGTGCACTCGGTGGACGTCGTGCACGGGGATATGACAGGAGTGAACTTCCCGGAGCTGCTGAGGCATTCTTGAAAACTAATGAACCTACAGGCGAATATACTGATCGACGAGGGAGGCCATGCGAGGCTAATTGATTTTGGTCTTTCCACAATTACCCGACCCCTTCCCGGCCAGTCGCACTTGGCTGCGACATCTATACGCGCAGGTGCTATCCGTTATACAGCACCAGAAATCTTTCTGTCAGATGATGTCCGTGACCTGGGATATTTGGAAAAAACTGATATCTATTCTTTTGGTTGTATAATGCTTCAAGTGAGTTGGTGGTTCAATCACAAAATGTTCGCCCGAGGACTCATTGAACAGGTTCTTTCGGGTCGCCGCCCTTGGTCTGAGATCAAGTCTGAAAATCCGGAATTACGCATTGTTCTTCTGATACCCGAAGGTCGTGGACCACAGCGCCCCATCAGCCATCCTGCGATAACAGACTCAGATTGGAACTTTATCCAAAGGTGTCTGCAGTTCAGACCCGAACGTCGACCTTCAGGTGATGAAGTGCTTGGCTTCGTCATGCATAGGTTTTCCTCCTCGGGTAAGCGTGCATAGTTCGTGGTGCCTTGTTGACCATTCGCTTACATGAGCTGCAAGTTTCTTCTAGGCCACCTGACGATTCTCCCGATGATGCGCAGAATGGCTCCCCTGGAGCTTCCTCGCGACGTGGTTTTAGTGGCTCCGATGCAATAGAAAAACCTCCCAACTTTCCACCACCCATCTCAGGCTCCAAACCAGGCTCCTCCGCCTACATCGACCCAGGCAGCGGTCGCCTTACAATACCCCCAAACCGCTTACTCCACCCCCAATCCACCACCGTCACAGTCCCAACAATATCCGGCATGCACATGCTCAACAGTCACGTGTACGGCTCAAAACGTCAACCACCCTCAAACCCCCTTGCAAATGTTCGCGACGATCCAGAGTTGGTAGAGTGGGGTTACGGTGGCAAGTACTTAGGCAATGAATTATCCGAGTCGTCTACTGCACCCAGGCGTGCAAGTTATCAACCTTGCACCACTAATCTACGCTTGCAGGATGTTCCTTCTAAACCTGAAGGAGTTCAAAGGGCACTCCTTGTTGGTGTGGCAAGAGTGAGCGGTTTACCCGACCTCCCTCAAGCGCACAATGGTGTTATGAGAATGAAGGAATTCCTTATTAACTGTATGTCTGTTTTCCAGCTGGGAACTTCGTTGATTGATTCACCGCTACAGCCCGTGGCTACCTACCTGAAAACATCGTAGTTATGATGCACCATTATAGTATCGCGAAAGACTTGTATCCCAGCAGACGAAACATGGTAAGCATCCTAAAGTATGTATTATCCATAGCCTATCTGATCGTAGAACGAAGCTGCGCGAAATTGACCTTATGGTCCAACGTACATCCGAACAAGATCAGATTTTCTTCTACTGTAAGTAAAGTCTTACTACGACTGTGACAAGCATCTAAACTTTTGAGCGCTAATAATTCATCAGATACTGGTCATGGAGATCAAGTCACTTCCACTGCGTGAATCCTGAACCTGACAACAAGGATGAAGGTAGTGTACAAGGCTCGTTACTTTAGCGCATGTTAATTGCTTCGACGTAGCTATCCTCACATACACGGGGAAGCGCATCATTAATAATGTAAGCACCATATCATGAATTTTTGTTGCTTCATGGCGTTGAATGGCCCCCTTGAAGGTTTTGAAAGCACGCCTCGTTGATTCATTACCTCAACGCGCCAAGCTTTTTGTGCGCGTTCTGATTTAATTTCTAAAATTTACTAATGATATCGTCTTGTGAACAGGCACTCTTTGATTGTTGGCACTCTCCAACACTGCTTGGTAAGTAGGTCTATAGCTCGTTTTCGTTTTCGTACTCACACGAGTATCAAAGACCCGGAGCATTCCAACTACAACGAGTTACGGAAGGCACCCTTCCAAGTCCCGACCAGTGAGAGATATGTTTTAATCATGTCTCCAAGTCAATATTAATGATTTTAGGTCTGGCGAGGAAATCCAAAAGTTGTGGTGGGTGTTTTATTGCTCTGTTTTTTATCGCTTGAATGTTCGCCACGCAGGCAAGAGCCTCAGTGCCAGAATCTTGGAGGATAGTTTCGGGGGTCGGTCCTCGTCAGGGGGCGGTTCTCAATCAAGAAATCTGCCATTTGTAGTTGACAGTGTTCCTCATTCTTACTTACCTGGACGTACACCTGACTCTCCTATGACGCCCCCCGAGGACCGAGTCAAGGCCCACGCCGTGCGTGTTCCTCTTCCTGATATCTTCAAAAGAGTCTGAACCCGATGCATCTGATGCATCTAAGGTTTCGTTGTCTGCAAGCAGGCATATTGAGTTATCATGTGGTGATAATACCGCGGATGAAACTGTGACGAAGGTAGAACTCAGTCTTCTAAGCATTTCCAGTCTGACTGAAGGCCGCTTAGTTTGTCACTGAGTATCTTGGTAAGAGCCATAATCAGAGAAACGGGGTGCATAGAACTCATCATCCTTAGAGCGCAGTCCTCAGGCTTCTTACAACGATCTACTTGCCCACACACAGTAGGTGGCGCTTTTCTGTCTCGTACGACGGGCTGACGCGCACTCCATAGGCAAAAGCTCGATGCCATAACTCGCAGACGACCACGGGCGATAAACTCGACGGGCGAGCCTACAGAATACCAGTCAGCAGGTGAAGTCGAAATCAAGAATTGGCCCACGTACGGACACCGCCAAGGCCATAGCGGTGACGACAATGATACTTCCGCTTTGAACCCTCAGCAGCTTGTGGTGCGTTCGACGCGGCTTAATCAGGTCCGTCATACTTATTTGGTCTTTCGTGCAGTACTCGAGCAACTACCACCTTGTGAGTGTATTGAAGTGGCTTGCGTGTTGAGTGTCATGTTTATGTGATTCAGGATATGTCGCGAATCGTTGACTTATGAAGCACATATGACGGGCGATATCACCTGGTACAACTAGCACACTGGTTTCGAATGTTTACATTATAATCGATTACAGATTACAAGTGATTGCCGCTCCACGGCCCATCTTGTCAAAGTGTATTCTATAATATTCTGCTCCTATTACTAACAATTACTTGGATGCAATGAGATCTTGTCCTCCAAAAACAGGATCTGCGATGTATCTTGCAGATGGAAAGGGCAGACTGTATGTACTACATAGTGCCGAACTTCGCTGGCAGAGACCTTGTCTACGAAATAGTTCCGAATTGACATTCAGGGTGTTTGAATGGTATCGAGGTCCGAGGATGTACATAGCCCACACTGCGTTTGAAATTGGTACAAACGGATATTTGACTTTGCGTATCGCAGCAGACGGAAGAGCCAGCGACTGCTTCTTGCCTGAATGATGAGTAACTGCCAGTCTATTAGAGATGACAGTTAATGGACGCGCAGCAAATGAAGGCAGAACCTGTAGATGTCAAAGAAGTTGCAGCGACTACTAGATATTTGGGCAGCAGAAGCGTAGTCAAGACTCAAGGAGGTTAACGTACTTTTGTGGTCGCAGGTTCTACGATATGAGGTTGGAGAAAACCTTGCCATGGTCGCGGTTGAAGTTCGCGGGCCTCGGTGGTTGGAATGAGAATAGCGAAAGATCATCCGCGTGCTTGCCTCGATTTTCATTCAAGTTGGACGGGGAGAAAAGAGCTAACGTGGCTACGGGACAGGACCTGCCTCGTACATTCCCAGTTCGACAACCAAACAGATTCTAGCACGGTACACCCACACACCAGCGCATTAGAATCATTTCGATAACGTGTGCAGTGCACTGTGGATGTAAGTGGTTCTTTGCCAAAACCCAAACAATCTTTTTCGCTCCTCCATATCAAGTTCTTCCTTCTGTGCCATACTAGTACTTATCCATTTATGTAATTATTGAATAAACTTATGTAAAATCTCACCAAAGTTTCTTTTCCATCACACGTCGGGGGTTTCAACCCTTTGCCTCTTGCAAGATTTCAATCAAAAGCAGGTCTGGACCTGGCTAGAGCATTCCAGACCTAGGCCTAGAGTGTTCCAGAGCGCTCTAGATTACCTTTCGAATGTAATCTCACTGGCGGCAAAAGGTGGTAAAATGTCAGTTTCCCCGCTGTGTCACCCATCCATACCTCGCAGAGTCATATCTCCACCTCCAATATTAATGCCATCCGTTAAATCGGAAAAGACAGTGCTCGCATCCTCCACGCTGTAAGGAAGCACGTCAAAAATCAGGGATGAAATGCTAGTACCCAGCGGTTTGAAGCGTCAGCTCAGTATATAACAGACGGGTCGAAGGACATGTCCACATCGCACGCGCACGTCAACTCAAAGAATCAGAGCCCCTTTGCGAACCAAACTGGACTTAAGTCCGCCCGTCAACTTGAAGCCCGCGTTCAATTATTGACCGACTGTCGCTATGAGTGTTCGGAAACACTATCAATCAATGACGATCATACAATGACTGGATCCAATCCTTGGACCACCGAGAAACAAGATGAGTATCACGACATCTAAGACGGCCGTGATATCAGTTGCGATCCGGCCAGTGCAACAACTTGGCCGACGACGTGTTGTGGTAAAGTTGCCCATGACCTGAACAATGGGATATCGGGGTACAATTACTGCAAGGGTACGATATTACATATATAAACAATGCCTCAACGTCAGTGAACTTCGCTGGCATACTGGCCGGTGCAAGAAATCTTGATCAGAGTGGTCAAGCTTTGCTTTTCAATTTTTGCTTTCGCTTGGTATCTATCACCCCATGTCTCTTTGCGCGAGTCGCAACTATAGCGGCCCGCATTTTTTTCGTCAGTAGCACAACGAAAATGAAAGAAGCCTGATTGTCTACTGACATTGATTTTTCAGGTCTGTTACTGACGGAAACTAGATCGTACAAAATTTCAACGTAGGCTCGGTGTCTACTTTTCAAAGACACTGCTAAATCGGAGTGTTGCTCGACAACGTCGGGAAAGTCTTTATCTCCTTTGTGTTGCGGCAATCCTGCAAATCAGGATGTCCAAGGTGAACTCCAGAGGACCGTAAGACCGGAAGTACATTGGATAACCAGCCACCGCATCTTCGTTGCGGTTGCGAGATCAACGTTTCCCAGGTATTCATGTCTGGCGCATTCTACGTGGTGAGTTTCTTGTACTCGCAGATTAGTGGGCATAACTGACCATCGTGATCAAATGAGACTCATCATTGCCCACCACCCAGCTGTACTCGTCGATGCAACATCTACTATGAACTTTTATCAACTGTTTGTCTGAAGTTCCTCTCACCTGTGACTTCACTTGACTTAGCGAGTTTCGTTTCCGGCGTCTGTAAATCCATGCCGCTGACTGACAATCGTCAAACCAAGTCAGGATGCTAAAGAGACACTGGAGCGAACGTTAAACTCTGGTACCACCATCTGATGACACATTCGCTGATTGTTTCCTGAAAAGCCGGTTCAATCTCCGCACTCGCTTTGATGCAGTGACGAGGCAAGTATTTTTTGTTTCTTACAGACTCCATACTCTCAACGTTTTTCCTATCGCGAGCTTCTCGTAATCAGCCTACCTCGGCTCTCTGGGTCTTCCGATGAAACCCTCCTAATCCTACTCCCGAGGTTTAAGTCAAGCGATAGCCATCTTCAACCTGGTACCCCTTGACATCGCATGCGGCTAGCCTCCATTACGAAGTTGTCCGGACGGCGGAGACGGCCTTGCATGACTACAATTTTTCACAACAACATATAAAGCGTCATGCGGTACATTGCAATTTGCAATTAGTATTTCGTTCATTCACTGCGTCATGCTGTACAGTCCTTTTGCATCGGAGGCAAAAAAATTGTTTTCACATCGAATTTCAACGTTGCAACAACAACTGCAACCGCGTATCGTTGGTGGCACCCGCGCTTGGGTAAATTGCATCTTTTCTGCTCTACCCTGCACAGGGCAGAAATTTTTTGCCATCCACCTCATATACCCTCCCTTCTTTGCATAGATAGCGATCTACACTCAAAATCTGTATATTTAGCCCGGCGGACTTGAGCTCCTAGAGCGGGGGTGTCGCGCTCCTAAACTAGGGGTCGGCATTGCCGATTTATGACTTTGCGGAGCTGTATTTTGGTCTCTGGTTATGATTGAGTTAAATGCATTTCTTCAAATGATGGCAGTGTTCTCGACCTGCAATCCCTGTGACGTTATTTTGCTCACTGTCTCGGATCACCTCCTTCTCCTTAACAGGGCTTTGTTTGTTCGTATCTTGAATCTGCTACATTGAAACGACCTTGCTCTGCAAGGTTATGTTGACTTTTCAACCGTACCCTACGAAGTTCCCATCTTGTTGACCAAGAGACTTCTGCGGAAGACCAGAACTCAAACGTTGCACAGGAGTTTTGGCATCTATGAAGCGGCCGTGCTGAGCTTCATCCAAGGATATTCCGGTGTTGTTTGGGAAGTCACAACGTCCGATGAACGTGCACATATCTGACGTTGATCCGACGAGCAACGTGAAGTCAATGATGACCAGGAACCGGAGAATTTATTCGTGCACCGCGACTTACCCGCGGCTCCATCGTGCCGCACATCTCCCTTTGAGTATTTGCCAACATCATGACATCCACAGTTCTTTTCGAGTCTGCAGGGATTATCATGCATTTTGATTCCTGTTTTCGCCTAAAGTAGGGCATCTCAGCAGCAAAGCGAGCAACGCGTTTCCGTCCATACTGGAAGCTTCAGCCTATAAAACACCTGCCTGCTACTATGGCTTTGCCTCATTCCCTTCCAGAAATTCCATCATGTTTACTTCCCGCACCATCATCTTTGCACTGCTTAGCTTCATTGCTGGAGCCAATGCATGTATAAAGTGCCCAGCCACATTGAAACTCGACGGTGTTGACACGAAACTATATGATACCTACCCAGACAACCAGGTCACATTTTGCTAGTGCGTCGCACCCACACATCTTCATCGAACAAAGTAACTGATAGGCTGGCAGTTACAGTAATCCCAAGGTGGCTGGCGGCGTCGACCCATCAGTGTACTGTCAGTATTACACCGTAAGTACTTTCTGGATATTGTGCGGCTCGTTGTTCTCGGTTGACATGCTAGCAATCATTCCAGGATACCGGCGTATGGTTAGGAGGGATAAAGTCTTGTTCGAGTAAAGCAACTGTGGCGAAGAGTTGCTGAACGTGATGTGAAGGGATGGGGGAGACGAGACACCAAACAAGAGGAGCGATGTTCGTCTGCAGACAGCCGAGTATATGCCAGTACTTAGATCACCATCTGTTATGATAATTTCCAAATAGTCTTGGTCAGTTGCATCGTCCCTCCCAACCTCCTATGAGAATAGTCCTCCCCGGGTGATGATAAGTACTTACAATCATCCCAGAAACTAGCCTATCAATGTCATGGTAAACTGATGCCGTTCTGGACTTCACAATACTGTATACCTCACCGTCTCACAGCGCGGAATTGATGATGTACCCGAAAATCTTACGACTGGGCTCGGGATGGCACTTCACTCAACAGCTAGACGTGAAGCTGCGGACTCGATCCATCGCTCCCGTCCTTCCCAGAAGGTCACAGTCCAAGGCTCAAACGCAAATACCAGTCATAGTATGAATGGACGGAGACTGAATTCGCGAACCTCGTCAACACGGAGAGTTTGATAGGCCGAGGAAGAGTGTGAGACTGACTGGAGGGAAGTGAGTTCGATTTCCTCGATGTTTGGCTTAAGTCGAGTTAGCCAAGGCAGCGTCAATACACAGTCGTGTCGTGGTGATCAAGACAGCATTGAGACAGCATTCTGTCCTGGATAAGAGGTGGTCACAACTGTGTTGGTGTGCGCTGCGGATGTGCAGGGAATAGAGATATGGCCAACGAATAGAAGGTAGAAATGAGTAGTAGGACCGCAGTGGACCTGCGTAGGCTTCGACAAGAGTGAGTTCACGGCTGGGACGAAGAGTGCGTGCGGTGCGATCAAGTTGAGGTCCTTGAGGCTGTATTCGCGCACTACAACTGGTCGACTTGAGAGGAGAGTAAGCCACGAGTAGAATGAGGAGTACTTACATGCCTTGGATTAGGTATCCCAGAGTACAGTACTCGAAGAGTTTTTGCAGAACAATGGCTCGGGCTACTTTGAAGGCTGCGAGTACCAGTATAACGCAACGTACCCGATGACCCAGCTCGCGTTTACGAGCGGATAACACGTCTATCGAAATCATATCTTTGATCTCGTTGTCGCAACTTGAGCCTGCACGCTGCCAACACCCAGTAAGTCATTGCCAGCCTTCCATGACGTTATACTCTTTTACTGGAAAGGCTGACCAACCCTCCTGGCCTCTATGACATCCATCCTACGCCGAGGTCTTGGTAACCACACCCAACCGATAGCCATTCTTCAGCCTGGTACTCGGCACGTCCACGATCCACATCGGCCTTCTTTATGATCCTGCTCATGCCAGTCTTGTTGACCACGAACCTTCCGCGGAAGACCAAAACTCAAACGTCGTGCAGGAGTTTCAGCATCTACGTGACCGCTATGATGAGCTTCGTCGATTCAGGGATGGAGAGTGTCGTTTGGGAAGTCACAACGTCCGATTTGAACGCACAAATTTGATCTGAGCAACGCGAAGCCAAGGCCGCCCAGGAACTGAAGATTCATTCGTGCTCCACGGGTCCCACACCGTGTTTGGTACAAACAAGCAAGTACCAGACATTTGCCTTTGCGTATCGCAGCAGACGGAAGACCCTTCAACTGCCTCAAGTTGTTGCCTGAATGATGAGCAACTGCCGGTCTATTAGATATGGCAGTCGAAGCAAATAAAGAGCACGACACGAGTTCACCGACGGGGTTGTTGACGATTGCAGCACGATGAGAGCAGGTGCGGCGACGAGCTGAAGATGTCAACGAAGTTGCAGCGACGACAGGACCACATGTACTTTGATTTTTGGTTTTGCTCTTTTTCGCACGTTGCGGAGAGACATATTAAGCCTACATCTACTATATATTTGAGCAGCAGAAGCGTTGTCGAGACTCAAGGAGGTGAACGTATCTTTTTTTCCTGGGCGGTCACAGGTTCTACGACACGAGGTTTTTACTTCGGCCGCGGCTGGAATTCCATTGTGTCGTGGCTGCTGGAATGAGAACAGCGGAAGAACGTCCGGGTGCTCCACTCGCTCACCTTGCCTCGATTTGTGTTCAAGTTGGACGGTGGGAAAAGAACTAACGGGTCGATGGGACAGAATCTGCCTCGTACATCCTTAGCTCGACAATTAAGCAGATTCTAGCACGGTACACCCACATACTAGTGCGTTAGAATCAATATTCTGATAACGCATTACTGTGTAGTTGTACGAGATTTGAAGGATCTGTTTTTGGGAGGCGGTTGTTTGCCAAAACCTTCTAAATCAAACAACCTTTTTGAGAAAAGGCACACGTTTCTTTCCAATCACCTGTCGATTCTCTACACATATCCCTCCCAGAGTCTCGAGCTTATCCTCTCACCTCCAATATCATCCACCAAATCGAACAGGACAGCGCTCATATCCTCTGATCCAGGCCGTAAGGAAGCGCGTCAAAATCGGGGATGAACTGCTAGCAAATATGAGACTACCTGTCAGTGGTTTGAAGAGTCAATTAAATTTATACCAGATGTCTGAGGTTATGTCCTCTCTAGCTAGAAGACATTACACGCGCCACACCAACGAATTAGAGCTCTCGCATGAAGCATGATCAAACTGGATGCACCCTCGTCAAGTTTGTGACCTCCCTGCCATCTCTTGGGACCCTGGCTCAACTCAACGTTACCGCAAGTAGTCCCTCGAAGAAACACTACTTCTCATACAAGATACCGACCCGACCATTCGCCCTAGCATCCGAAGAATTCACCTCCCTCACCAACTCCCTCACCAACTCCCTCACCTCCACAACCTTTCCCTCTCTTCTCGTTCCTCCATCGTCTATGCGGGATTTGTACGCTCTGCCGGAACTAAGGGCCGTCGTTGGAGGGTCTTAAGCGGCTTCTATTTAGGCTGTTGGACCTTCTGCAGGTCTACATTCGGTGTGTTGATTCAGTCAGGTGGCAAACGAGCGTCATACGAAGCAGTGAAACAGAAAACAGGAGGAATGCGTGAGATCAGAGACGAAGTCGCTTATGATGCAGCTGATGTGGGTAGAGCGGCGGTGTACATAGTGTGCAGCGCGTCTACCAAATTGATTGAGTGGTGGGTGACATGCCCGCTGTCAGGTTTTCCCTCAGTGAAGATGCTCAGAGTATGACCGGGAACGATGAACTCTTCAAAATGGAAGACACGGAGGTCATGCGGCGCAGGTGAACAGGTGGGCTTTGACTTCGAGCAGACTGCCTAATCGACTTTAACACTGTCCTTCAGCACGTCAACAAAACAAAATCTGCAATTCGTCCTCACCCATACACCCACCGGTATCACCGTTTCACGCAAGACAAACGTAGTCAGCGTCAGGTGACACACGCCCATACTATCAATTCGAACAAAACAAGCGTCGTACTTTTCAAGTTCTTCAAGCTCGTCTGATGATTTAACGCTCGTCCAAGGTATCGCTTCCCGCCGAGCTACTCGTCAGAATCTGGTGCGCACCGTTGACCGCAGCGAAAGGATTCGATGGTACAAATATGCGCAGGATCGCGCGAGCATCACCAGTCAGGAATGGCACCTTGGCGGTCAAACTCTGTTATTCTACCAGCAACTGTTGGAGCACGGTCAGACTCAGACTAAGAGAAGAAAACTCTTGGACGAGTTGGTTGATGGGTTTCTTGAGCTGTCGAACGGTCAGGGCTACCGTACGTTGCCGCAGGTGCCGTTGAACTGACTTGGCGATAGTACTGAGTCTGTATGGCGTCATCACGTAGAATGACCCATGAGATTAAGCGAATTTCGGTGCCTGTACTTGCGCTTGGCCTACAACTTTCAACTCACATTCTCTGACTCTTCGTCACTCACGAGGTTGATTGAGAACTCATGAGAAAGCATGTAGAATGACGATGTGGGGTATGATCGTGTTGTGACTGGTGGTGCAGTGTCCGCTTCACTGAACTTCTAACCAACGTGACCGCGGTAAACAAGTGTGGTCAGTATAGACGCCCATCCAGTGTCACATGGGTTCGCAAAGTACCTTGACCTACGACCATCAACTGAATCCGATCCACACTCAGCACCTACGAGGCTGATTGAGACATTTTGAAAGCATGGAGAGCGACGATCTGGGGTATGATCCCATTGTGCTCGGTGCCGAAGTATCTGTTGTACTGATCTCTTGCAACACAACTGTTGTCTGCAGGGTAGAGGACTTGCCAGACGATTTGACACCCTTTATTACTCGAACAACTCTAGACCCCATTAGCACAGGTGGATTCGGTGATGTCTGGAGATGCAATTACAATGCAGATGGTATTTCAGCCCTCGTTAGTCCGTGTCATATACATCTATCGTGTAACTCGCTGACTGCCGATTTATCAATAAGGTCGCGGTCAAAGCTTTCAGGTTTTCAGAGTGGGATGGTTTTGAGATGATCAACAGGGTGAGCGGTACATGATACCGTTCTTGTACGGTACAACAACCGTATCATACTTACATTCTACTTGGATCATCTAGACAATCAGCCGAGAAATTCGGCATTTTGAAGATTCTACGTCACAACAACATTGTACCTATTATGGGGTATAACGACAGGATTTGGACAGATGTCACAGTTGCCCTGCTTGGTGTCTCCGTGGATGCCAAACGGCACGTTGAGTGACTACCTAGAGTCTAAACACGATGATCTAACAGTCCTGGACCGCTCGCGTATGGTGAGCAACATCATCTTTCGCATCCTTTCGCCTTTTAAGACTGGATTGAAATTGGAAGCTGGAGGATCTCAGTGCTGGACTTCGTTACTGTTAGTTTCCATCTCCCTTCTTAGGATGATAGAATAGTAACCTGGATTTGGTGCAGTGCACTCGGTGTCTGTCATGCATGGAGATATCACGGGGGTGAACTCGGCACTCCTGATGTTTTCCCCAAAAGCTGATGAACCTGCAGGCGAATATACTAATCAACAAGAGAGGCCATGCAAGGCTGATCGATTTTGGTCTTTCCACCATCCTCCGACCCCTTCTCGGCCAGTCGCACTTAGCTATATCATGTGTACGCCCGGGTGCAATCCGCTATGCGGCACCAGAACTTGTTTTATCAGATAATCCTGCCGAGCTGCCTTTGGAGAAAGCTGATATCTACTCTTTTGGTTGTATAATGCTTCAAGTCAGTTGTTTTGATTACAAGATGTTCGCCTGAGGACTGACTGAACAGGCTCTCTCGGGTCGGCTGCCTTGGTCTGAGATTTGGTTGGGTCACCTGGTGGCGCGCATCGCCGTTAAGATGTCGCAGGGGCGTGGACCGCAACGCCCCGATGGTCATCCTGCGATAATAGACTTAGATTGGGACTTCATCCAAAGATGTCTGCAATTCAGTCCCGAACTTCGACCTTCAGCAGACGAAGTGCTTGACTTTGTCATGCGCAGGTTTTCCTCCTCTCGGTAAGCCTGCATGGTTTGTAGTGCCCAGCTGATAAACCACTTACACGAGCTTCAAGGATTCTTCTAGACCACCAGACAATCCTCCCGATGATGCCCAGGATGACTTCCCTGGAGCTTCTCCGCACGATGGTTCTGAGGGTGGGCCACCCAACCCTGATCATGAACTAAATGCTATAACCATGGACATGGACAAGCTGTTCTCCTCGGGTGATCCTGCACATTCATGGTGCCTTTCTCGTCAACTTACATTCGTTCCAAAATCTCTCTAGACCACGCTCTGTGCGGGATGACCTTCACAGCACTAGTAGTTTCTTCGAGCCAGCTACCGCTGGTTCGATCTCCAGAGCCTTTCGAATGGATGCAGATGACTCCGATTTTTCAGAAGAAGAAGAATTTTGTCCAGAACCAGAGGACGTAATCCAGGGTCCCATCACTGGGTTCGTTCATTTAATATAAATTTTCAAAACCGACACCTGATCTCAAACCTGGCGAGTAGCTTTGCTCAGCGCGGGCCCGGGCCACGAGACAACTTACTTACTCGCGTCCCCGACAAAAAAGACAAGAAACACAAGCCGTCAGAGAAAGACACGGGCAATCAACCCAACGAAATAAAGTGAGTGCGAATATTGTAAGCAATTATCACGTCCCACAATGACGTGTTGAAAAGGCATGGCAAAACCAACCTACCAATTCGAAAGCCGAACCCAGACAACTATAAGTGATACATTGATAAGCTTTATCAAGATGATAGGAAGACGAGCACGGGGAGAGGTGAGCTAGACAAAGAATGTATTCATCTCAGTATCTAGAAGAGACTCAGTGTACGTAGATAGTACCTAGACAATAGTAAGTGTTTGAAGGACAGCGCTCTTTTCTACATGACCTGGCGCAAAGAATCACGCCGCGAACGAGTTTATACAAGTGAATTCGAGAGGAGATGAACTGGCCGAGGAAAGACAAGACTATTTGGCAATTCTCGTAGTAGATGTGTCTAAGTACTGGCGTACACCCGGCTATCTGTAGACGAACATCACTCCTCCTGTTGGGTGTCTCATCTCCCCCACCTCTTCACATCACGTTCAGCAGTGTTCCTTCTCATCCACTTCAAGCGGACAAGCCTTATTCCCATGAATCAATAAGCCGATATTCTGATGCCATCGCTAGCATGTCAACCGAGAACAATGAGCTGCACAATAAAACACTTACGCTATACCGACAGGTAATTGCTGAGCCGTCGCTTTCCGCACCACCATAACTGCCGGCCTATTAGTTACTTTGTTCAATGAAGATGTGTGGGTACGACGCACAGGCACACTGTCTTATCGCCTGGGGTGGTTTTGATTAGGTCTGTGTCATGATTATTGACCCTTAATGAGGCTGGGCACTGTATGCACGCATTGGCGCTAGCGAGGAAGCTGAGCAGCGCAAATATGATGTGACGGGAAGTAAACATGATGGTGTTTGTGAAAGGGAATGAGGCAAAGTCATAGTGGCAGGCAGGCGTTTTATAGGCTGGAACTTCGAGTGTGAACGTAAAGGTGATGCTCGGACGCCCTACTTCAGGCGAAAGCAGTTGAGCCGAAATGCATGATAAACTCCGCAGACTCGAGGAAAACTGTGAACTTCTTGGGAAGTTGATGTGCGGCACGATAGGGTCGTGGGGCACGAATGAATCTCCGGTTCCTGGACGGCCTTGGGTTCGCGTTGCTCATCAGATATGTGCACATTCACCGGACGCTGTGACTTCCCACACAACGCTCTCCGTAATACAGCCATCCTCGAATAGACGAAGCTCATCACGGCCACCCCATAGGTGCCGGGACTGCAACGTTCGAGGTCTGGTCTTCCGCAGAAGGGCACTGGTCAACAACACGGAAGGCGTGAGTTAGATCATACATAATGCCAATGTGGACCGTGGACGTGCGGGGTCTTTCTGCCGGGAATATGGAGCGGCAAGGAGTTATAGGCTGAAGAATGGCTATCGCTTAGGTGTGGTTACCAAGACCTCGGTGTAGGATGGATGACCTGGAGGCCAGGGTTGGTCAGACCTTGAAAGAAGGAAGACAGTCATTCTACCGACACCCGCGCTACCCAGAAATTCGGAATAAAGTGCCGCCGTAGTCTGGCCCAAAGTGAGCCCTCACGCATGATGGCCTAGTGATGTACCGGCCCGGCTTGGCCTAAAAGCCGCGGCTTTGGCTTTCAGAATATCTAGGCTAGGCCAAAGCCCTCAATAATTCGGGCCGACTGCGCGAGGACATTGAACCATAATGGACGTATACAGTGGGCCAGTGAACGACGTGAAGGCTCCGCACAGGGAAATAATATGTTGCACAACCAAACATACTAAACGTCAAATAAGCCATATTTAACACAAAAACGTCATAAACGCAAGGAAAATGCACATACCTCAACGTGTCCGTGGAGTTTTCACGGTATCTTAGCACAATCCCCAGGGTACTCCACAGCTTCGAGCTCCTCTTACGTCCAACGCTTAGCCCCGCACACTTCTGCAGAAGCAAACGCACGAACTGATATGAGAGATTGTCGAGAAACGTGCGTACAACGGCTGGTGCCGCACGCGTTGTGTGCTGGGTGAAAGCGTGCAGTACTTGGCGTCCGGAGTCATTATTTCTTTCACTGCAATGAGACAGAGGTCAGCTCGCAGCCGATCGACTCGATTAAAGATGTACCTGTGAACATGTTGTGTCGACTATATAAAAAGATGGCTGCCCAAATAAAGAGGGCCACGATAAGCAAAAAGAGTACCAGTAGAGCAAAAATGCGCAAGAAGATGTTGATTGCATCACTTACCTTTTGCAAAGCCAAAATACACTGAAAGGAGTCAACCAGAACTCTGTAAAGATGCTTTACAAAGGTGAGGGTGTCACGTTTGAAGATCCATGGAATGACGAAGACGAGTGCAGCGAGTTGTAAGGTTGAAAGGTAGCCGCCACCCTCTGCTATTATGCCGATAAAAAGCACACCCTCAACGGCTGATGGCATGGGATAGAGCAGGAGCGTCGTTGGGACCGTGGGCGAGGACAGGTGACAGCTAGTAAGTAGCCAGTGATGGGCGCTTGTCATTTGAACAACTAAATGCCAGCATAAGTACCACTTACCATGATCTCCGCAGACTCGAGAAGAACTGTACTTACATATGAACGTCGTGAAATCATATGAAGAATCATGATCTATTTTTGGGAAGCGGTTGTTTGCCAAAACCTTCTAAACCAAACAACCAGAACTTTCTTCCATGGGCTACTCCGTGTGCCACCTTCTGTGCCGCTGCCATCCAATAAAACCTCACCGATGTTTCTTTTCGACCACTCGTCCATGACCTCATACGATGCGGACATCCTTCCACCTCCAATGCCATTCATTAAATCGAACAAGACGGTGCTCCCATCTTCCAGGCTGTAAGGAAGCACGTCAAAATCAGGGATGAAATAACATTGCTAGCGAATGTAAGATTACTTCAGTGGTTTGAAGCGCCACCTCAGCATATACCAGATATCCAATGACATATCCTCTCCAGAAGACATCGCACGCACACGTCAACTCAATGAATCAAAGCCCCTTCACGAAACATAGTCAAACCGGACTTTCGTTCGTCAAGTTTGTGGTCTCCCGTGCCGTCGTCGTGGATTCTGGCTCGATGCTACCACAGCAGTCCCTCAAAGAAAACTACCTCTGATAATCTTCTCGTTCCTCCATCGTTTACGCGCGATCCGCATGCTCTGCTGGAACTGTAAGTCGGCACTGGTTCAGTCGGGTGGCGAACGAGCATCATACGAGGGATGCGTGATGCTATCCTCGAGATCAAAGGCGAAGGCGCTTATGATGCGCTAAGGTAGGAGAGCGGTATACATCGTGTGCAGCGCGTCTCTACCAAATTAGATTGAGTAGTGGGTGACGCCCCCGCTTTCAGGCTTTGCTGAGCGAAGATGCTGATGATATGAACCGCAACGATGAACTCTTCGAAATGGAAGACGTGAAGGTCGAGGTGAAATGTACACGTGGCGCAGGTGGACAGGTTGGCCTTTTGACTTCGAGCAGCCTAATCGATTTTAACCACTGTCCTCGGCACGTCAACAAAACAAAATCTGCAGTCTGTCTCACTACACCCATCAGTATGACCATTTCTGTGCAAGACGAACGCAGTCAGTACCAAGTAATCCACACCCATACCGTCACTGATGTTGTTCTGAATAAGTGTCGGGCTTTCAAGTTCTTCGCGCTCGCCTGATGGATTTAACGCTCACTCAAGACATTGTCTCCCGTCGAGCTACTCGTGTGCACCACTGACCGCAGCAAGAAGATTCAAACGTATAACCATACGCAGGATTGCGTGTCAGATCATCGGATCTATCGCGAACCTCACCAGCTTTCTGGAAGGTGATGGCGTGCAGGAGTTTCTGGATGCATCGCGCCGAAACTGGGAGGAAGCATGTGGCCAGATGCACCATTAACAGCGTTTGTGGGATGATTGAGGTTCCTGTAAACTCGTGAATCACAGTGGCGTGCTGTCACTTGTCATCACCGTCAGGAATGGCATCTTGGCGGTCAAACTGACACGATCCTGTTGTTCTACTTACTAGCAACTGTTGGAGCATGGTCAGCGCTCCCATGACCGTATATTGCCACACCATTGAACTTGCGATACTGTATCGCGTTATCAACACTGATATATGATACAGTAATACACCATCATTTGAGTTTGGGTCGCATAGCACTTGATCGCACACCATCGCAGCCACATTTTTCGTTGGATCTTTTTTGTTTTATGTACAACTACATACTAGTATTACCTGTAGACTAAAAACACTTCATTTGAATGCAAGATGTTGTGTTTTGTGTTGAAAATTTGAGCCCATTCAGTCACATAGTCTGTATTATACAGGCAGCCGAGGTTGAAAATATGCTGTTCCATACAGGCCAGCGGACGTCGGCCGATCGAATGGTTTTGCCTGTGCATAACGTTCGGCCGGCAGGCTTACTGAGACCCGATTTCAACAGCTGGGCCCATAAGTAATGATGGTCGATATTAACATGTCGGCCGGTGGCCATGAACATCATATGGCCCCATGGGTTCGGTATATTGGTGGGCAAATGGTGGTGGAGGAGTCTCTGATGCTGTCAGCTGGGCCCATGTAGAACATAGTGCCTGTGTGTATTGGTCGGCCAATTGTATGCATCCTCTGTGTATATTGGTAGGCCAATGATGGGTGTGAAGCCATCATGTGGGCCCATGGGGAGAAATTCCCGATGCTATCAGGCAGGCCCATGGAGCTTGTTGGCTGTGGCCATCGACCGGCTGACGGTCTGTATTAGATCAGGCAGGCCCATGTAGAATAGGTTGCATGTGCATATCGGTTGGCCGACATGGAATAGGTTGCCTGTACGCATCGGTCGGCCGGTATGGAATACATTTCTTGTATATCAGTCGGCCCATGTGGAAAAGGTTGTCTGTGGATATCGGTTGGCCGACATGGAATAGGTTGCCTGTATGCATCGGTCGGCCGGTATGGAATACATTTCTTGTATATCGGTCGGCCCATGTGGAAAAGGTTGTCTGTGGATATCGGTTGGCCGACATGGAATAGGTTGCCTGTGCGCATCGGTCGGCTGGTATGGAATACGTTTCCTGTGCTTATCGGTTGGCCCATGTAAAATATGTTGCCTGTGCATATCAGTTGGCCCATGTGGAATACATTGCCTGTGCGCATCGGTCGGCTGGTATGGAATACATTTCCTGTGCTTATTGGTCGGCCCATGTAAAATATGTTGCCTGTGCATATCAGTTGGCCCATGTGGAATACATTGCCTGTGCGCATCGGTCAGCCGGTATGGAACACGTTTCCGGTGCTTATCAGACGGCCCATGTAAAATACGTAGCCTGTGCGCATCTGTTGGCCCATGTAGAATACGTTGCCTGTGCGTATCAGTCGGCCCACATGGAATACATTTCCTGTACTTATCGGTCGGCCTATGTCAAATACGTTGCCTGTGCACATCAGTCAGCCAATGCTAGGTGTGAAGCCACTGTGTGGGCCCATGGGAAGGGATACCCGATGCTATCAGGTGGGCCCCTATAATGTGTTGTTTTTAGGTATCAGCCGGCCGACGGTCTGTATTTTATCAGGTGGGCCGATGTTGAATACTTTGCCCGTGTGTATCGGTTGGCCAACAGAAAATGTGAACCCATCGTGTGGGCCCATGCGAAAGAACATTTGATTCTATTGGGTGGGCCCATACTATGTATTGTATGTGCATATCGGCCGGCCCGATGGCATGTGTGGTGTCGGGTGGGCCGATGGGGGAGAAAAGGTTGATCCTATCTGGAAGGCCGATACGGAATGCATTGCCTGTGTATATCGGTCGGCCAATGATGGGTGTGAAGCTATTGTGTGGGCCGATGGGGGTGAATTCCCGATGTAATCAACTGGGCCGATGTAGAATGCCCTGCCTGTGCATATCGGTCGGCCAATGCTTGCTGTGAAGTCATCGTGTGGGCCCATAGAATGTGTTGCCTGTCTGTATCGACCGGCCTGTGCAGAATGCATTTCCTGTGCATATCAGTGGGCTGATGGGATGGATGATGTCAGGTGGGCCCACAAACGAGCAGTGTTTGATTCTATCAGGTGGGCCGATGCGGAACGTGTTTCCCGTGCACATCGGTTGGCACATGGCAAACAATGCCGATCATCTTGGCTTGGCCCATGGCCTCCATCTTCACGTCCGGTCGATCGGTGACATGGCGAGAAGACTTCAGGGATTCAATCAACATCATCGATTCCAATTAATTGACAACCTTATCACTAATCGATCCAAAAGGCTGAATGCAACCGTAATGTAATCTGATATACCATGACACGGTCGTCTAAGCTGAAACCGAGACATCCCAATCTACATCCTTGTATTTTGCATACTCTGACCGAGGTGTCCCCACAAAATTGTGAAGGCTATCACGCATGAACCATGCCCACATGAACCGATCACCCCTGAATGTGACGCCATGCCTGACAATGTGTCCGGAGCAGCCGACCATGGCACTGGAGTTATATCGCAACTGAATGCCGAGATTGGACAGCGTCATGAGGCCATCGCAATAATGGCCAACACTGGTCATGACGTCGAACCCTTCTGGAGTAGATCTCGGATCTCGGTGAAGAGGGCATTGCCTGTTACACATGACGGCTGCTGCAGTTGAACACTGAGGCCCAAAGTTGCAGACGAGCATACATGCCATCAAGCTCATTTTCCATAGCCCATCGAGCGAGTTTCATCTGTGTGGTGACCAAAGCCCAATACAACTCTGGGTGCATCACCCGAAGAGCCGCCGAGGCCAGGAGTGCCGATCGCTGCATCGATAATATGACCTTCGGACCACCTTCGCCCTTCAGCATAGCCGACACCTCCGGGGTGAAGCCACCAGTGGGGGGGAATCCATAAGGCTGACACTGCCGAGTGAGTGTCGGCATCGCACATGAAGAAGCATGTCATACCTCTCGGCCTTGCTGGAACCAGCAAGGGGCTATGTTGATGCATCCTGGGGTTAGCAGGTGGCAATCGCTCATGTGAAAATGACCGGAGAATGTTCTCCAGTTGGACTCTTGTCCACTGGTGATGCTTGTTTTCAGGAGGTAGCCCATCCCGACCGTGGCTGCTGCCATCTCGGCCTGTGGGGTTGGTGTAAATGGTTGGCCCACAGGCGACAATATGTAGCCTTACTTGAATCCACGGGCTAATGGTGTCCGGAAGATACCATAAGATGATATGGCCCCCGGAATCCATGAGCACTGAGGGCTTCTCCAACAATTGTTGGGAACTACAAGGAAATTTTTGGAGCAGAGCATCTTCATGTTTTGTGATCCTCCCTGTGGACCGTTTGTCGAGGGCTTCATTGTAACGAATCATGTCAAGATCAAGCTGAACTGCGATGTGTTAGTAAACCTCCGACCGAATGACAGAAATGACCGACTCGGGTTTGCATATGCATCGGCGAGCACTCGGGCTAACTGCCGACAAGCGAGCATGGTCGGCACATCCAGTGCCAATGGAGGCGACGCCAACGGTTGCCGATCGCCGACATGGCAAGCGAAGAGCTGGTGAACGAAGTCAGCAGCAATGCATGTGGTGTGCAATGCCCAGTCGGTAGGAATTGGGGTCATGATTAGGGCAGAGGAACGGGAATCATTCATTGATTGCTTATATACAGTGGCTCAAAAAACTGTCCACATGTTTTCACATTTTTCACTATCTATGATATTGTGTGAGAATATACAAACACCTCAAGGACATGCTGGTACCATATTGTAGCACCACTTCAGGGCTTTCAATTGAGCACTATGGCTGTGAGAATTGGTTGAGATATAGTTGAGATATGAGGCTTCCAAAATGATGACTTATGCAGACAGTTTTTTGACTCAAATATTTTATAGTGATAATCAGGTATTCTAGTACTCTGTGTGACCTCCCTTGGCTTTAATTACTGCCTCTATCCTTCTAGGCATACTCTTGAGACTATATCTAACTATATAAACCAGAATGTCTCATGTGTCATAGTCATAATCACCATGAAAGCCATCTCCTCTGCTCAAAGGGATGATATCCTCTCTTTGTCCTATGCTGGCCTCTCTGCTCATCAAATTTTCTCTAGAACTGAAGTATGCAAGTCTACTGTGGCCAAGTGTATCAAAGAAAGCCATCTGGACAAGGAAAACTCTTGTGGAGGACATCCACCTCTACTAATAAGAGGGCTATCATTCAACATATCACTACAGGAAAGGCTGATAATGCCGTCCAAGCCACCCATTATATCAATTCCACCATCACCACCACTGTCTCTTCACAAACTGTGAGGGATGTTCTCAAGGCAGCTCATCTCAAGGCAGTAACAAAGAAGAAATGCCTCTTCTCTCTATCAAACATAGACAGAGAAGACTACCTTTGGCTTGACCCATTAAAACTGGACTGTAGAGCACTGGAAGCATGTTATATGGTCAGATGAGACCAAAATCAATAGGATTGGGTCAGATTGGAAGGTATATGTATGGAAAAAGAAGGGAGATTCTCTAACAGACAGAGAGGTTGGTGAGACTGTCAAATTTGGAGGAGGTTCTCTAATGGTACAGGGCTGTATTGGATGGAATGGTGTGGGTATGCTTGCTGAAGTTGAGGGGAGGATGGATGCTGAGCAGTATGTGGACATTCTAAACGACCACTTGCTGCCTAGCATAGCTGAATCAGGGATTGATGAAGAAGACATCATTTTCCAACAGGCTAATGATCCCAAGCACACATCTAGGAGAGCCAGAAAATGGTTTGAAGAAGCATAATATCAATGTTCTTGACTGACCAGAACAGTCCCCTGATGTTAATGTCATTGAATATCTCTGGGGAACACTCAAGAAGAAGCTTCAAGCCTCTGAAACCCCCCTAAAGGAGTATGGGAGCTATGGGAGAGAGTAGCAGTGGAATGGGGAAGGATTGCAACAGAATATTGCCAGAAATTGATTGAGAGTATGCCTAGAAGGATAGAGGCAGTAATTAAAGCCAAGGGAGGTCACACAGAGTACTAGAATACCTGATTATCACTGTAAAATACTTGAGTCAAAAAACTGTCCACATGAGTCATCATTTTGGAAGCCTCATATCTCAACCATATCTCGACCAATTCCCACGCCATAGTGCTCAATTGAAAGCCCTGAAGTGGTGCTACAATATGGTACCAGCATGTCCTTGAGGTGTTTGTATATTCTCACACAATATCATAGATAGTGAAAAATGTGGAAACATGTGGACAGTTTTTTGAGCCACTGTACAAAGGCACTGAAACACATTTAATAATACTATGTACATCGCCGGTATTTTAAGCGATATCGGTGATAAGTCCGCACATACAGTCACTGCTCCGCACGAAATCGCCTACGGGAATTAATGAGTGCCTGCTCCACCTCATCAATCGGCACCTCAAGTTGGGATATGGTGGAGGCAGCCGCTGCAGTGATCTGGGTCTTCTGCTCCAGCAAGGAGGCCATCGCTTCGCCAAGGTGTCAGAGATGGGCTCTCACCGCCACAATTTGATTGAAGAGGGCATCGCTGTCCACCTGACCGGTCACAGCGGGACCTGGCATGAGCATGGCTCCGATCGGCTAAACATTCACATCAGTGGAAGTCCAGGATGAGCGGAGGAAATGACCGACCAGTTGTTCAAAGTGCTCTCGGGTCATCTCCATGACCTCCTGAATGGT